TTAATAATAATAATTATATTAATAATAATATAAAAAAAAAAAACGTGCTGAAATAAACCATCTGGAGAATATATTTCTCTTTCTAAAACTCTGATTACTTTTTAAAATTTTGAAGCAGTTCCGTAGAAAATACACATATGCGGCAGAAAAGCGGTACTGGCGTGGGTGCCTACAGGCCTCTACCACACCATTCAGTACACATAAATGGCTTAGTTACAGTGATATAATAACATTTTTGGTACATTATATTGGTTTTATTAACGAACAAATATTAATGCAATAATTTAACTGTAAAAAAAAAAAATTAAAATAAAAAAAAAATTATTATTTTTTTTTAATTTAACCTCTTTTATTCTATACGTAGGTCGTTTAAGAAGACCTCAATTGTAAAAATGATATAATTATAGTAATAAAACTTAATTAAAAAATACTTTGCTAAATATCTTGATTTTTTTTTTATTTAACGTTTGCAATTTAACACTGTGTTTTGTATATTTACTGAACCTTAGAGGTAATTAAAATTTTTATATACTTCCCAGGAAATGAGTCATATTAATACCTGTTTTATAAACTAAAATAATATATACCTAATATGAACTATATATAATGAATAGCTGGCGGGTTGTTTAGTAAAACTCATATATCACTAATTAAAAAATTAATTTTTATTTCCTTTATTTTGTGCGGAAGTTGGACTATATCATAAGCAAATAGGAAATTTTAAAATTGAATGAATTATTCTCTCTGCACAAAGAAAGATAGAAAGGGTGACGCTATAAGTTCTTCTATAAACCAGAACTGATTGTTTGTTTTTGGTCTCAAAATGAGGAAAAACGCGAAATTGAACCAGAAAATTGGAAAAATACATTAAGCGAACGAGAAAGGGCACGGTAAGGGGGTCTGGCCCACAGACTATAAGATTTACAACGAGAGACCGCCACTAGAAGCTAAGTTAAGCTGAGCGCAGTTGAGTGGTGTAGCAAGGGTCCGCTCAGGTCAAGTTTGGGTTGGCTGAGGTTCGGATGTGGAATCTGACTCCGTTAAGCTCAGCTAATAGTGAAACCTCCACCACTATCACACAACCGTCGTGCTTTGTTCCTCAGTGTCATAATTTTTTCCCACTCGTTTTCACCGCACAACCTCTCAAATTATAATTTATATTGGTTCAGTGTAAAATAAGCTTTGGATCTGGAAGAATTCTTAATCGAATGTATAAGGAAAAATATTCTATTTTATACACAAATATTCGATTTTTCTTTTAAATTCCGATATGACCAACTTTGCTATTTTTTAAAATGTTATATATACTTTTTTAAAACTGTTATGCGGAATATGAGAAGGGTAGCAATGCAAGGCAAGTTGCTGACTGAGCTGAGCTCAGCTACGCAATCCGTTGCCGACTCCCTCTTGTAACGCTCGGCTCAGCTGGACTTTCAGTGGCCAGTCAGGAGGTTCTCTCTACGTTAGTTTTTCATCCTCCCACAATGTCAAGAGATTGGTCCCTCCTTTCCTGCGGAATGTTAAAGTTTATCCCTTATACCACAGACCGCAGGAGCGATTTGGTTGCTGATCCGCCTGACACTTGAGATCATCCTGTCTATTCATCTTCCTTCATCCAAATTATACATACTTTCTTTAATATATTACCCCTAATTAAACACGTTCTGTCGAAGCCTTCTATCAACTGTACAATACCTCAACATATATATTTAAACATAACTATTTAATTGGGAACAAGATCACTTATTAATTATTTAAAAAACTACTGAATGTTCTTTTCCTCTATGTTTATTGACGTTTCGATCTCAGTATTTTTCTTTTTATAAGTTAACAATGGGGTCCTCTTCAAAGTTTCAAAAATAGAGCTTCGATCAGGCCAGTGACACACCCACAGTCTCAGCACCATCCACTAGCACATACATTAAGCTAATCCATACTTAATACTACTGAGTAGCTTAAAGAAAAGTTGTAAATATATATATATATATATATATATATATATATATATATATATATATATATATATTGAATTGAATTGAATTTATTTGTTAAAGACTATTTTACAATCTTGTACAAATCATACATATATGAATAACTTTATTTCACCTAAATGAGTCTAGTTTATCATAACTGTACTTTGACTTACTATAAAAACAATAACTAAACAATAATACTTCATTACATTCCAATTAATTTTTATCTACATTATCAATAAAACCATAAGAAAAAAAGAAACAAACAATTAATTGAACTGACCAACAATTATCCTTAGTCTTAGCACTTGATTGGTGTGTGGGAACATCAGAGCTTAAGGAATCCAGTGAATTGCAAGCACAATTGGCTGGGGTTCACCTCTCCTTCCTCTCCCCCCCCCCCCAAAATAATAAAAGTAAAACAAAGTATCACCTACCTACCCAAACATATTGCCATTTTATTTTTTCAAAACCAACTTTGGAGGAGAGTTCAGCTCCTCTCCCTCCCCCCCAAAAAATAATAAAAGTAAAACAAAGTATCACCCACCTACCCAAACATATTGCCATTTTCTTTAAAAAAAAAAAAAAAAATTGGCTGGGGTTCACCTCTCCTTCCTCCCCCCCCAAAAAATAATAAAAGTAAAACAAAGTATAACCCACCTACCCAAACATATTGCCATTTTCTTTTAAAAAAAAAAAAATTGGCTGGGGTTCACCTCTCCTTCCTCCCCCCCCAAAAAATAATAAAAGTAAAACAAAGTATCACCCACCTACCCAAACATATTGCCATTTTCTTTTAAAAAAAAAAAAATTGGCTGGGGTTCACCTCTCCTTCCTCCCCCCCCCCAAAAAATAATAAAAGTAAAACAAAGTATCACCTACCTACCCAAACATATTGCCATTTTATTTTTTCAAAACCAACTTCGGAGGAGGGTTCAGCTCCTCTCCCTCCTCCCCAAAAAATAATAAAAGTAAAACAAAGTATCACCCACCTACCCAAACATATTGCCATTTTCTTTAAAAAAAAAAAAAAAAATTGGCTGGGGTTCACCTCTCCTTCCTCCCCCCCCCCAAAAAATAATAAAAGTAAAACAAAGTATCACCTACCTACCCAAACATATTGCCATTTTATTTTTTCAAAACCAACTTCGGAGGAGGGTTCAGCTCCTCTCCCTCCTCCCCAAAAAATAATAAAAGTAAAACAAAGTATCACCCACCTACCCAAACATATTGCCATTTTCTTTAAAAAAAAAAAAAATTGGCTGGGGTTCACCTCTCCTTCCTCCCCCCCAAAAAAATAATAAAAGTAAAACAAAGTATCACCTACCTACCCAAACATATTGCCATTTTATTTTTCAAAACCAACTTCGGAGGAGGGTTCAGCTCCTCTCCCTCCCCCCAAAAAATAATAAAAGTAAAACAAAGTATCACCCACCTACCCAAACATATTGCCATTTTCTTTTAAAAAAAAAAAAATTGGCTGGGGTTCACCTCTCCTTCCTCCCCCCCCAAAAAATAATAAAAATAAAACAAAGTATTACCTACCTACCCAAACATATTGCCATTTTATTTTTTCAAAACCAACTTCGGAGGAGGGTTCAGCTCCTCTCCCTCCCCCCAAAAAATAATAAAAGTAAAACAAAGTATCACCCACCTACCCAAACATATTGCCATTTTCTTTTAAAAAAAAAAAAAATTGGCTGGGGTTCACCTCTCCTTCCTCCCCCCCAAAAAAATAATAAAAGTAAAACAAAGTATCACCTACCTACCCAAACATATTGCCATTTTATTTTTTCAAAACCAACTTCGGAGGAGGGTTCAGCTCCTCTCCCTCCCCCCCAAAAAATAATAAAAGTAAAACAAAGTATCACCCACCTACCCAAACATATTGCCATTTTCTTTAAAAAAAAAAAAATTGGCTGGGGTTCACCTCTCCTTCCTCCCCCCCAAAAAAATAATAAAAGTAAAACAAAGTATCACCTACCTACCCAAACATATTGCCATTTTATTTTTTCAAAACCAACTTCGGAGGAGGGTTCAGCTCCTCTCCCTCCCCCCCAAAAAATAATAAAAGTAAAACAAAGTATCACCCACCTACCCAAACATATTGCCATTTTCTTTTAAAAAAAAAAAAATTGGCTGGGGTTCACCTCTCCTTCCTCCCCCCCAAAAAAATAATAAAAATAAAACAAAGTATTACCTACCTACCCAAACATATTGCCATTTTATTTTTTCAAAACCAACTTCGGAGGAGGGTTCAGCTCCTCTCCCTCCCCCCCAAAAAATTGTATTTGTCGCAATAAACATGTTTTCATCCATTCATATAAGCAATAATTTTTCAGTACACTCCATTATCTGACTATATGTGTCAGATTTTAATTTTAATTCATAATTCATCTAAAATCTTTAGATTTTCATCTGTATATTACACTAAAATAATATTTACTATTGTTTTCAACCAGGAAAAATTTTGCACCTTTAGTTAACTATTAATTAATTACATGGTTATTTATCCACATGGAATTCATGTGAAATGATCATTAAGCATTTTTTCACTACTGAGGATTTTCTCAGTTCGTGATTTCAAACGGTTCATTTGAAATGTTAATCATTAAAAGAATAAATAATAAATATCAATTTATGCATAACAATTTATTACAATTAATATTTGTCTTTGAGTTATGGAATAGTGGTTTTAAGGTTAAAAAATCTTGTTAATGTCAAGACAGAAACAGGGTACCTAAATGGATCAGTTGTAATCAGAGATGGCTACTCTGAGTTCTGAGTACCACGTATTTTACTCAAATACTGACCTTTTTTGAGTACCAAAGAATTTAATTACTACTTCAGTTGATGTCAAACGATTAACTTTCCAAAAAAAATTAACGATTAACTTTAAAAAAAAAAATTCCCAATGGTGATTTAATTTGAGTAAAATACTAGTTACTCGGTACTCAAGTTCTTTTAACATTAATAACCGAATAACTGTACAGTAAATCATGTAACACATTTTAAATATAATTTCAGGGGATCGTCCTGAGAACTTCAGAATACACTACAATGAGTTAAGTGATAAAGATTATGTTAGTGATGTACCTCAACTTGCGTTTTCAAGTAACTGTAAGTATTTCTTCTAATACCTTACTTTGTATACACTCCAGAATAGGGACATTGAGGGCACTCCTATACTTGAATATTTTTTTGTTGTTATTTCAGTTTAAATCGAAACTGTTGCAACAAACTATGTATTAACATTAACATATAAGCATGGCTAGGAAGACTAAATTGGTGTATGTTATCTATGAGCCATTTATACCATGTGAAAAAAAGTCACATTCTTGAATATGTTTTTTCTTAATTTGACCAATATATTTAAATGAACTTCGGCATATTTCTATAACCACTTATTAATCTAGTGCTTCCATCAGCGAATTGGAAAAAAATAATATATATATACAATTATAAATAAAAAAAGTGAGTTAACACCAATTTTTATTGGAATATTATTTGTAAACTTTAGACAGTACCGATCTTACACTGAAAACAAACGACGTGGAGCAAACCACGTACTTTTATATAAGGGACTCCTAAAAAAAAAAAATTGTTGTTGAAAACAATAGCTAATTATATCCATACCAAATTATATTGTGTTGGTCAGGATGTCTATCAACTTATTGCATGATTGGTCAATTTTAACCCACTTATTAATTTTGATTTTATTAATAAATACAATGGTTTAGTACAGTGGGAGATTTACTCAAAAGCAACCAGGCAGCAATTTTTGAGGAGCAGCAAAATCTGAATGGAGTTGTTTTTTAGATTCAAAGTAAGTCTGAAAAACTGATTAATGAAGTACATATCAATATAATAATTGATTCCACTTAATTTTAATTATGGAGCGATTGTTTTTGCAGAGAGGAGCAATATTATCTATACTATTAAGCATATTATAAGGTAGGAATACTGACAGATAATTCAGGGGGGAGGGGTGACTGAAGCACTAAAAAATGAAAAAATATGTATTTTTTATTCATTGGTCCATATTTGTTTCTAAAAACAAAATCTAAGCTTAAAAAAAACAAGCAAAATATGCGCTCTTTTTTAATTCAATAGTTAAATAAAAATACATGTATTTTCCCTAATAAATGTAAGCATGTGTCAAGAAAAATATATAAACAATTTATCCCTAAAAGCATTATTGTTCCTGTCAACAGTAATTTTATTATTTTTTAAACAAGCCTTCATATCTCAGGCAACATTATTTTGTATATTTTCCTTCTTACTGTTATAAAAAAAAATTAACAAAGTCCCTAAAAACTAAATCATGGATCCACTACTGCAATTCACAACATGCCCATGGATGTAATAGTTCCTGACATGACCACAATGGCTGTTGTGCAAGCAAGACTTGTTCTTCTTTCTCTAGCTCCTTTGTGCCGTTAAGTGTGGAGCTGCAGTCCCGGCCCATCTTGCCCACTGGTCTCTGTCCCTGGCTAGCCTTCTCATCTCCGGTATAGTGCGTCCTCTTGCTGTGCCCAGTTTTCCAATATAATCATGGTAAGTGTGTCTCGGCCTGCCACGAGATCGTCTGCCTTCCGGTCTAGCATCCATAAACCACTAGGCCTTTCGGGTGTCGTCCATTCTGCAGATGTGCCCTGAACCATTTCAACTGCTTCTCTTCCAGGATGCCACGGATTGATGTTACCTCCAATTCCTGGAGGTAACATCAATCCGGATAACACGGATTCTGTCATTTCTAACACAGTCCCTCTTTGTTTTGCCATCTATTCTTCGGAGGAATCTCATTTCCGATGCTGTGATCCTGCCTATGTGCTTATCGATGGTTGTCCAGCTTTCAGACCCATAAAGAAGTACTGGGAGGAACACCGCCTTATATATCGTGAGTTTGGCCTTTCTGCTTACTTCCCGTTTTCCTATGATTGTATTGGCTATCTGGTAATATATCCCATTGGCCTTCATCACGTGATTTAGTACCTCCTGGTCTATTTTACCATCTTCATTGATGATTGTCCCCAGATACGTGTATGCATTTGTTACCTCTAGGGGTTCGCCATTACTTAACATCATAGGCTTCGCATTATCTTTTCCCACGCACATAACCTTGCTCTTAGATGGATTTATATGCAGCCCTCGCAGCTTCAATTCTTCTTCCCACTTGACAAATGATGTCTGTAGATCTTCTTGTGAGTCCGCTATAAGAATTATATTGTCGGCATACAACATAGTTTGAGCCAACACTGGTGTCAAATTACAATATCCCACAGTAGCCCTTGGGGTTCTTCTTTTACACAGTTTCCAAATTTCATCCAAGAGAAGGATAAAAAGCAGAGGACTAAGACTATCCCCTTGCTTTACTCCTTTATAAAAGCGGAAAGGTTCTGATGTGTGTCCATTGATTTTCCACGGTTCCATGCTTTTTCCACAATCATTCGTAGTGAGAATATGTGGTCTTGGGTCTGTCTGCCGGGTCTGAAAGCGGCTTGCTCCTCCTCTAGATCTTACTCTACTATATGCCTTAGTCTCTGTTCAAGGATTCTTGTGTATATCTTGTACACAACTGAAGAGAGGCATATTGGCCTATAGTGCCCGCATTCGCTTTGGCTGCCTTTCTTGTGAATAGGGATTATGATATTGCTCTCCCATTCTCGTGGTATCTGCTTGAGGTCTCAAATCTTTTGGAAAAGAGTTTGGAGGATCTTGATCATTTCGTTGCCTCCATATTTAATTAATTCTGGAGCTATTTTATCTGGTCCTGGTACTTTTCCCATTTTGATTCGGCTACTGCCGTTTCCACCTCATCCTCGCCTATTGCGTCATCCAAGTCTTCCGGGTAAACCTCTTCCACCATCACTCTCCTTCTGCAATCTCTGTGATTATGGCGTCGGTGTTCTTCCATACTAAATTTTCCCTGGAAGAACTGTCTCCAAACTTCTAGTACCTCCCTCTTTTTCTTCAGTCACCAACTTTCCATTTGCATCTTTTATATTTCTGAGTGGTTTTGACTTTTTGGCTTTCAGAACTTTTGCAATATGCCAGAATCTCAGAAGAGAGAATTATATTCTTTTTATAATTCTGTTCTAGCTCCTGACCGAACTGCTCCCAGGTCCTCGTCTTGGCTGATTTAATTATTCTTTTGGCCTCATTTATGTATTTAACATATTCTTCCCAGTGGATAAGTAGTTTCGTCCTACAGTATGTTTTCCAAGCATCCTTCTTGAGCTTTACTGCTCTTTTCACCTCATCGTTCCACCATTTTGTTTTCTTGGTAGACGGCCTCATTTTCTTAATACCACATACTTCACTAGCTGTATCGATGATACAATTTTTAATTTCTTTCCAAAGAGTATCCAATTCACTATCTCCATTTATTAACTGAAGGCGGCTCTCCAGCATTGTTCTGTACTATTCTTGTTTGGTTTCAATTTTTGGTTCTTGCATTATCTACTGTCCTCGGCAAATCTTCGAAGTCCTTGTTAAAGACTGCTGCATCCTCAACTGGAGCATACGCCTGTATTACTGTGACTTTTCCAACTGATAATTCTATGTCTATTGTGATTATTCTTGGTGAGACTGCTTCCCATGACTCGATTCTCTTGTATAATTCGTCTCCCATCACAAAATCAACTCCTTCCTTTGCTCTTTCTCTCTCACTGACACCGGACTATATCAGATTGTATCCATCTGGCAATATTAGGTGTCCATTTCCTCTTTTTCTAACTTCACACAATCCTATTTAGTTGACTCTAAATGACTTCATTTCTTCAATCAGCTCTTTTTCCTTTTCTATGAGTGATCTTACATTCCAAGTAGCCAATCGTAGTTCCTTGTCCTTGCCTTGTCTATACCCATAAGACTGTCCAAATCCGAGGCTGCATTTATTCCTATGAATCGTTTATACTCCATATGGGTGATTAGTCCAGAGATGGAGGTCCCTTACCCAGAGACAACGGGTTGCCCGCTATACTCCCGGCATTGAGTCTTCTCAGGAAAGGTTACCCTGAGGTGTGTACTGTAATTGTCCTTATTGTCAGTGTGAATGTATTATGTACTGTTGTGTTGTGTATAAGTGCGCTGTGTATTGAATTCAGGAAACCGGGGGGTTGTTAATCCCCACTAGTAGAGCGTAGCTACTAGCTCTTACGGGTTACAAGACAATGTATTTATTAAGTTTAAATAAACATTCAAAAGTTAATATTTAAAAAAAAAATAAAACTTATTTAAAAAGAAATAAGATAGAAGTTATTGTACAAATTTTAATTGAGCAATATTGATGAAATTTTTATTTCCCAAAAGTTAAAATATATTTTCAGTGCTTGAATAGACCAAAACAATTAAGCTTCTAAACAGAATTTGCTCTTAACAAAATTGAAAACCAAACAGTTGTAAGATAAATGCAGACTAAAAAGTTGAGGTTACGGAAGTGAAGTCACCGATTTCAATGAAACTTTTTTTTTTTTGATACTAGGCCAAAAATTATTAGATCCAGTTCCCAGGGTTTTTATCAATGCACCCTTCGAACCGAGGAAAATAAAAATTATTTTTTTTACTCATAGGCATAACAGATAAAGCCATCCATTTCATCAGTCCCCAATCTCCAAAAACAACCATTACATTATATTTTCATTTTAAAAACTAAGTGGAGAGCGCCAGTATATCCCAGAGGACTAGGATTTTGATTGCTAAACTAAAAACGTATACATGAAATAGGACGAAATTTTTATCAAATACTAACCATTAATTAATTTTCATAATCATTTTATGATCACTCAGTGAAGCATTTTTACATCATTTCATAGCTGCAACAGCAAATTATATTGTTGATAGCTATTATTTTTTATATATTATATGAGTACTAAAAAAACTGTACATATCAAAGGTTGTGAACCTTTTTATCATTAGAGGCCACAGTAAGATTGCTTAGACAATGCTAAAGGAGGCAACCACAATTCTTTATATTTTACTGTTGCTAATTTTATTAATCACTAAATACACAACTCATAAACATATATTCATCTTAGTTCTGTTAATTTTCAAATTTTCCTAACTTAAATAATTAACCATTAATATTATTGCCAAACAACTAAAATTAATATTAATAAATATTGTGCAAAAATTGGAGGCAGCAACACTGTCATGGAGGCCATAGCATATATGTTGTGACAACAAAAAATGGTGGTCATATATGAATTAAAATGTTAGGAACTGAAATTCAGCCATTTTGAAAGAATTAAGCATAAGATAAACTAACAATGTTACTGCACACCGATATAGCTGACTAATCTGTTACATTATACAATGCACCTGCACTTTTTAGATAATAAAGTAGATTTACAAAATTATCACTGATTTATAAGATGTTAAGTCAGCTATCAAAGATCATGTTTTAATATTATAAATGCAATCAATTTTGCATGACTAATAAACCAGAAATACAATTTCTATGGTTCTATCTGCAATCCTTTCTTCTGATCTTTCTTCTGATTCTGGAAATAATTTTTATTAAATATAATTTCCAGCAGTTGGGGTCGTCTCGACAGTCGATTCCTATCTTTCTGCAGAAGAAGAGGAATCAAAATACAAAATAAATCAATTTGACCCTTTGCAAACAACAGACCTTAATTGGTTGCATTGGAATCCACCTGAATACAATAATTGTCTTAGCAATAAGAACATGAAGCGGGTAATGCAAGACCTGGGGGCAGCCCCTGATATTTATGATAAGTTGGAAATTCTGCTTAAAAATAAAAAACTTGGGTAAATATTATCAAACATGAAATTCATATCATTATGTTATTATTATATAAGAATTAAGAAGTAGTGAAGCTTAATGAAGTCTAAGGTTCAAGTTTGATGAGAGTTGAACAACTTGAATAGCCCAAACAAGGAAATTCATCTAATTAAAAGCTAATAAAGTAATTTGAAAACAATTCATTGAACCAAAAATATCTTTTAATCTCATAATAAGAGGAAATATAATTTATTAAATGTCTCTAAAACATAATTAAGACCATTAAAGTATAAATAATTCCTTAAAGAAAAACTGACTGCTATTGGCCTAATGAGTTTTTTTTTTATTAACTATTGATATTTTTGAATAATTTTTTTTATTCTTAAATTATAATTTTTGTGATACCACTTTTTAGAAACCCCTGATATAGATTATAAAATCAATTTACATTAACAAGAGAAAAACATACACATTAAACTCTATATCTATTAATATATGTGATAAGTATTGTAAAAATTTCTACATATAAAATGTTTAACATTATTGAATAAATTTATTAGGTATGCTCCTATGAAAGAATTATTGAGCAATAATCAAGAAAAGCTGTTTCACTATGTGTGTTCACAATTTCTAAATAAATTTTCTATCAAGTATCCAAAAAGGTTTTTGAGGCTGTTGTTTTTTGCTTACAACCAACACGGTATCCAGGTAATAAAATGGTTATAATACAAAGTGTCAATTACTGCTCAAAGATATTTTACTCATGTATTAATAAATAATAACACACCACTACAGTATTTAATACAAATTGCACATCAGTATGTTATGTAACAAGTGCATATCAGTGATTATATCATGTATTCCAAGGTTTCAGTTGATATTGCTGTTTTTTGTTTTTTTCATTAATATAATTATACTAAAATTAATCACAATATAATAAGGAAAAGAAAGTCACACTAGAGGATGTGAATCTAGCAAAAATTAGAATTAATTTAATAAAAGTTTAATTTAATTTCATAAGGATTATATTATGTGTATTTTTTGTTCATTTTTAGAAACACATCTGTACATTTATAAAACCTACTAGATTGAAATTACCCTCGTTGGCTGACTGGCAGGGTTGTGCAAGATTTATAACAAATCGTTTCCACCACATACCTTTGACAGATAATAATTACCCGGTATGTTTATACACTACAATTGTGTTATACAATTATTATAATAAAAATTATACAATCACATTGTAATTAAGGAGATATAATGGGAATTTAAATATATTTTTATTTAGCATGCCATCATGAAGATTTAACAAAAGGTGACCATTGAAAATATAATTGTAAAATTTTATGCTCTGTGAAACCATTTTATAAATCCATAGTTTAAGCAAGTCCTATAACTTGTTTTAACTTTATTTGGGACTAAAAATAACAGTTTGAAGAGATAGAATCTTCGCTGTTGTGTGAAGCGGTTCCGCCGCCAACAATGGCTACGCCGTCGTCCTCTGACATCATACCAGTTATAATGGACACTTTAGGACCAAACGAGGTGAGAGAAAACGCATGGGAGTTGATCACTGGAAGGAAAAGATCAATCACAACTAATGAAAGGGACCGAGAAAACAACTTAAAAAGGTTAGTGAAGTTACTATCACTCAAAATAGTTTCGAAGTTTTAAGCAATGTTGGACAAGAATCAGAACCTAAAATAACACAACCTGCTCATATAGTTCCTCCCCCCATACATTTAAACGATGTTCAAAATTACTCAGAACTGGTTTCATACCATGCATCATAATCTTCACCATGCAACACCAGTAGAGACAATTAAATATGAGCTAAGATGTCTTGGTTATGAAGCCACTAACATTGTGTAAGTAATATCAAGTTTTAAGAAACCATTACCCATGTTCTTCAAAGATATATCAAAGGCAACCTTCAATGAAAAAATTTTCGATGTAGAATTTTTATACTATACGAAAGTGAAAATTGAAGAACCCAGAAAGAGGAGAATAATCCCACAATGTTTCAGATGCCAGCAGTACAGACATACTAAAACGTACTGCAATCACACTCCGAAATGCGTGAGATGTGGCCTAGGCCTTGACAGTACTACTTGCACCAAACCAAGAGAAACAGCCGCGAAGTGTGCCAATTGTGGAGGGTCACATCCAGCAAATTACAGGGGTTGTAAAACGTAAAAGAATTAAGGGAAGCCAGAAGTCCCAGGAAAACTTCGAAAAACTCTGCCAAAACACAAATTAGCGTACCTCCAGCAATCCATGAGTTTCCGCCTCTACCTGAACCTCAGCAGTCTCACTCAGCTTCCTTCACATCAAATTCGCAGCAACTGAAGAGACAGCCTCCACGAACAGTACCTGAAGCAGTACTAGGTCACCAACAGCAGGGATTTTCAGGAATGAGAAAGGGAAAATCTCTGGCCGACATTCATCCAGCATCAGCTCAGCTGCTCAACTTAGTAAGTGGGTTGAATAACCTCATCCAGCCCCTTTTCAGTCTCCTTCAAGAACTTTCACAAGTCACCCAGGCCTTATTCACTGATTATGGCAACTATCAGCTGACTGTGGGTTCCATGTCCGTTCTTCTTTGGAACACAAACAGGGTTAATCAACATAAGACTGAACTTGACATGTACTTGCACAAAAAACGGACTGACATTGCCCTTATCACTGAAACTCACTTAACTCCATGTACTAAATTTTACATTCCCGGTTACAGAATATACAGAACTGATCACCCAGACAATACAGCTCACGGCAACACAGCGATACTAATTAAAACATCACTAAAGTACCACTCACTACATTTACCCATTATACCTGATATACAATCTACAGCCATTACTCTATATACCCAAAACCAAACCATTACCTTTGCTGCACTGTACTGTCCTCCGAGGTATGTGCTCACACCTGCGATGTTTTGCAATTTCTTCAGTCGTCTGGGGAAGTGTTTTATTGCTGGTGGCGATTACAATGGCAAACACCAGTCCAGGGGATCACGACTTTGTACTCCTAGAGGAAGAAATCTAAAGTCTGCCATCCATCAGCTTTCATTAGACACGATCTCACCTGATACACCTACTTACTGGCCAACTTCAAGACAGAAAACACCAGACCTACTTGACTTTTTCGTCACTAAAGGACTAAGGACTATACCATACACTATAAATGCAAGCTGCGATCTTTGTTCCGATCATTCTCTTCTCAGCTTAGTACCGTATGATGAGCCATGAACTACAATGAAACGACCATCTCTCGTAGGAGGAATTATCGATTGGGATGGATATTGAGATAAGCTAAACAAAATGCTCTCTATTCCAATGTCCCTAAGGAACGAATATGAAGTTGAAGAAGCTGTGGATAAATTCACAAACAGCATTCAACAAGCTATATTGTCTTCTTCTGTCCCAAGGTCCAACAGAAATGAGTGGCTTCCAACATATCCTCAGTACATAAGAGATTTGATCAGGGCAAAGAGAAGAGCTCGCAAAGTATGGCAAACTGGTCGACTGCCATCTGACAAACGGACATTCAATAGACTTAACAATGAACTAAAACGACATATCCAAAGTTATAAAACTACAATTTATGACAACTACATCAGAAATCTCTCTACTGACGATGGGAGCTTATGGAGGCATACAAAAAAACTTGTAAGATGGGAGCTTATGGAGGCATACAAAAAAACTTGTAAATCATCATGAAGTGTCAGCACCTTCCCGAAACGAAGATGGTTCCTGGGCCGTGTCAGAAATAGAAAAATCTGAACTATTCGCTATCCATCTTTCTTCTGTTTTTACTCCACATACTGACTTCACCAACATTGAACACGAAGGAAAAGTACTAAACACTTTAGACATTCCACTACAATTGGAATTACCTCTACCTTGCTTCACCCCGAAACTTGTTGCAGAACAAATTAGACAATTACCTAAAAAGAAAGCCTGTGGTCATGACCTGATAACTGCTCAAGTGCTCCAGAAAATGCCAAGAAAAGCTCTAGTTTACTTAACATCTATTTACAATGCAATACTCAGAACGACCAAATTTCCTGTAAAATGGAAATACTCATACATTACAATGATCCACAAACCAAACAAAGACAAATACACCCCTTCATCATACAGGCGAATTAGTCTACTCCCAATATGTTCCAAAATCTATGAAAACCTACTATACAAAAGACTTACTAACATACTGACGGACGGAAAAATAATACCCGACCATCAATTTGGATTCCGACGACAGTATTCAACCATCCATCAATTACACAGGGTGACTGACTACATTGCAACTGCACTGGAGCAAAAATTGTATGCAACTGGAGTATTTCTGGATGTCGCTCAAGCATTCGATAGAGTCTGGCATAAGGGTCTTCTCTTTAAATTTAAGATGATACTTCCTCCTTCCTACTATCTTATACTTCAATCCTTTCTTTCTGACAGATTTTTCTCTGTCTGCCAAGGCTCAGAACCTTTTTCAATAAGACCAGCCTTAGCAGGAGTCCCTCAGGGGTCAGTACTTGCTCCGCTTTTATACATTATATACACACACGACATTCCTAACAGCGCCAGAACAATAGTTCTGACGCTGTTAGGAATGTTATTATAGTGACTTACGCAGACGATACAGCTATTCTAACAAGACATAAATACCTAACACACACCACACAGACTTTACATCATCTAACAAAACTAAACGACTTGTGCAAACTCTGAAAATTTGACTCAACCAAGACAAATCACAACACATCACTTTCACTCTTCGACATGGAACATGCCCTCCTATTTACCTTGACAATGCCGAAATTCCTCAAACAGATAAAATACAATATCTTGGACTGAAATTCGACAGAAGAATGACATGGGGTCCACATATCAACAAAAAAAGAAAAACTTTAAACCTCAGACTACGACTGTTATACTCACTTCTCTCAATGCGATCAAAATTAAATTTATTTTAACTAATTTAATTTCAAAAATTAAATTTGTTTTAGCGTTCTCAAAAGAACGCTAAAACAAAAACTGAACACTTACAATTATCTACTTAAGCCCATATGGACCTACGCTTCACAAATTTACGGAACAGCCAAAACGACCCACATACAAAAACTACAAACTTTTCAGTCTAAAACTTTCAGAACCATAACCAAAGCTCCATGGTACATCACAAACATTACACTACATAAAGACTTTCAAATGCCAACAGTTAACGATCACATACTGACACACTTCAAGCGATTTCACAATAACTTACATGGACATACTATCACACTTATACAAAGTATGGCTACATTTAACATGCCCAAAAACACACTTAGGAGGCTGGCTCAAAAGGAGGATGAGGGATTTCCTCACTTAAAAATATGCTAAAATCAAGACAGGAAGGGATGCCATTGGGCACTCCTCTCCATCATGCCGATCAAGCCACTACCTGTACACTTACCGACAGCAGACCTGCTAATTGTCATTGCTTATGACAGATGTGGGTAAATAAATAGTTTAAAAAAAAAAAAAAAGGCATGCCATCATAATAATTTAAATCTGACCTACCTAAGAACTCATCAGCTATTGAATTATCAACTTATGATAATACTTGTTCAGATTAATAATGTTAGTATAAGCATCAAATTAATATTCAGTAATTAGCATCTCTTTTATAGCCCTTACAGCTAAATGGACCAGATAAAACTCTGTATACCCAGACAGGTAATCTCTATGAACTGGCAATATTATTAGAATCTATGTTGTTGGGAGCAGGGTATGATGCTTACATAGTATCAGGGATGGTTACTCAAGTCAGAGCCCATGGTTTTATGGAAGAATATTCTCCAAACCAAAACGATATTAAAGCACCTGAGGTAAGTATTCAAAAACATACAATGTAAATGTTATAATAATATATTAATTTATTGGTAAACAAGTTTCCAGTTTGCTACATGCACCTCTATCCATATTCTGGTTGTATATGTCAACATTTTTACCCTAAAGTGGTCTTGTCCCAACTAGTGCAGCATATTGTTGTGAAGAGGTTTCCTGAAGGATTTGTTCTAGCCACATCTGTTCATAGCATTCTGTCATGCACACAATGATTTTCCCTGCCGTATCAGTGCTCATCATTTTTACCAATTTCCCAGGAACATGCATTTTAATCTTCCAAAAACATTTTTAACCTGTTTTAGGACAAACAATCTTATGTACTCCTTCCTCTTCTGAACCCTACTTGGTAGCCATCTATTATATTTTCATAATACAGATATGTCAGATTTAGTGGGATAATGAGCATCAGTTTATAGGAAACTGGAAGGAGCCTCTGTAATTACTACACTGAAATATTAAGCCTTTTTTAAGGATGGAACAAATTAGACTTGTTTCCAAGCCTCCTGTATCTCTTTCTCATCCCTACTGGATTAGTTGTAGTAGTTTAGATCTTAGGTAGTTTTCATAATCTTCAAACAGCTCTGATGGTAGATTATTCATCAATGGGACCATTCCATTCTTTTATTAAGTTGTTAATAGCTATTTTCACATCTACGATATTTGGTTTTTCAACTTCTTGTGGGTCGAAGTCCTCAATGTGGTCTATTTCTGTTTTGTCTACAAAATAAGGCTTATAATCAAACCAAATATAATCTAAATGGGTTGTTTGATAATATATAACACATGTACAACCCCAGGGATATGATCAATGAAATCTATCACAGAAATTTGTAAATATGTCCTAAAACAATTTTCTAATCATTTCATTGAAATTGTATTGCCTTTCACAAACCAAAATTATTTTAAATTAATTTCAATATCTAATTAACTTAATGGTTTACGAGCATGCGTTGTTTATAACATTTTGATTGGACAATTACAAAACATCTTTTTTAGATTGAATTCAAACGTGAAAACAGTGAACAACTAATCACAATAGAAACATTTTTCAAAGGATCAGAAAGAGATAGATTATCAGAAAGACTAGAAAAGCAGTTCAAGGAAGAACAAAAATTATTGGAAGAGATATACATAGAGAAATCGGCACAAAAGGGAGGATGGAAAGTAAGCAAGAGGAATCATCTTTTTCAAAAAAGTTTAGAAGTTATTATTAATCTTGCAATTGATCTTTGCCCACAAAAAGCCTAAATATAAAAAACCAAAACTCAAATATAAACATGATTAAATGTTAAAACAAAAATGTAAAATTCCAAACATAGTTTTTCTCTCTTTCTCTGTACTAAAAGTTTTTATTTTTTTATTTTTTCTAATTTAAATACAGATTTGATGATAAGAAATAAATTTCAGTAATTAGTAATTCCACTTCCATCATGTATTGGAGAAAGTTTAATTTTCCTGCATGATAACATATTCTAAATTATTCATTTTCTGTGGACCAGACCCCCTACCGTGCACCTCCCCTCCCCTCCTCCCACATCCCTATAAATTGCATATCATTGTGTTTCTTGTAACAATTTATTAAAAAAAGGTCAATATTCCCACAAAAAAAAGTGAACGCACTGCCCTAAAATGGCGTTCGAACATGGCAGACTGACGACTTTGAGTTTAATTAGTTTTTTTGTCACTGTGAATCAGCATTTGGCTTAATTTCATCATAAATGGTATTTTATTAAAGCTAGATAGTCAAGGAACAATAAAACAAGAAAAAATATTTAAAAAACAGTTGGCTTAAACAATAAAAAACAACAATAAAGTCAATTTAAAAAAAAAAAAATTAATTTTAAAATCAAGCGTCATTTGTAATTAAACGGCCAACAATAACGAAAAACCTCATTAAATAAAACATTTGGAGAATATATTTCTCTTTCTAAAACGCTGATTACTTTTTAAAATATTTGAAGCAGTTCCTTAGAAAATGCACGTAAGTGGCAATAAAACGGTACTGGCATAGGTGCACTCCTGGCGTCTACCATACCATTCAGTATTCATAAATGGCTTAGTTATAGTGCTATAATAATGTTTTTGGTAAATTATATTGGTTGTATTAACGAAAAAATATTAATGCAATAATTTAATTGACCGAAAAAATTGTTTATTCAAATTTTTATTATTATTTTTTTTATTTATTATAACTTCCATTATTCTATACGGAAGTCGTTTAAGAACACTTCTATTGTGAAAACGATATAAGTAATAAAACCAATAATAAAACTTAATTCAAAAATACTTTGTTGAATATCTCCAATTTTTTATTTAACATTTGCAATTTAACACTGTTATGTATATTTACTGATTTTAAGAGATAATTTAAATTGCATACACTTCCCCAGAAATGAGTCATATTGATAGCTGTTTTATAAACTAAAGTAATATATACTTAATCTGAACTACATACAATGAATAGTTGCCGGGCTGTTTAGTAAAACTCATGTATCACGAATAAAAAAATTAATTTTTATTTCCTTTCTTTTGTTTGGAAGTTGGACCATATCATAAAAACATAAATAATTGAGCGAAGCTATAAGTTCTTCTAGGTAACCGGAACTGATTGTTAGTATTTGTTCTCAAAATGAGGGAAAACGGGAAATTGAAGCAAAAATTGGAAAAACACATCAAGCGAGCGAGATAGGAAGTGCCATAATCTCCGAAAAGAAAACAAGGATCAGTATCCATTATATGGCTAAACGAATATATAGTAAACAGATGAACAGAATATTTCAAGACGCTGCTATAAGGGGGTCAAATGCTGGAGCAATTTGGATGATATTAAAGGGACGGTGCAGGTTTATTATGGTGAAGACCATTTTATCAGCAAGAAAGATTTAATCAAAGCAATTGGCAAGTCAGCAGGTCTGGACGAAGTAAATCGAACTGCTGTGCGTACATAAGCAACAAATGTAAAGATATATTTCTCCACTTTTTCAATGTATATTGAATATTATGCCATTGAAAAATTATATGAAAGGACTATAGTTTTGTCCCTTTACAAGATAGGAGATACTAGGAAATGTAATAACAATCGAGATTCATTCCTGTTTACTGTACTATAGAAACTCTACTCAAGAATCATAGACGCTAGAATAAGAAATATTGTCGGTTGCCAGAGTGACATAGAGAAACTCAGGTTACATATTGGGACTGCCTTCACTTTAAGGCAGGTTATAGCGAAGTCCATCAAGAAAGAAAATAGCTCTCTATCTGCTTAGTGCCATACACTTTGGATGGTGCTAATATCTACGTTTCTTTTACAAAAGCTTGTTTTTCTTTCTGATTACTTCAAAGATCTTTTGCAAATGCACTAAACAGAAGGCGAGCTATTTCACTTTTTCAATAGACCTCTCTATTATCTACTTCAAAGTGAAGACAGTCCCAATGTGCAACTTAGGCAGCAATCGAAAATAAAGTGGTTTTCACCATAATAAACCTCCATCGTCCTCTTAATATCATCCAAACTGCCCCAGCATTTGATCCTCTTTCAACAGCTCCCTGAAATATTCTGTTCATCTGTCTACTATTTATTCGTTTAGCCATATAATAGATACTGAACCTTGTTTTCTTTTCCGAAATTTTGGCAATTCTTTCCTCGGTCACTTAATGTAGTTTTCCAATTTTTGGGTTCAATTTTGCGATTTTCCGAAATTTTGAGACCAAATACTAACAATTAGTTCCGATTACCTAGAAGAACACATTGCTTTGCCTTTTCCATCTTTCTTTGTGCAGAGAGAATAGTGCATTCAACATTAAAATTTCCTATTTTTTTATGATATAGCTCAACTTCCGAACAAAACAAAGGAAATAAAAATGAGGTTTACTAAATAACCCGTCAACTATTCATTATATGTAAATAAAATTAATTACATTTTAGTTTATAAAACTGGTATTAATTTCCGGGAAAATATATACAATTTAACTTACCTCTAAGAATCAGTAAATATACAAAACGTTTAAATTGCAAACGTTAAATAAAAAATTTAATATATTCAAAATTATTTTTGAATTAAGTTTTATTATTATAATTATATCATTATTATAATAGAGGCCTTCTTAAATGACATCCGTTTAGAATAAAGGAAGTTAAATTAAAGAAAAATAATAATAACAAAATTTGTTTAATATTTTTGGTCAATTAAATTATTGCATTAATATTTGTTGGTTGATACAACCAATATAATGTACCAAAAACGTTATTATAGCACTATAACTAAGTACTAACTGAGTACTGAATGGTGTGGCAGAGGCCTGTAGGCACCTATGCCAGTACCGCTTTTCTGCCGCTTAAGTGCATTTTCTATGGAGCTGTTTCAAATATTTTAAAAAGCAATCAGTGTTTTAGAAAGAGAAATGTATCCTCCATATGTTTTATTTCAGCAGGTTTTCCGTTATTGTTGGCTGTTTAATTACAAACGAAGCTTGATTTTCAACTTAAAAACTTTTTTGTTAAAAAAATTGACTTTATTGTTGTTTCTCATTGTCTAAGCCAATTATATTTAGATATTTTTTCATGTTTTATTAAAGCTGAATAGCTTTAATAAAAGACCAACTATGACGAAATTAAGCCAAATCCAAATGCTGATTCTCAGATACCAAAAAACTAACTCAAGTCAAAGTCATCAGTCCGCCATGTTTGAATGCCATTTTGGGGCAAAGCATTCACTTTTTTTATGGGAACATTGACTTTTTTTTTAATGAATAGTTATAAGGAACACAACGATATGCAATTTATAAAGATGTGGGGGTGGGGTGCACGATGGGGGGAGGGGGAAGCAGGCTCATCGTGTATCAGCAATATACAATACGATCTGGCACCAGAGCCAGGTTACTCTTCCAGGATAGTTTTTCTCGAGTCATAAATGTTTAGATAGACTTAACATCTTTCACATTACTGTCGTAGCCTAAGGTGACAAAATGTCCCACGTTTGGTGGGACTGTCCCAATTTTTAAGAATTTGTCCCATGTTCCGCCGTGTTATAAACCACCATTTTTTGAACTTAATAAACAATCCAAAAATGATCTCTCTAATGAGGTATCATTATTAAACAAATATATTGATAAGGAAAAGGACAAATCTTGGGCATCAACAATTTAACTTCATTTGCTACTTCGATTACCATAATTTTGTAATTTTTAATAAGTTTTTGGAGTATTTTGAAAAATAGCTAGTTGATTGTGCACAAACTGCTGGCACAAGACAACTAAGTCATAAAAATTGTGCTATTATTGAAGTCATAAATACATGATATAATTATTCCCTCTCAAAAATACATTTTTATTACTAAATTATCAACCTTATTTCAGCTGAATACTATGATACCTGAATATATTTGCACCAGATTACCATTATGTAAAATTAGTTATTTTAACGACAAATTTGGACCAAATTTTTAATCAAGATAAAATATTTGCTAAATTATTAAAATATATCTAACCACTAAATATCTTTTTTAAAGGACCGCGTACATGATAAATACCAACAGTACATTGGAAAAATGGCAACTCCACAAGGTATAGATTTAATAGAAAAACTTAAACAAGAAATCAAAGAACGTCAAATGAGAAGAAAGAGTACAAAGGAATTAGAAAAATTGCTAAAAAAGCTGCAAGCAGAAAGAATAAAATTTTTACAGGAAATGGTAATAAACAATGCAGATTTCATCATCTTTTATTTGCCAGCTGTCAATATTTCTCCACTAATGATAATCATGAAATCTAAATGAATATGTTTTTTTTTCAGTTTTTTTCTTCAATTTTTGGTTGGTTGCGACTTGCAGTCAGTGAACTATAAAAAAAATTGTTTATTTTCTTTGTACCGATATTTCAGCCTAAGTTTTAGGTTGTCTAAGACAAATAACATATTTCAAACGAGCAGGCCTGATGGCTTAAAACTTAAGCTGAAACGTTTGACCAAAGAAAACAAACAATTTTTTTGTATAGTTAACTGACTTCAAGTCCCAACCAACTTCTACTAAAAGTATCTTCAGTAAAATATTTATACACTTTTAATATATAACTATAAATTTTGAAAAAAATGGTAAAATTATGATCTCTAAGTAATATATTAGAAGAATGGGGGAGGGAATTAGTTAGCAAGTAAGGCACTGAGCTCCAATTCTTGCAGAGCCAGGTTCAATTCCGGCTGTGGCAGGTTATTATTTGTTCTAGTATACGAGCTGTAGATTAATACTGGGTTCAAGGGACATTACTGAGACTCATTCATCTCCTCTAAAGGGAGTACTCTTAGTTGGAGGAAAAACTTGGCAGTAGAGCATGATCCTTGCCAAATCACCTCCTTGCACAACAGTTGGCCTGGGAACGGCACTTTCATACAAAGTACTGGAATAAAGACCTTTCATGAGGCCCTTCTTTTTTATGTAGTTTATTTAAACTTAAATGAAAAAAAAAAGACAGTAGTATTTCAAAATAAGATAGAAGTAAAAACCAGAAAACGATTTATCTAAATCAATTTCAATTTAAAAAATAATAGTAGTCTTTAATTATTTTATTTGCACATACTTAGGTACTACAAAATAATTTAGGAAAAAATATTAATAATAGACATAAATTATTTTTTAGAGAACAGACGTAGTATTACAAGAGGATGCTGGGACATTAGAAGAAGAATGCAAAAAATATCTTTATCCTCCAGATGTAGAAATCAAGAGTACTTATGTTCAGAAAATGAAATTGCGGAGATTAAAAGAAAAAATAGAAGAAAAGTTATTAAAGGAACAAGCAGGAGAAGAAAGAAGAAAAAAAGAAAACGAAGAGGTAATCTTTCAACGGAATTAAAAAAGCTTCTAATATCTAATATGATACAATAAATCATCTATATATATATTATGCATCATGCTATCGTTATTCGACCCAAGTGCTTTAGAATTGAACTGTAATTGCACAAATATTCAACATCCTTATGAGAACTGAAAGGTTTTTTTTCTTCTTTGATTTCAGATCTGAATTAGGATAAAATACACAAAAATCAGGAGTAATCTTAGATTACCTACAAAGTTACAAAAACTAAACACAAATTCTAATTTTTAATAATGATTGAAATAATTAGATTTAGCTTCTTAAGCTAGTGCTGAAAAACATGTGTTTTGGACTTACATTGGTTGAGGTTTTACCCATCAATTTTAAAATAAATATTTACCTTTAGTTATGAGAAATGAAAGTAAGAATGCTATTAGCCAAAGTATTTAATTATTTTATGATTTTGCTGTTATATTTTTGAAACAAGTTTGTATATATATATATATATATATATATATATATATATATATATATATATATATATATATATATATATATATATATATATGTATATATATATACATATATCAACATTTCACCATATGAAGAGGAAACATCAACCAAGAACTGAGGCCCAGTCAAAAAAAAGTCTTTAAAAAAATAAGTTAACGTATTTATTAATTCAGAAATCAGCCACCGGGTACATAAAATAAGATGGAAGTCAAGAATGGACTAATCAGAAATCAGCCACCGGGTACATAAAATAAGATGGACTGAGCAGTTCTGTCACTTTCCTTCCTGGGCAGCAGAAGAGACGAACTTTTCCCAGGCAACTCAAGAGTACTAGAGAGCTCCCACCACCTTAAGAGACTAAGAAAGATTCACATTGACTTGAGATGGATGTCACCAGATATGCACTTTTAGTTTAATTGAGAGCATTATTTTTTTAAAATCTATGACATATCCATATCCAATTAATGTTACTCCCTTGACATTTGGGCACCAGTGAACTGGTATTCATTTCCCATAAGAGCCGATGTGACAAGCTCAGAAATGAAAAGACATAAAACACTGGTTACGTAAATAAGGTATGTATTTATATGCCTGGCATGTTACAATACTATTTTCCTTAAAATAGAATTATCCGAAGAGCCATTTTATTTCATTGACTATGCATATTTTTAAAATTGTCTCTATAACTCGAATGATTTTCGCTAAACTCATTTTGTCGATGTAAAATTAAATGGTTTTTAGTAACATACATCTTCATTGAAGTAGTCTGAAGTGCTTCAATGCCGAATTTTCAAAATTTCTTTCTCTAAAGTGCCTTTAAGTTTTATTATTAAAGGTCTCCCAACCAAAAATATTTATAGTCAAGTATTATCATATTTTAAATTAATTGTAGGTTTTATTTATAATTAAAGTGATTTTCATAAGATTTATTAATTTTAAAAAAAAATTTACTAAAAGCAGGGTTGTAAGTTAAAGTGTGATGCACAGCACCAGATTATTTAAAACAATTTTATGATAATTTTCATTTCTTACAAACAATTTAATTTAAATATTTTTAATATTAGATGGTTTGTTCCAAGTAGCTGCATCTCCTTTCCATCGGTAGTTTCAATATAGATTCCTGCTAATGGCTAGATGAAAATTCTGGAAGTTCTGGGAGCCTGAAAGCTTTTAGATTTTGGGAGGAAAGCCTTCAAATTGAAATCCTGATAAATCTCAAATTAATGGTGTACAATGCTATGACAAAGCCAGTTCTAATATACAGCTATGAGACCTGGACACTACACAGCGCTCTAGAATGAAGTATTGAAAGATTTAAGAGAAGAAAAATCCTCCACATGATAACTGGAGCGATCTGGAATCAGAGAACTGACACATTGAGAAGTAAGACTAATCAAAAGCTGCTTACAGAAATTGGTCAATCAATATCTAACGATATGAAACCAAGGAGGTTAAGATGGGTGGGGCATGTAGCTCAGAGCAATCCATCTGGAAGCCTCTACATGAAAATGAATGCCTCAATAGTAGACAAAAGACAATGTGGAGCACCTCAAATAGGTTCAATCAGTTTTAAGCCAGGAGAACATGAATTTAGGGAAAGACACTTTAACCACAAATTGACTAATGTATCAATATGGCCATGCATTATCATTCAAGAACATCATGAATCTTGGCCAATCAAGTAGATGTCTAGTACTCAATGACAATTTCCTCAGTTTATGATTCATGAATCTCCCAATCGATAATGTAAATGGTTATATGGTAAGGAAGTATACAATACTGACTCATACCATGACGCCACCTTCGCCAAAACCTTTTACAGCGATGATAAGATTGAGGTGTAGTGTATTGGCTATACTTCCTGTATAACTACAAATTATTCATCTAAAAATTCCTTTTCGCTTTAAAATTACATGTCATTTGTTAAAAATTACTTTTTATATGGTTCTATATATTTTTAAATTTTAAAAAATTAACAAGAAAGATTTGTCTTTCACATGTTACTTATTTATTAATGATAGGAGGCATCTTTCAATAAAAAAAAAAAAAAAAAAGTATGAATCAATAAAGAAACTACTCCATTACAAAATATTTGATTCATTTATATTCTTAAATTTATTTAATTTTTTTTTTTTAGAGATATTTCAAGCATCGATATGCAAAATATCTAGCAACAGTACGTTTAGCCCCTACAATTAAAACAGGAAGAGAATACGAAGAAGAAAAATTGAGATTCTTTGAAGATATGAGAGAATATATCGGTGAAAAAATAGATGTATTTGACCAAGTTATTGAAGAAGAAAGAGAAAGTATTCTCTATGAAGATTTGCACTTTATTAAAGATGATGTATATAAATTATACTTTGGGGAAAAAACTAAGAAGGAAAGAGCAAGAAAAATTAAAAAAAGTGAAAAAGAAAAATCCAAAGATATAATAATTGAAGGAGAAGTATCAGATAAGAAACTTACCGAAATAAAGGAACGTAGGGAAACAGTACACATTAGTGAACACGGCATGACAACAGAAAATGTTCCCTTTTTGAAAGAAACTGAAAGAGAAGATGAAGAAGGCATTAGTGAAGAAATGTCAGAAGAAGAAATTTTTGAATTTCAGCCAGCATCGGAACTAGAACTTCCAAAGAAAAAAAAAGTAAACAAAAGAGCAGTAAGAAAATTGAGAGCAAAATTAGAAAAGACTTTTCCAACATTTCAAGGAGAACTGCAATCAATTCCAACCAAAGAACCTGAGCCAATAGAAAAAGTTATAGCTATTAATCCAGTCATATATTGCTGGATTTTAATAAAAAAAAACGACTTTGACATCAAACAAGATAGCTTCTTAGATATAAATACTGGATTATTGTATTCAACAATGGACAAACAATGTCTTAGGATTGACTGTGTTTGGAATGATAAAAACTACTACATACCTTATTACCAAAGGAAACATAAAAAAAATGTAAGATTTTTTACTATTTATATTTAATAAAATAATTTACTCTATGTTAACTTTTGTGACTTTTATAAATAAAATGTAACTTTTTGGAACTCAGAATCCATATCAATCTACAGAGCTTCTTTTTAATCTATCACTATTTCTCTCATTCCTCTTACAAGTCCTCAATCATCAATCCTTCATGAAAAATGTAATTTTTGATATGATTGATTTACAAACATTTTGACAGGTCTTGGTATGTAAAAATATTCAGTATAATGTACTTTTAATATGAGCAATATTTTCCAGAGGAAAAGTTATTACTTTTTTCATTCATAACTTTTTAATCAAACTTTTACAATCAATCTCCAGCTATGTCTGTTCCTTTAGACTAGAATGTTCGACTTCAAAGATGAAAATCTCTGGTGGCATTTGTTATGTGGTGAGCCAAAGAAATATCAACAACTTAGACGATCTATGAGGGATATTGTAGATCCTATGATCCAAAAACATTTGGAAGTGCCAAGAACCTGGGTAGGACACATGAAATTTCCAAAAAAACGTAATATCCATACTTCTATTTCATCAAAACAATCAATTATATTAAAATTCATGAGAAATACACATGGAACACGTGCAAATAGTTTAATTTCATATGAAAGTAAATAGTGAGACTGATAAGATAGGCTATATAAATATTTTCTTTTGTTTATAGTTTATCAGTATATTAGTCCGGGAGCATTTAGTGTATTTAGTATTTAGACATGAAATAATGATCAATTATCCCATAATCGTGGATTTCAAGTGGAAAATTTGAATTTATAACTGAAATACTTTTTTCGTTTTTTGTTTATATCAGTAAAACTAGGCGTTCTAGGGATAATAATGTTCTATAAAAATTAAAGCTGAAAAAATGTTTATACTCATTTCTTCACTATTTTCTATAGTTTCTGAGATATCCGTTCTCAAATTACACTAACTTTAAAAAAAAAATGTTTGTGTCGCATTTTTTTTGACTCGTTAACTGTTTATCTTTTCATTTTACAAAAAAGTCATGCGGAAGAAAGTTGTTTAGCATTAAACTTTCAGTAAGAATATATATTAATTTAATATCTTATCTTCAACCATTCAAAAGCTTAGAGAAACTATAACTTTATTTTTAAACTCCGATACTATGGGTAAAACTTCCTTTTCGTTATTATACAGCTATTAATCATTATATAAAGCAATGTATATGTATATCATATAAGTCAATGAATACATATGTATGTTGGCTTATATAAAGAATAGGAGTTGAGTAATAACGAAAATTACAAAAAGTTTTTTCTGATAGTATTGGAGTATAAATATTAAGTTATATTTGCTCTAGCTTATGAATGGTTGAAGATAAGATATTAAGGTGATATATATTCTTAACAAAAATTTAACATCAAACAACTTTCTTCCTCATGACTTTTTTGTAAAACTGAAGTAAGTTTCCTACATTTAATATCCTTATAAATTTTTCCTAACCAACTTTAAAAATGCTATTACAAGCTCTTAATGAGATCAAATTCTTTACTATTTAATATTTAGATATTTTTGAGCAATACTTGACATGAATAATAATCAGTAATTACAGATTTGTTTTATTAGTTAATTTTTTAGAAAACAATGTTTCCAGGATTTGATAAATTCTTCAAAGATGAAAAAATGAGAGTTTTCCGCTACAAGAGAGTAAGAATTGACTTGTATGAATATGGTGTAACGTATGATGGAATTAGAAAAAGAGTTATTGAATTTTATAATATGCAGCAGACACGTGTAAAATGTATTCGTGAAACATTTGAAAATAGAAATGATTTTCTTGTTTACAGAACCAAGTTTTATAGAAATGGAAAAAACATTAATATTGATAATGATGCAGTGAAAATTTCAGAAGTATTTGAACCTGGAAGAGCAGATAATCTGAAATGTAAGATATTGAAGGAAGTTAGTCGACTGTTCTACATATCACAGGAGATAAATAATCAGGAAGCAGTCAATTTAAGATTTTTTATTGTTGCCGACGTTCCAACTCATACATCATCAGGGCAAGTTTGCAGGACTCAAGGAGTTCAATTACTTCAGGTGTTCAAATACTGAAAGTGTTGGGTACTTGAACACCCTCTGTACTGCAAACATGTTCTGGTGATGAACCACATGTTTGGGCTGAAACATCAGCAACAATAAAAAATCTTAAAATCTGCTTTCTGATTATTTATCTACTGTTAAATGTAAAAAATATATATTTTTAAATTTTGTATAACAAAATGCTATATATTTAAGATATGTAACGAAAATATCTAAATTTAATCATTTTTATTACTTTAAGCTTCTTTTGGTATTTTGTTTCTTGGGTCTTATCTTGAAGAATGACTTCTTATTCTTCAATCTCCTCAGGAATCTCATTAGTTTTAGTTTTTTCCATCTTTAAAGGAAGACATTTTAATCTCTTCTTGCTCTCACATTATTATAGAGGCTATAATATAGTTTCAAAAAGTAAAGACGTGCTTATTAATTCTTGAAGTTTACAGTAGGAAATTCTTTTCACACTGACAGAATTTAAAATTGAAATTTTCAGTTTGCTCTGCAAGTCAGATAAATTCTTTACAATTTAATGCCTTAGTTTGAATTGACTTGATTTTCAAACTTCTTACCATCTTGCTCTAATAATAACATTCTGTTTCTATCACTAATAAGAAAGTAAATCTTATAAATCTTTAAATTAAAGGTTTCAGAGTTTATCAATATCCTGATGGGAGACGACTAATTGACATGTTTTTCTATTCTGAATTTAGAATAGATTTTCTAAAAATGTATTCCATATCCCCAACACGCTTAAAAATGCAATTTTTGAAGGGAAGAACAGACCAAATGGTAAAGTTAAAAATGAGCTATTATGAAAACACATTTTTGGAAGAACAATATCACAGAGAATCTCGTTTTAATGTATGTATTCAGCTTTCTTTTTTCATATTTAATATATATATATCACTTTCATTGTAAAATTTATATTACGACCATCATGTGTTTGTCAGTAATAAAAACATTCATAAGGGCAAGGTAGTCTAATTTCTTAAAATCAATTTATGGGACACCTCGAACATGATGGAATTGTGTAGGAAGAAGTGGAAGCAGCTGTGGAAAGACACAAAACAGGAAAGGTGAGATGGCATTGCTCCTGAATTCATAAAATATGGACGGAAAAGTTTAATAGGGGTACTTCAAGTTCTATTTCAAAAAGTTTACGAAGAGAAAAGAATACCCAAGGGTTGGGAATATAATATAATTATATCCATATTCAAGAAAGGGAGTCAGAGCGAATGCCAAAACTACAGGCCTATATGTTTTCTCAGGTTGTATACAACTAAATACATCGATTCTTGAGAGGCTCGGTAAAAAATCTATTGGAAGGAGAAAAAGTAGCTTTCAGATCATCAAGACAAACCGAAAACCACATCTTTGCTCAAAGGACAATTATAGAAAAAGCGTGGGAACGTGACAAACATATGTATTTGACCTTTTTAGATATTAAAGCAGCTTTTGATTCGGTGACAAGGGAAGAAATATGAAATGCACTGAAAAATAAGAACATCCCAGGAGACCTTATCCAAGCAATACAATCGACATATAAAGATTCTAAGGGTATAGTAAGGATCAATGGGAAGGAATCAAACAGCTTTAATATGGACAAAGGAGTCAAACAAGCAGTCATATGTCCAAGTGAGGTCATCACCTACATTGGTGTCAGAATTGGAAGAAATTTTAATATGACACCTCACTTGGACTATTTCTGAAGTAGGATGACCTTGGCCCTTAGTAGACACAGTTTTATCAGATATGCCTTTTGGGGTCTCAGATACCCAGCGACTATGACCATTTATGAAGTTGTAGTTCTGGGTATTCTGTGGTGTGCATTCCCTGGCTGGAATATGTATAACCAGAAGAGCAGGTAGGTGTCGATTCACCGGATAGCTTTGCTGTGAGTCACTAAGTCTTACAGAACAGTGTATCATGAGGCAGTACTCATCGTGGCAGGAGTACTTCTTGACCTCCTAATCAGACATGAGCAAGCATCAGATGTTAATAGAAGGCTCGGCAGGTATAATACAAGAGTACACCCTTGACAAATAGAATAGTAACAACTTCGAAAGGAATTACTGAGAGGAAATATTTTCTCACTATCAGTTTCCAGTTAGCAGCAAAATGCGTTGAACCTGATTACGGGGTCTCCAAACAACTCACTGAATATGGGAGCTTCCAAGCAAAGCTCTTTCAACTTGGAAAAAATGTCGACCCTTTGTGCCCCAGTTTTGGAGTACTAGAAATCGCTGAGCACATTGTCCCAGCCTTTACTGTCTATGAGGCACTGAGAGCCAAACTGTTGAGTGTAACAAGTCACTATGTTATGACAGAGAGTGATTTCCCTCAGCTAATGAGTGCAGAAAACTATACACACTTTAAAGATTTTCTGTCAGGGTGGAAAACAATTATAGGCTCGACTCATTTCTCCTTGGGAAGAATAGGAACACCTGGAAGGCTGAAGACAGAGGTGGAACAGAATAAAATCGTGACCATACCTGAAGAAACATGTTCAAACTGTGCACCCAGCTCAAGGAAATTGTGATATTGTTTTTCAAGGAGCAGAGTAATGTTATGCAGGCATGTGTAACAGCTCACTACTGATAAAATCTGTATTGCATATTAGCCATGGTAGGAATGAAAATAAAAAAATACAAAAAAAAAACACTTTGTATGCCTGAAAATGGCAGGGTCAGGGTAGGCGAGGAAGATATATTAATATGGGGGTTCATAAATAAAGAGTTATGAAATCACCAACTGAATGTTCAGTTTAATTTTAACAAATTTTAAGCAATGTATTCATCCCATGAAATAAATAAATATCAGTCAGAAAACTAAAATTAATTAATATAGTTTGTTTTCAGAGAATAGTGATAACATATCATCAAAAACCAATATATCTTCATTACCTTAAACTCGCAGGATACTTCCAAGATCCCCCTATTAGATTAGATATTGATTTAAAAGTTGGACTTTCTTATTATTTCTTTAAAGATGAGGGGGAGAAAGAACTAAAATTTGCAATGTGGGAGCTTCATTATAACATAGTTGAAGAAACATTTATCAGTCCAAATATACATCCTAATAGGGTATATTTTTTTGGAGTAAGTATATTTTTAATGATTACCCTTATATCATTTTACTTAAGTTTGAAAAAAAAATATGAATAACAAGTTATATTTTTAAAGTCAAGTGAAGAAAGGAAAAGCACTCTTGAAAGGGAAGTTATGTTAGAAAGAGAGCGTTCAGACAAAATCAAATATTTAAACTTGGCTCGTATTACAGAAAAAGAGGTTACAATTTTATTTATTAGTAATTTTAAAAAACATTTTTTGTGGTACATATTATATTTTAATTATATATTTGGATAAGTTAATGAGAATGGATTCTAGCAGATGTCATATAATATTTGATAATTGAGCTAGCGAAATACATTTTTTAATTTTTCCTACAACACAATTTCTTATCAATCAATATAGTATCCATTGCCAAGTATAAATATCCTGATAAATGGGCTATAAGAGGCTGAGTGGCAGGGTTAAAAACACAAAAAATGTGTTTTATATATTTAAAAAATGTTCTCTGCCATTAACTCCAAAGCAACTTAAACTTAAACAATTTTTATGAAACTGGCCAAAAGACTTTTCCTGGAAGTTCTTTAACCTTTTATGTACAGTACATCACTGAGAAAAAGCATGTAAAAATGTTATGATGAGAAGTTACTTTATTTGAGACCAACTACAAAACAAAACAGTATTAGCAAAGACTAGGCATAATAGCCTTTTTCGAATTACTTGAAAACTACACATCTTCAGGAATATTTCAGCTGCCTATGCAGTAGAGGATGTGACTGCAATAAGGGTCCATACAACAAAAGTTACATTTAGGCTGCGAACATTCAATTTTCTTAATGACTGTTCATAATTTTACATTAACTTATCTATAAATAGAATATATAATAAGGAAAATTGATATTGTGAAAAATTTCAAAACTGTGCTTTCAAAGGAAATACACGTTTGGAGATTACTTGAACCTAAATAACTAATTTTTGCAATATGATCTGTGTGTATATGAATATTCTACCTCCAAAACGAAAAGTCTAATGGAACCAAAATTATAAATTTAAGGTAGGTATATGCCTGGGATGTTTGATCCCATTGTTTGGGAAGAAATTTGACAATGACAAAAATAAGCAATCTATAAGATTATTAAACCTACAGAATAAAATAAATGATGTATATAGTCTGTGGTACAGACCCCTTTTTTCAAATTATTAACATCTGCCTAAAACTCCATAAATAGCTTCATCTCATTGTAACCTACAAATATTTTATTTATGAAAATTCTCTGAATTGGAGGGTTTTCAATCTGGAGGTCGGCAAATTTTGTGTATTTAATTAGGTACTAAAAACTTATAAATACCCATTTGCTTTCCACTTGAATTGTAAAAAATTTTGAGCTCAAAATCGAGAAAAAACGTGGCCTTTGAAAATATTGATCCGTTTGGCGTGACCTACACTTTCAAATTGTCAAAACAACGAGGTGATATAGGCCAAACGGACCAATATTTTTGTAGGCCACTTTTTTTTTTTTATCAATTTTATGATCAAATTATCTCACGATCACGTGTGATAATCAGGTGGAACACATATGGTTATTTACAAGTTTTTAGTACCCAATTAAATATAAAAAGTTTGACGACCTCCAGATTGAAAACGCCCCAATTCCGAGACTTTTCGTAAATAAAATATTTGTAGGTTACGATGAAATGAAGCTATTTACGAAGTTTCAGGCGGATGTTAATAATTTGATAAAAAGGGGTCTGTACCTTGGAGTTTGTTTCATTCATTCGTTTAGCTTATTTATTATTGATTCTGATTTTTTCACTCAAATTATTGGGGGGGGGGGAGGACGATAATCACGCTCCCTTAACATATTTTATGAGAAGGGGGTGTTGGGCGATTAAAATCAAAGAGGCGAAATTCAACGGTTCATTGAACGGAAGATCAGACGGTAGTTGGATGATGAATCTGAATTTGATGTTCCTGTACAAAAGTCTCCATTGCGTTTCGAAATATGTGCAAAAAACTGTGAAATTTCTGAACTTTTTTCTTCAATTTTTTGGACATGACTCCGAAACTATGCATTCTATCAAAATTATTATTATATAGAACGTTAAAGAAGATATAATTTTTATAAACAGCTTTTTGATGTAGTGCCAACCACAAGAAAAATTTCTTTTTGTCCGTTTTTCACCAAAACTCATAATCTATGCATCTATCGAAGAAATTAAATATAATCAATTTGAAAGAGCATTAAATTCCTTATGTACCTCACGAAAACACGTTAAAATGTGAGATTTAGTGGCTGTTAAAGTTCACAGAATCGAAGACATATTTCCCTTGTAGTACCCGCCGCTCTCAACTAAGTGCTTTTTATTTTATAACTATTTTTAGAAATTAAATTATTTTATAACGGAACTAGAATGTATAAATAAATTAGATAGCTTTTATATATTCTGTTGGTATGACAGACTTCAACATCATTAACAACCATAAAAAAATTAAAGACCAAATGTGTTTCAAAGTCCGAACAGTCGAACAAAATTTCGCCTTCTCACATACTATGAATCTACGTAAGGTTGAATTAAATTGAAAGTGCATCAAAATTTTTATTGAGCTCAGGTATAATCATTAATCAAAAAGTTGGAAAGCCATTAGAGAGCTCAGACTTTAAAGCACGTTTTGGTTCTTAAGTTTTTGATTATTATGAACTTTGATGTCTCTCAAACTAACAGAGCACTGAGTCAAATCACATTTTGTTTTTTCCATAAACCTTTGATATTACTTTTAAAATATTCACAAATAAATAAATATATTGAAAGATGATAATGTAATCTTCTACTTCATGCATTTTTTTGGTAAATATTTTATAAGTAATGTCAAAGAGTTAGGGAAACCCACCATTATTATCATTATTATCAAAGCGCTTTCGGTGGCCGGTCAGCCTTATGGCAATCCCTGACGGCTACCTTGAGGTTGCCACTGCGTACTTACCAGAGTGGGAATGTCACGATCCATTTCCTGGGGCCCTTAAGAAATGAAAAGTAACTGACCCATGTAAGAATCAAACCCACAACATTCAGAATCGGATACTCTGGGGTCCACGTCCCAACATGCTCGGCCATCCCGTCCTCAACAGCCGCATATGCTCTTACAACTTGGGGGAGGGGGGAGATGATAGAGCACTGCGCGTTGTCTGGCAACCTGAATAGAATTAATGTGAAAGAATAACACCGAGTTCGCCTCCGGGTGCCAAGGAGAAATTTTAACTGAGGCATTAATCCCCTGCCCTCACTCCCTGGCCCGGCAAACCCCCCCTACAGCCTAAAAGGGAAGGAAGGGGAGCACAAAAAAGAAATACTCTTACAACTTTAAGTTAAAAAAGAATTCTTAAAAGCTTGATTTAATAATAATAATAATGGTGGTTTTCAATAACACTCTGACATTACTTTTAAATATTTACCAAAAAAATGCATTAAGTAGAAGATTAGATTATCATCTTTCAATATATTTATTTATTTGTGAATATTTTAAAAGTAATACCAAAGGTTTATGGAAAAAACAAAATGTGATTTGACTCAGTGCTGCATGAGTTTGTCCTATGGCTGCTATAAACCATACTAATTCAATTAATTTTAAACTGGACAAATCCTGTGCATCCAATTTCACTTGCAACATTAATAGGTCAGGTACTATTTTAAATAGATTGCTAAAAAAATAATTAATTTAATTTAATAATATAACTGAATAATAAATATTTTATTTTCTGTACTAGTGCCATGATATAATAAAACAAAGAGTTGATGATGAAAAAAATATTTTAATTGATGTATCAAGAAAAAGCAAGTGGGCTCCAGGAGTGGCAGAAAAATTGAAGATTGAACAACTATACCTTGTAATAATTATACGCATTCCTTTTTAATATTATACACATTACTTTTTGATTTTCTAACACTACTCTGTAAGGAAAGTAAATATTGTAACTGGGCCAAAGTTTCGATATGCAGTTTTCAACTAATCTAAGCAGTTCATAATCTCTTGGTCTGCGATGTTTACACCACAATTAACTCCATAAGGGTGAACTGATTTTTAAAAAATTGTTAATTGGAATTTTGGCCAAGAGATGTCTGTGTATCAAATACACCACCCATAAGAATACTCCTAGATATTTTTTGTATGTATTTGTATGATACTTACATGCCAGACTAATATACATATTTTTTAAACTCTACTATTATTCTAAGGGAACTTCAGTCCCAGAATAAAATTATTTTTCATTTCATTTCAAAGAATGGAACCCTCTAAAATTTCATATACAGTACATCTCAGAGAAAAACAGGAAAACAGTTATAAATAAAATAAAATTTTATTTTGCTCTTAAATAAAAAAAGTAAACATTTTATAACCAATTGTGAAGGTTTAATTAAATGCTCTACAAAATGAATACATATATATTATATAAATCAAACCATTATCATGATCAGATTCTCATGGAAACCCATTCAATAAATAATTTGATAATGGTACATCTCTCAGAGGGAGAGGGATAGCTCAGTGGTAGGTACTGAGCTCTTCCAATGCTAAAGGTTTCAGGTTCGAATCCCGGTTCATGGCAGAAAATTTATTTCCTCTGTTTCACTGGCCATTAGGTAACCCTGGGTCGGGAGACCCTTCTGGTGCACACCCAGCCTCTATAAAGTGGGTACCCCTAATTGAATAATTAATTAAGGGGGAAATTGAGCGTGATCTCGGTCAAATCACCTCCTTGCACAACCATTGACCTAGAAACAGTGCTTTCCCAAAGTAGTACTGAACCCAAGAACCTTCATGGGTTGTAGTGGTACAAGAACTTTCCATATGCTCATTTAAAAGAGAATTATTTTCCAACAAAGCTTGACTGAAAAAAATCATAATTGGACCAACATAAAGCTGTGTTTACACATTTCCGAAAGAGGTGTTTTTCTCAAATAGTGTCCGTGTCCCTCTGTTTGTGAAGTGCAGTTAATTTTTTATTACATATCAAAGAGAACTTGCAGAAAGAAGTGTAATAGCGCTAATGTTGCTTGATATTTAAATTTTCCTCCCTCATCACCTCGTTTATTAGTTTTTTTTTGTTTTGTTTTTTCTTATTTCTGTGTTCAAGAAATGTGTAAAGCAGGGTTTAGAGAAGATGCAATAATTTGTATTGGTTAAAAGAAATATTTCAATATTTTGGAAGTAATGATTAGACATTAAATTAAGAAAAACAAATAATATTTGGCCATCATAAATTGAGATTGATACATATTTATTTTTATAACCATTAATAAGGCTTAATTAACAATATCACAATCACATTTATACAAATGATCCCCAGCTTATGATTAAGGAATGGCAAAACTTCAATACAATTTTTTTTTTATTTCATAAAAATATATCATTTGTCAATAATTATGGATAGTCTCTATAATTTGATTTATAAATAAATTTAATGATCTGTTACCATTAACACCCTCAACTATACCTAATAACTGAATTATAATAGAGTGTTATTTTAAAGAAGATACAATGAACAGTTATGAACAAGTAAATTGTAGATAAAAAGCATGACAGACTTTAAATACAAATACATATATGAAGCACAAATACTTGTTATTTAACATGTTTTTAGTGCTCCAGGGTAAAAGAAAAAAAATATTATTCACCAATAAAATGACATATTTTCATAAAATTACTTATTTGTTTTAACCATTTGAACTGTGATAAACAATTAACACTGACATAAGCTAAGAAAATTGATAAATAATTGTGCCTTTCAGATAGCAGAAAGAGTGGAGAGAAGATTAAACATCTTGCGGGAGAAAAATATTTTAAATTATTTTGAGGATTTAGCAGAAGGAAGAAAATTAGATTTTATAATAATGCAGTTATTGAAATCAATAGCAGGAGAAGAATTTAATCTTAAAGTAGCTCAACTTATAAACCAATTATTGAAGAAATACAAAAAGGTTGTTATTTATAGAATAGACTTTTTAATTAGAACCATATCATAGCTTATTTCAATGGATATTTAAACTGTAAATTGGTGATTAATAATTAGTTAAAGAAATTTAATTTTAAATTAACAAATCATTACTAAGAATAATAAATGTCAACTCCAATGGTTACTGATATTATTGAAGAATTCTACAAACTGTAAAATGGTTTTACACAATAGAATTTGCCACTGAATGAGAAGATGCTTTATAAATCCATGAAATATTTTTATATTTTACTTCTTCTTTCACACAAGTGCAATGAAATAGTTTTTTAAAAAATGTCGTTGCCTTGATTAGGAGAATTTTAAATATTCTTTTTAAACTTAAACAATATTTTAAAAGTTTACATTTAGTCAGTAGATTTCATTTAATTCCCATGAAAACATGTGATTTCCATTAAATAATATTAGTTTTCACAAATTATTATTTATAATTTTTTGTCACTCTCCATAACTTTCTATATTAGATATTGTTTTTTTCTAAAATTCTCCGCTTCCCAATGATATATTATAGGTTTAACTTTTGACTAGTATTTCCAGAAATTCATTTTCAACCTAAATAAATATTTTCCCTTTTTTTCTCCATTTTTCAATTATCAAATTCTTTTAAAAATTATATTTACCTTTTTTTTTAAACTCTTAGTAATGAGAGTCAGTTAATTATTTAAAATAAACCAAATTAAAGGTACTTTAGAAGGCACGAACGCAAGCAAAGATAAACACACACAGACTTGGTTATTTAGACTCAGGGAATCTCAAAATGGGTATTTCCATTGAAAACTGAGATTAAAAAATTTTCATGATCGTAATACTTTCTTCCTTACTATATATTACATATATATAGGTAAGTGAAAGTAAAAACTGTATTTTTATTAATGTTCTCATTTGGAATACAACCGTTAACTAGCTTCCTATCCATATTATCTACGGGCAACTATTTCTTCACCTTTATATTTTATATTTCATTCAATTAGTTAGAATAACAATTATATTCTTGTAAAAACTGTTTTAACTAAATATTTTAAAAATATTTAATAAACAATGGTTATAATAAACTTCCTTCCAAAAATAAAATATAACTCCTCATAATAAGCCATTAATAACATATGTTTAAATTTCTTATTTTATTATTTTTTTTTAGGCACAGAAAAAAGGATGCCCATCCGCAAAAGTTTTTGCTACGGTAGCTGAAAAATTTTGTAATTTTATTGATGCATACAAAGTCTACTATCACAAGCATTCTCAAGAAGCAGAAGAATACTATAAGCGTTATAATGAAGTTGAAGATGATGGATCTGAAAATTTAATAAGAAAATATATTTATGGAGAAGATTTTACAGACAACATTTCTAACCTAAAAAATGTCTTAGGATTATTTAGTCCTAAAAGTATGGCTTTATGGTTTGATAAATGGTTCAAAAAAGAAATAAACAAATATGGAACTGAAGATGTTGGTGAAATGATAAAAAGTATAGATGAAATTCTGTTATTAAGAGAACCAAAAATTAAACCAATAAATACAAGCTTTTGGAAGGCATTAGGGGAATTTGAAAATACTGTGGAATCCAAACAAGAAGCCATACTAACTTCAGATAAATCTAGTGCTTCAGCAGCTTCAGATTCTATAGCTAAAAATACAGAAACTAAGAAACAAGAAATGGAAACTACTGACACTGACACAGATGATCTATGTGAAACATTATTAGCAAGTTATATTGATAAGAGGTATGACAAACCAGAAAAAGAGAGAATTCTACAAGAAGATATTGGAATATACGATGAGCAAGAAACATCTTCAAGATCAAGAAATAATGTATTTTCAATAGAAGAAAAAGAAGAAGCTAATTTAGAAAATGTTTTTACACAACAAATAAAGAAGCTAGTGAAGAGATATGGCATTGTAAATATTAAAGAAGGACTTATCAACGTTGGTATGGAGAAATATTTGTATAATCTACAAAAAGATATAGGAAATGTAGACTGTGTTTTATTTGGGGAAGAATCCAATAAAAAAGAATTTGATGAGTTTAAAAAAGAGCTTTTGAAAAGAAGGAAAATGAGAAAAATGAAAAAGAAACAGGATGTAGACAAATTGCATGAATTAGAATTATCTCACTCAGCAGGTTCAACAACCAGTTTCCATGATAATATTGAAAAAGCTCTCTCGGATTACCCATGGAATTTAGAACCAAAAAATTTGCATAAAGACCTCAAAGTCATGGTAGAAACTCTGGAAACAGAACTTATGAACTGCAATCTTAAACATTATTCTGTGCCTCAGCCAATATTAGCCAGCAAGTTGGAAAAACCAGAAAGTTCAACAGAGCAAATTTTACCTGGATGGGCAATTACAAAAAAACAAAGTAAACAAAAAAAAAAAATAATACCTCTTATTAAGAAATCAATGGAAGGAAAAATGGAAGCCAATCAACAGAAATTATTAAAAAACATCGTTTTCAAGTTGATACTAAAAGATCAAAAGGATATTAGTCCTGAAGAGCTAGAAAAGGTATTCAAAAAATTTTCCGAAGGTAAAGATGCTTGGGGTCCAGGTTGGAATAATTACGGTGACAGATTGAAACAGCTGTTAACTGAAACCTATCAACAGAAAGTATTAGAATCAGCCCTCGAAGACTACAAGTTTCAAGAAAACTATTTAGGTCTACAGGATTTGGCCAGAGCTAGGGAGCGCTTTACCAAGTATGAATATACAGATGTACCATTTGAAGAATGTGAAATATCACCGAGTGAAAGCTTCTCGGAAAAGACAAAATTGGTTGCATCTGATCCTTTTATGGATCTCATTGACACCAAGAAAAGAGGAGGATATTTACCTTCTTTGGAAGATATGATCACGAGAAAAAATAAATTAAAAGAATATGAAAGGAAAAGATTAGAAAGTTTATCACATAAAAAAGATTTAGATAAAAAGAAAGAAAAAAAACTTATAGATTGTGAAAAAGAAAAACAGATTCAAATGTTTCCAGAAATAGAAGATACTTTCAGAGACAAGTCTTGGTTTAATGAAGTTTATTTAGAACAGAGAGACAAATAAAGTTGGGCAATATAGAATCTTCTTTCTTTACATCTATAAGACATATTAGTTCATTACAGGCATCTTAAATCTATAACAGATATAACAGAGGTTTTAAAAAGTTTTATCAGAGGATCGAGAAAAAAATAAAATTGAGAAATATAGTTTTCTTTCTTTAAATCTAATACATAAATATATCTTTGCCTAATAGATACATAAAATGAGGACCAATATTGAAAAGTGTCCTTCTTCATCGATTGTTTATCGATATGAGACTCTTACATGAATAATTTGTTCACTGCATAATTGAGTACAATTCACAGTGCAACCTCACATTCCTATATATTCCTTCTCATTCCCTCACACAATGTCACATAAAGGAGTGAATACCGGGGGATGTCTACTACAATTATCAAAATCATGAAGCCAAAAAATAAATGCATCAACTTTATTTTTATATTAACATTAGGCCAATATATTCAAATGGCAAATAAATTCTCATCAGCTTGAGTTGAACTTGGACCATTAGGAATCAATCATTGCCTAAATCAAAATCACCATACATTAGATCTTAACACTTTAAATGAACATCAAAAGAAAGGAAAATTAATAAATTTGGAAGCTTAATTTTCATTTTCAGTATTCAAATTAGTCACAATTTTGTTTCAAAAATCATATTTTTTGTACTTGTGAAAAAGGAGAATATAAAATTCGAACAAAAAAAAACCAGGTGCTGTGCACACATCATACAACTTTCACTTACCACCCTACCTTGAGTTGCAAATATTTTAGGTAGATGTTTTCACATATAGAGAAGTGAAAGTAAATATTATGGACAATATAAGATAATCATTTAAAGCAATAAATTATCAAACAAAAATTGATTTTAAGAATGGGAACAATATACTAAGTTCAATTGTGGTGCGGTCCAGAGCACGGATGTGCACCTTACCAGTGGGGCCTCTCATCCTCGGCATGAATGCAAGTCAAATCTTCCTGGCATTACGCAACTGGCCTAGTCTGCAACACACCTCCAATTCTCACCTACCATCTTCTTGTACCTACCTCCTCGTTCTCACTATCATACGGCTCACCAATATCGGGTGGTGGGGCCCTACCAAAAGAAAAGGAAGCCACTTCCTTTCACCCGTAGATGAACTCTCGAAAGAAGAAGTAGTTCGTGACTTCTATCAGTCGGGAAAAGTCCGTTCCAGTGAGGACGAAGATATTAGTCTTTTTTGACAAACAGACACAGTGTCCTTCTATGTCAGCACAGCGTATCACATGTTTTGCTCAAGGAATCCACAAGTAGTGCACCTGGGATCAATATTCTTCTCATGTGCGAGTAATTTCCCCCTGAAATTCTCCGTGCCGTCAGGATCTGCGAGACACAGTGATCTGGGAGGACCCATTTAGCTTTTAATTTCGATTGAATGGTGGAGAAGAACTTTCTCAATGTTCCACCCTTTTGGCAAGCAATATTTCTCATTGACTAGATTAATTTTTTAAAAAATGCTATATAAATAAAATATAAAAGTGTATCTTTTAGAGAAATTAAGAGCTTTATAAAAAACATTTAATAGAAAACACATTGAAAAAAATAGTTCCACCAACTTTATTTTTCATGTTTTCATCTAAAAATATTTCTGCTTTGGATTGGTCTATTGTTTTTAATGAATAAATAGGTAATCTTTTTGTTTGTTTTCAATAAGGAATGTTAATATAGAGGACAATAACCCTTAATCTTTAATTCAATGAAATGATTCTAGATTCCAATGTTTCCAAGATTCCAAAAAGAACCATTATTATTCTAAAAGAAATTAATAGTAGCGCATGTTTCCTCCTCTTGCCTTCACTACTTCTTGAGGACACCGCGGCATACTTTCCACCAGTCGGGAAATGTCCCTTTGCTGGAGGATAGCTCATTCCTCCCGAAGAGCCCTTTCAAGGTCCTGCAGTGTATCAGGAAGTGTTGCACGCGCTCTTATTCGTCTTCCGAAGTTATCCCATAAATGCTCAATGGGGTTCAAATCTGGAGAACGTGCTGGCCAGGCTAAAACCTCAATATTGCTCTGTTGAAGGAACGTCAGCACTATGCGGGCGACTTGTGGGCGAGCATTAGAATAGAACGATCACCAATTTCGTTGAGGATAGGTAACACATGAGGTTCCAATATCTCATCTACATAGCGAATGGCTGTCAAAGACCCTCCACAAACAACAACCAATTCTGTGCGGCGTTCCATTGAAATCCCAGCCCACACCATTAAGGAATCACGTTGGAAAGGTTGGCTCTGGGAAAAATTATAGGCTGCATATCTTTTGTTTCTTCTTCTCCACACCCTATCACGCCCTTCTGGAGATCAAAGAGCGAATCTTGACTCATCTGTAAAAAGTACAGCACTCCATTCGTCCATAGTCCAATGGCTGTGTTCTCGAGCAAAAGCCAGCCGTGAGTTCTGGTCAACTCTGGTCCTCTTACTGGACGAAAAGCCATTAATCCATACTCATTTAATCTTCTCCGAGCGGTACGTTCAGAAATTTACACACCTCGAACTTCTTCGAGCTGATGAATTGCTTGAACAACGGTAAGGTGACAGTTTCATAAAATTCTCAAAGTAAAAAACCGGTCATCCCATGGTTCTTTCACCATAGGCCATCCAGACCCGGGCCTGACGGCGTCTCATAAAGTTTCATACGGAACTCCGATGGCATTAGCTGCATATCTAATGGAATGTCCATCATCAATAAGTGCCACACCATGCGCAACATCCTCAGCACTAAGAGGCATTTTTAAACTTAATATTGAAAAAATTAAAAGCCAGAGACTAAGAAATGTGCTGCAAGAAACGGCACTGCACTAATGGTACTGAATAAAATTTTGATTCCATAAAAAGTAAACATTGCAATCTAGAATCATTTCATTGAATTAAGGATTAAGGGTTATTGTCCTCTATATTAACATTCCTAATTGAAAATAAACAAAAAGATTACTTATTTATATATTAAAAACAATAGACCAATCCAAAGCAGAAATATTTTTAGATGAAAACATAAAAAAATCAAATGGGTGGAATTTTTTGCCTGTCAGTGTATAATAGATATACATATATTGGCAGATCCTCAACATTTCGTATGAAAATCAATTTTGAAAATTATGGATTAGAGAAGTGAACAGTCAGTTACACAAACAGGAAACCACTGTTACTAGCATGAGAAATGAAATTAAGAGAATCACTCAAAAGTATATTCTCTTGGCTGTTTCTGATTTGCCAGTTACTACCTATGACTAACACTCTTATTTCTCCTTTAGTTAATTATCAAATTCGTAATATAAATTTTAAACCATTTTCAGTTACTAATTACATAGTGAAATGATTAAATATTAAAAAAATCAAATTAAATTTACTTTAATAGAAGAAATGTTGAATTATCAAAATGTTTCTCTCTTAATATGCAAACATCATATGCAATCTTAAAATCTAAAAACAAACTGTTGGGTAGTGAATCGATATCCTCGAACTTCTGACATCCAGATGTGAGCTCACACACACATATACACAATTTGACGAAACTTAATTATTGGCAAAACTTGCATTGTATATTTTTTATTTAAAAGCTACTTCCAAGACCTCACTCATAAATTGAAAAAATAGAATTTGGATTTAATATTTTATTTTATCATTATTGAATGTTTTACAAACAATTGCATATCTTGATACTAATATAATTCTAAAATAAGAAATGTGTAATTTCTCTTTTAAACAATAACATATGTTTTACTTTAACATAACTTTTAATATAAAATATTCAAAAATAAAACGTGTAATTACTCTTCTAAGTTGAGTGATGGATCAGCATTTGTTCTTTCTAAAGTAAATTCTGGAGGAAGATCACAACCAGTATAAAATTTCTTCTTTACACAATGTCTCAAAACACTTCTCCAATGCATGTCAAGGTAAAGTAGATGAGGATTTCCTAAAACATTATTTAACATCTATAAATTATTATCATAAAGAAATTATATATTTAAAATATATAAGTATTATCATAAAGATTAATTTAATATCATAAGAATGTGTAAGAATATTGCCTAACATTTCTTCACAAAAACAACTAATGAACAGTAATTTTATTTTCACTTACCTATATATGGAATATATAGTTAGGGAGAGTATTGCTATCATGAAAATTTTCGATTCTTGGATTATATGTTAACAGTCTAGCTCAAAAACGAAAACTCGTAAGAAACTGATATTACGTATTTAAGATAGGTATATACACGAGATATTACAGCCACTTTATCCTTGAAATAGGTTGGTTTTAAATAATTAACTATCTCTCATTATTCAGAGTTATGGAAAAACGCTAAATATAACCTTAGAAAGAATTTGATATTTGAACAAAGAAAAATGCTTATCCAGGTCAAAAATGAATCTCCGGAAATGCAAGTCCAAAGGTATACATGTAATATATCGTTGGAAAGTGCAGAATTTTATAAAAAACAATATCTACAAGAGAAATTCGTAGAAAGTAATGGAGTGTGACAAAAATGATAAATAATAATTTTTGAAAACTTATTATTAAAGATACTTAATAAGCGGGAGTGGGGTAGCTCAGTATTGCTAAATATAAATTTTGAAAGAATTTGATAATTGAATTGAGGAGAAAAAAGAAAAATGCTTATCCAGGTCGAAAATGAATATCCGGAAATAATAGTTAGAAGGTATACGTAATAATATATCGTAGCAAAAGCGAAAAATTAAAAAAAAAATAATATCTAATAAATAAAGTTGTAGAAGGTAACGGAGAGAAAAAAATATAAATAATAATTTATAAAAACTAACATTATTTAATGTAAATCACAAGATTTCAAGGAAATTAAATAAAATTTTCTTACTAAATGTAAACTTTTAAATTTTAAAAAAAGTATTTAAAATCCACCGATTCAAACTAATGACATTGTTTCAAAAGCTATATCATAATCAATGGATCTTACAATCCATAATCAACCGGTGATATAATAAATAGGATTTTTGTTATTTTAATGGTATTTATGACTTATTAGCAGTAAGCTTTAAGCTTTAGCTTGGTTAAAAATGCAATTCAAAAATTTTATAATAGCCCAACATGGCCATAAAATAATTTCTATTCAAAGTTGAGCGGTAAGTGAAAGTTGTGTGTTGCGTGCACCAGATTTTTAATTAATATGTTAGTGGCAGTTTTTATTGTGTTTTCATCTTTTAAAGATAATCAGATTTGATCTCTGATTGTTCATAATAGTGATGGGGTGTTTAGTAGCAACCTGTTTAATTTAAACAGTTTCTTTCATTAAACAGGCACAAGTTAATGGACAGAGCAAGTTCTTACAATCACAGCTGAAATCACTGATGGCATCGAATAGATCTCTAAACTGAGCGAAACGAATATATCGATGAAGTCAGTAGGTGTACAGTGAAGACAGTGATAATGACGGGAAAAGAGGGAAACAATGAATCTGTTTAATTTAAACAGTTTTCTGAAACAGATACGGAAGCTGTTTAGTTTAAACAGCATCTTGCAACAGATATATTACTCTGAACAGATACAGTGCTGTGAAACAGATACAGACACAGCTCCCTGAAGCAGATCTGCACACCCTTAGTTTGAAATTTCTTGAGATTTTTCAGGATTTTAATACCTTTGAGAGGGAGAAGAAAGCTCTGTTTGTGCAAGTATATTTCAAGTATATACACTGGTCTATTTCTGCCCATTGGTCATCCATTGAGGTTATAGTGGAGCCGAGGTATTTGAATTTTTCTACTCTCGGGAATGATTTTCATCTTATTATCATCTATTTTGTTTTATCAATTCATCTTTTAATAATAATACGTTGTATTTGCTTCATTAATCCTTATAAAATAAAATACTTATTTTCGAGGTATATAAGTAAGAATTTTTATTACAGTATTTATTCTCTCTAAATCTTTTCCACTCCACTACATCATGACGTTTCAAGATCCACTTTTATATCCCATCTTCAGACTAGAATTCATAAACCAGTGTTTATCTCACAATTATTATCATTAAATATATTTTTTATTTAATGTGTTAAAAAAGGGATGTAATTTAACCTACAATATTTTTTTCCAGACTCATTTACTTGTTTTTATGATTATTTTTTATTTTATTGGTTTTTTCTATAACTATAGTATTATTACATGTAAAAAAATCTTTTAAGGATTTTTGGATTAACTTTCTTTCTGATTTGAATTTTTTTATTGATTAAGGGGAAACAAGACAAAATTTAGAAAAATGAAAAAGAATGAACCAGCACTTAAATGATACAAAAAATAGTAAAACAGATAATAAAACAACCCTCGACCATCATAGCATTACAAATAGACATACTTTCAACTTAGCACAACCACAAGTATCATATAAGGAAACATATATTATACACAGAAAGGTAATAGATTCAATATTTATTATTAAGCATAATAAAAAAGCAATTAATTTTAAAACTGATGCAGCTAAAATAGGAAGTCATTATGCCTATTTAATAAACAAATTAGATATATAAAAATTAAAAAAAGATTTGGAATTTGACCCTTTGCTGAAGGTTTGTTTCACTATCTGACTAAGCTCTCCCTAGAAGATACTACAATATAATTTTCAAGATAATATATTCAATATTGAAACTAGTTATAAAATTATTGTATTGCATTTTAGGAATATGACAATAAAAAATATAATAAATAATATGACAAAATCATATAGGGAATATGATGATATAAGATGAGGATATTGATAAGATTGACAAAAAAAAAATTAAATTATTGTTGTTTAAAGTTATATAAATAAATGCTGTATTGATTGTATAAAATTATTAATAGCTATAATATTATAAATTCTAGTCTGAAGATGGGATATAAAAGTGGATCCCGAGAAATGTCATGATTTAGTGGAGTGGAAAAGATTTATGAAGAATAAATAATGTAATAAAAATTATTACTTATATGTTGTATTTGTTCTGGGACAAGTCTCTTTAAAATACAATACAATTATAGAATTGTGGGTTCTAGAGCCTGAGAGCTATATAAAAAAGAATGACAAAATATACAAATAGAAACAACAAAAACTTATAAGTTAAATTCTCACATTATTCACTTTAAAAAAAATCTAGTGCATTGCGCGCATCACTTAACTTTCATTTACCATCACCTTTTTTTAGTATTTACTCCTTTATGCAGTGGACAAGTTATTTATTGAAAAGTATCTAATCAATAAACAATTGACAAAAAAGGTACAGAACAAAGAAAGGAAGAAACCTGGAAAAGGGCCGAGTAGAGGGCAGCAGCTGAAGGATCCTGGGAGAACACCTCTTGCCGGGAGAGGAAGAAGGAAGGATGTTACCTGAGAAGAGAAGCCTACTACACTGAAGATTAAGAATATCAAGCCTACGGTTATAAGACTTTAATGGATTCATTTATTACAGTTGTCAAAATAAATTGTTTTGTTAGACAGGAGTGAATAGTCCTATTATTTAGTTGTCCTACAGGCCTCACAATTGAAGAATAAACCAGGTGAGTCAATTCATCCAAAGTGTCTTTACTCAGTCCCACATTTCAGATATATATATTCTTATTATTTCTCAGTGTCACAAAAGCATTAGGTTCCCGATTTTCCCAACGGCAGTTAATTTTATAATTATATAAGGTAAGACAATTTTTATAATTATATACGTAGCTTATAAAAAAGATATACTATTAAATAAATATTTTTAAACGTCCTAATCATTGTGTATCACATGTCAGAATCCCAACTAGTTTCTATTTTTCAGTTATCATGGAGTGGGGTCATAAAGAAAACTGAACAGCTGTGATCGCCTTACACAAAGTTGGAAAATGTAGGTCAGAGATTTTCAACATTTTGAAACCTTTGGGTATCAGCTGTATGTTTGTGAACCGCACTATAAATAGAAATATGAGACCCTATCTGTATGTGACAAACCTCGACCAGCTCCGCACTGTGAAAACGGCAAATGCAGTGAGAGCAGTGGCTACTCAAAGAAGAAGAAATCCCATCCGAAAATAACAAATTATGTATCGGGAAAGGAAATCTCTGTCAGATCAGTGACCTTAGGACGGGTGCATTTCGAAGAATGACAGGACACAGGCTAACCTCTTCCCTAAAAAAATTAGAGTGAATAGATGCAAAGTGCTCCTTGGCCGTTACACCAATGGTCTTCATCGAAAGATTTTGTTTAAGGTTGAGCAAATTTTTACAACTGAAGAAAAATTTAATCGCCACAATGTTTATGTGTATGCACACAGCTCTAAAGAAGCCCAGGAAGTCATTGAAAGAGTGGAAAGTGGTCATCACTGTAAATAACCTACAGGAAGTTAAATGTAAAATAAAGATGTTTTGGCGGGAATAGGCGCATAGCCTTCCGCTTTTATATCGGGGCTTGAGATTATTTACACTCGTGAATTATTAAAACAAAACCCCGGCACTGGATATCGACTTTTAGAGGGTGTGCAACTGTGATTGGGACTTCGGGGATCTATTACCTTTTGTGACACTGTGTGAGAAGAAACAATAAGAATATATATATTTGAAATGTGGGACTCAGTAAACACTTTGAATGAATTGACTCACCTGGTTTATTCTCCAATTGTGAGGCCTATAGGACAACTAAATAAAATGACTTTTCACTCCGGTATAATAAAATAATTTATTTTGACAACTGATATAAATGAATACATATAAGTGAACGGTCGGCTTGATAATCTTGGTCTTCAATCAAGTAAGCCTCTCTTCCCAGATGACGTCTTTTTGTGTTGGTGTCCAGACCTCCAGTGTTTGGCGTCGTCCTCGCCATCTGTTGCTACCTGATCGGACCTTTTCTTCTTTTCGATTGTTTATCGATGTGAGATTTTCCAATGAGCAATTTGTCCATTGCACAATTGAGTACAATTCACAGTGCAACCTCACATTCCTATATATTATATATTCCTTCTCATTCCCTCACACATTGTCATCTAAAGGAGTAAATGCAGGGGGATGTCTACTACATCACCCTTCCTCAGTGATGGTTTGGTGGGAAGTTTGCTTTGATGGCACCACAAAGCTCCATTTTGTCAATAGAAATAAGAGGAGTCCCAGTGAGATCTGGAGAGACCCCATGGGCCTGGTGATGAGCGTGGGGGCGGGCCTGGGCCTTAGTCTAAAGGTGGAGGACATAGACTATGCAGAACGGATAAGAACCAGGCAAGACGATACACCTGGGCCGCTTGTGGTAAGGTTCTTCCGGCAGTCGCTTAGGGATGAGTTGATCCAGAGGCGAAAAGTCATTAGGGATTTTTCAAAACGTCACCTCGGATGGCAAGAAAATGACGCCCACAAGATCTACCTGAGCGAAGCTATGTCCAACAGACACCTGTACTGGCTGGCCCGGCAAAAGAGGTCTGCAGGAAAAATCAGGTACAGTTGGTTTAGCGCAGGCAAGGTGAAATGTCGACGAGACGATGGACAGCAGGTCGTCGTCATCAACTCACCATCAGATTTAGACACGTTTGCTTGACATGCATATACATGTTACATCACTTTGAACAATCTTGTTTTTACTTTTTTATATCCCCAGGTTTATGTTTTTGTTGCGTTTGTTTTAATAATAGACTATGATAATAATTTCATTTTTGTTTATGAGAATATTTTAGGTCTGATCTGTTCAGAAATTCTAATTTGTGTATTTTTTTTCTTTTGCACAATAGGAATATGCTTTTCGTTAACTAAATTTTATATTTTTTGTTTACCATCCTTATTAATATCTAGGAAATATTGTACACTTATTGTTCCTCTCAATAGAGATAATATCAATAGTTATGGTCTCTGGGCTCATATTGGCTCTAGCTGCTGTAGAAATATTCCTATCCTTAACTCCTTCTGTCCGTTTACCAAGCCACCCCTCCTTCTTCCATGACTAATATCCTTCTAACCTGCCACGTCAACGCTCAGTCACTCTTAGCCCATTTTGATGAATTTTACGACTTTTTTCTCCATAACTTCTACCATTTAATTGCCGTATCCGAAACCTGGTTGAAACCCACAATCCCGTCCTCCCAGATCCTTCTACCTAACTATACTCTCCTTCGTCATGACAGAGTAGATCGCACGGGTGGTGGAGTAGGTCTTTTTGTCCATGACAGTCTCAAATCCAAAATCCTTCACTGCCCTTCCATAACCGATTCTCCGCACGTTGAATACATTTTCGCCGAAATTCTCACCTCATCTGCCATTCTGTTTGCTGTCATATATCGCCCTCCTAGAATTCCTTTCGATGAATCACTTGAGACTTTATTGTACAACTTAATCCCTTCCTACTCAAACATCATCCTCTCCGGTGACTTTAACACCAATTTACTGGCACCATCCTCTGATTATTCCTACCTAACAAACCTCTTTAATTCTCTCAGCCTTTACATAGTACCCTACAATCCAACCCATCATACTCAGTATTCAGAGTCCTGGCTCGATCTAATTATCCTGGATTCCTCAGACAAACTCCTTGCCGCATCTCAGCACCCGGTTCCGTTTCTATCTTCCCACGATCTTGTCCAGATCTCTTACAATGTCCCTGTCCCATCCTTTTCTCCCCAAACAATACCCTTCCGAAACCTAGATTATCGCACTCACGAAACATTGTCAGAAGATCTTGACGATATCCAGTGGGATCCCATCTACTCCTCAAAATCCACAGACACCATGGTAGAAACCCTTACCACTCATCTTCACTCTATCCTTGACCGACATGCTCCTCTTATCACAAAAACGATCCGATATCCTCCAGCTCCTTGGCTTACTCCTGCTTTGAGGGAGTGTATGAGAGAAAGAGATGCTGCAAGGCGATGGTTTAAACGAACTCGACTTCCTGATGATTTTCTCTCCTACAAACAGCTTCGAAATAGCACTCAATCAGCAGTACGCCGTGCTAAATCCCATTACTACCATCGTTCCCTATCCAACTCTCCCAATACCAAGGCTACGTGGGCTATTCTTAGAAAACTGACCATTGGTAATGCACCCCAGTCTCAGTCCAATTCCGTTTCTGCTGATAACCTCAACGCTCACTTTGTCTCCTGTCCTCTTGCAACCACATCTCCCACGTCCAGTCTGGCTCCTATGTTCTCTTCCTTTAATCCTGATCACTTCTTTCTTTCCCATATTACACCAGATGAGCTCCTTAAATCCATTCAGAAGTCCCATACCAATGATTACGGTCTCGACAACATCCCAGTCAGACTGATTAAAGCCGCATTGCCATCCATTCTTTCGATCCTTTATCATATATACAATTATTCTCTTCAAAATGCTACCTTCCCTACATCCTGGAAAACCGCCCTAGTACGCCCATTGAAGAAGACTTCAAACCCATCAGTTCCTAATGATTTCCGACTGATTTCCCTCCTTTCAAACCTCTCAAAAAAATTAGAGCGGTTAGTCCAATCCCAGCTATCCCATTTTTTAGAGGACAATAATCTCCTAAATCCCTACCAGTCCGGTTTCAGGCCTGGTTATTCTACTCAGTCTGCCCTAGTCAAAATTTCCCAAGACTTTCACACAGCCATAGATCAGCAGAAACTAACCATCCTTATTCTCCTAGACTTCTCCAAAGCTTTTGATTCAGCAGACCACAACATCCTCCTAACCAAACTTAAAAATATCTCTTTTTCTTCTAGTTTCCTTAATTGGTTCCAATCCTTCCTAACCGGTCGCTCCCAGTACGTTGTAATTCCTAATAACCCACCATCAGAATCTCTACCTCTGACCAGAGGCGTCCCACAAGGCTCTTCCTTATCCCTCACCCTTTTCTCCATCTATATAAATGACCTCCCATCCTCTATCCTGCACTGTCAATACCACTTGTATGCCGACGACATTCAAATTTACCTCTCCTTTAATCCGACAGATATCTCAGATGCCACTCAAAAACTTCAGGAAGATATTGACAGAATAAGTGCTTGGGCAAACCTCATTAGGCTCACTCTCAACGCCGAGAAGACAAAGCCATCTTGATCGGATCCCCTTCACTCCTCAAATCCTCCCCGGTATCTCCCAATCTCTTCCTGAACAACTCACCTATCTTATTCTACACCACCGTTAAAAACCTAGGTGTTACTTTCGGTCAATCCCTATCCTGGAAACCTCACATCTCCCAAATTTCCCGTCGCACTATCTCCACCCTAAAACAGTTCAATCGTCAACGATATCTCCTTCCATATAAGTCCCGTCAACTCCTAGTTTCCTACCTTGTTTTTCCCCACTTCGACTATGGCTGTATGGTGTACGGTGGACTCCCGGGAGATTCCGAGGCCAAACTTAAACGCCTAATGAATTGCGCACTACGATTTGTTTTCGGAATCTCAAGGGATACGCATATTACCCAGTATTACACTGAGTTGAGATGGCTCTACCCATCCTATCGCCGTCAGTACTTCCTAGCCACCTTTCTGTACCAAATCATTAGAACCCATCGACCCTCCTATATTTTTCACAGCTTACAATTCAAATATTCCATCCAATCCTGTCCCACCAGATCTCGTACTTCCGACCTCTATCCTCCTCCTCACCGAACTGCTGTGTTTGACAAATCCTTTGCAATACAAGCCGCCTCCCTCTGAAATTCCATCCCAGCTGATATTCGACACGCTCAATCAGTTTCCTCGTTTAAATCTCTCCTCTTTAAGCACCTACTCCTTTCTCAATCTGAATGATTGTGAAATATATCTAAGAGAAATATCTGAGCACCACCAGAGACTACCTCAATTTATTAAGGTTATTTTAGTTTCTCATATATATGTACAATTTACTTGCTCTTTTCTGTATTTTTATCGTAAGTCAACTTTCATTGTAAATATACAATTTAATTGTAGCCACACAGACATATAATCTGTATTCATATTTTGTTCTTAAGGGACAACAGCCCCAGAATAATAAAACATTTTTTTCATTTCATTTCATTTCATTTTTGTGAAAAATGAGTTAAAACATCTGCTAACAACTATCAGGAAGATATTTTGGAACCTGTTGCCATGCCTCTAAATAATATTATGTTTGCTGGAATTCATTGGGTTTTCCAGCAGGATTCTGCTCCACGTCACCAGGTAAGGTCAACTCAGCAGTGGTTAACGCACACACCCACGCATAATTTTTTAATATTTTATTCTTATGATATGGTAATATTTTGCTGTTTTGCTTCCTGGGGGGGAAGGGAGAGCGCTACCTCTCTCCCCCCCCCCCATAAATCCACCAGTGATTTGGACTGAGGGGGGACCTCAAAACATGTATTTCTGTTTAAAACTCGGATTCGTAATTTTTCACCAAAGGAATACTTTCCTCTACTATATATTTCATATATAGTTAAGAGAAAGTAAGAAAAAATGACATAATAATAGTCAAAAATGCACTAATAACGAACTTATTTACATTAGAGATGGGTATATAGTTGACTATTTAACTATAAGAACAAAATATGGTTGTGATGTGCAGTCGAAAATTTCATTATTGAGTTTGCTGACATTTCGAACCAAAAATGTGAGTTTTTTTTAGCTCTGATGGAGACCCCCATAATGCTTGGGTTGAAGCATCAGCAAACTAAATAAAGAAATAATTAACTGCACATCCTGACAACATTTATCCTTTTAATTTATATACATGTTTTCAGAAACACATATTTACAATGTTTTAGTAACTGTGTGGATGGAACTGATTGAATAAGCAAGATTTAAAGATGGGGAGGGGGGGGGGTATTGAAGCAATGGATGTAGGAAGGGATAGATTTCCATAAGGCAAGGATTAAATAATGTTGAAATTCCTTTAATGCCACTGTTTGATGAATTAAGAAGTCCGGATACTAATTACATACATACCAAGGATAATCAAGATTGCTCTGGCTCGTGATAATGCTACATTCAATCGCCTAGCGTTAGCTACGAATCCAAGTGCTCTTTGCATGTCATAACTGATCAAATCAGGGCTACTTCTAACAACGCTGACTATAATTGCCATCTTTTCTTGTCCTTGAAATTCTTCCACTGAACCGACTTTAGGAGGTTCTATATTTATTCGTTCCAACATAAATCTGATTTTATTAGACTGAAAAAAAAATATTTAGATAGTAAACTTGCCCTGTATGTTATATATATTTATATTACAAATGCAAAGTAAAATTGGAAACAGTTTAGGACTTCATGTCAGCCATTTATGTAACAATTAAAAAAATATATATATCAGGTATACCAATTTATATGCTATGTGCTTACTAACCTGCAGTTGATAAGGAGTAATGATTCCTACTTGATCGGGACGAAGTCCAGCTTTATATAATAAATTCAAGTAAACAAATGCTTGAAATACTTCTTGAGGATTATACCATGAGTGTGACTCAGTTTCTTGACAATTAGTACCCCGAACACCGTGAAATAAAAGAGGAGGAGCACGACCACCGAATATGCGACAAGGAAGCAACGGGGCCAATGCTCGTAATAATACTGCTTCTTCACTGGAATCCTCAGATACCTAAAATAAAATGGAGGTTATTCAAGATAAATAAAATCAGGAAAAAAATAACTGAAATAAACAATTTAACATAAATAAACTAAGAATAATACGACTATGGACGGGATTTTTCTGCAGTTGTATTTTGTTTCACTAGTTTCAGATTCAGCAAAACAATGACAGAAATTCAATTCATAAAGCCTACATTCTTTTGACAATAGCTTTGTTTTGCACGAAACTGCATGTTTTGGAGTTACTGCACAAATTTGCACATTTTAAGAAAAAACAAATCTAATTTGGATGATATACCATTACTAATTACAGAAGTAACACAATTTTACTTTTTTTTTATATTATGAATTGTAAAAGATTCCGCATCACTTTTGACATAACACTCTGATGAAGAAAAAAATAAGATATTTTTTTTTTGTTTTTTTTTTTCTGTCTATTTACAAGATTCTATGTATTTGAGATGAATTTAATTTTTTATATTCCTCACTATATGCATATATATATTTTTTTCCCTTCCTATAATTTCTTTTTTTTTCCTTTTTGTCTCTACAACTGTGAAAAATAAAAATTTAATTTGTAATATGTTTTGTTTTACATCGAAGAGAGTTAGCTAAAAATAAATTAGTTTTAAATATTAATTTTAAGTCATTGTTTAATAGCCAACATATGAGGGAGAAAAACAAAAGACAATTTGGATATATATCGCGGAACCTCGGGAGTATAGAGGGACGTTAAGGAATTGTGTGTGAATTCCTTAAGTTTTAAGGTGTATGCCAGGTTTTCCTTTTTCCCCTTCCAGGAACCTGTGATTATCAGCGACGAGTGCCACTTGATTTCACAAGTTGGTGAATAAACTTTTTCACAATTTGAAGAAGTGGACAAAGGAAACCCTGACGACGCTAGCTCGAATAACTTCAAGTTCTCGCTTCCTCGGATGACTTATTGTACAAATTGGACAAAGTCCACCACTGAGATTGTAAATATGAATAAAAAACTTTTTCTTACTATTTTTTTTTTCAAACATTCATAATTAGTAGTACATTGTATAATCGTATTGTCTTTTTGTGTTTTATTATAAACCTAATTTCTTTTTTATAATTTTTATTTACTTTAACTGTTATTTTCATCAATATGTAAATTCATCATCAGTATTAATGATAGACAGTTTTATTTATTTTTTTTATTTTGTGTTTGTTTTCAGATTTTGTATTATATTGTTTTGTTAAGGTTTAATAAGGAATTGTAAAACCCTATTCGAGGGATTAGGGAAAATCATTATTAACCAAGTAAGAAGATTATAAGAGTAATTAACATATGTTTTTAAATCCATAGGTTCCGAGTTCATAGCTCGTTCTGTATCCAAATCTTTTTTTTGCGAACCAATGTCTTCACTGAGCATACGGCAAGTTTGTTGCTGAAATAATTTTTCTAAATTAAAGACCGTAACACAATGGTCTTCTCATAAAATTAATTTAATGTTCCTTTCTAATTTTATTTATTTAACTTATTTTCATTTTATTTTTCTTAAGCAGAAATATTGCAATATTGTTATTCGATTGCTCATCTGTTTTCGTTAATATATATCTTCAAGCTATGTATATACCTGTTTTATAACTTATGTTTCAGTTATTGTTTTATTGTAATAGATCTTTTGGCCAGATGTAATGCTAATTTGTATAAAAAGTATTGTTATCTTATGAGAGTCGTCCCAAAATAAACTTGACATTCCTATTCTATATATTTACAACTTTTCTTTAATCGAATTTTGAGTATTAAATTTTAACATAATCGAGGCTATATTATAAAAGTAGGTTAAAATTTTGAAATAGTTGTTACGAGAAACATATGAAAGCATGATTGTGTAACGATTGAGCTATTTGTTGTTCTAGCTTTGAAGAGGATCCCATTGTTAACTTATAAAAAACTGGGATCGAAATGTCGAATAAACAAAGAAGCAATGAACATTTAGTAGTTAATAATTAATAAGTGACCTTATTTCCAATTAAATAATAATGTTAAAAAATATATATATATTTTTTTCTCCCCTTCAATTTTTTTCTGAGCCATGGGAGAGAGCGGGTTATTAATGGAAGTTAAAAGTTCCTCCGGTACCGGGATTTGAACTTTTAATCTTCGATTTATCAGGTTGCTTGCTAACTCTTGTTTTACACATTCTCTAGCCTGCTCCGCAAATCCGCCCACAAGAAACGTACTTTCAAAACAATGTGATAATCCTCTATTAAGTTTCATTGAAAACTGCAAAGTCATTCTGATGATTCCTAACCCAACAAATAAGTGGAAGCTAATTCATCCCTGAGGAATCTTATTAAATATATAAGTAATAATTGTAATGATGTTCATAAAAGATAGCTGTCATAATCAACGGCTCCTTCCTCTGTGTAGAGAAGCTTATTTATAAAGGATAAAATAAATTTTCAAGACTTTCATCATAGTAATGTTACATTATAATTAATGATTTGATATGATTATATTTAAGCTAATTGTTACTAAATAATCCTAATAATAATAATAACAAAAGGCTTAGCGAACCCGAAGGTTCGATCCGGACACCACCAATCGCTCATTACACACCTCCCTCCACCGTTCCCCGTCCAAACCTAGTCCCTTCAGATCGGCTTTAATGCAATCTTCCCACTTTCGCTTCGGTCTACACCTCGGACGTTTACTATTAACCACAGCAAATATTAACCTTTTAGGAATTCTCACGTTACTAAGCCCAACAATTTTACAGGCCCATTTGATACGTCGGGATGAAATCACCTCAATTATATTACTCGGATATAGTTCACGCAACGGCGTTGTGTAACCGTCTGAATTCTCTGGTTAATTCATCCTTCTTCGGTCCGAATATTCTACGCAATACTTTATTTTCAAAAACCTTAAGTCGTTGCTAATCCCTTAATGTAAGCGGCCATGTTTCACAACCATAAAGAACTGTGGGTAAGACAATGCTTTTATAGATTCTAATTTTTAAGTTGTGGGACAAGAGGCCCGAGCTAAGTAGTTTTGTTACAGAAAAATAACAAGCATTTCCCGCCTTCAGTCTAACCTTAATTTCTTCTTCAATTTCGTTTTTTTCTGGTTATCGTAGACCCTAGATACCTAAACTTCTCTATCTGTTCAAACATATTACCATCTATATCGATATCACCATTTTTGCAGCTAACCATATACTCTGTCCGTCTTATTGTCTTATCCTTGTTTATTTTGAGCACTAGTTCTTTACTGGCATTCATTAATGTTGTCGTATTTAGTTTTATAGTTTCCAAGTCTTTGCTTAACAGTACCAGATCATCCGCATAGCCCAGCACGGATGTTGTCGCACCCAGATCTAACCCTTTTGATTCTTCTCCAACCCTTTCGGTATGCATAACCTTCCTAATGGCATGTTCTAATGCCAAATAATCCTAAGAACTAAAATATCTAAGAAATCATACCCAATGGCAAATAGCACAACCATGGTATGTCCACATTTTTGTAAATTACGATTATTCAGCTCGAAGTAGTACCTTGGAGGTGAACTAATTTTCCACAAAATCTTTACGTTACAATGTATAGTAGAAGTTGTTTTGTTAAAATCTCAAATCAGTGAATGAGATCAAAAGACACAAAACAGAGCTAATTTTAGAATAACTATAAATTTAAAAACTAGACACAAATTTTAAGCATTAACAATCAACATGATTGAAATAATTAGATTCACCACATTTTATTTTATAAACTTCTTAAGCACGTACTGAAAAAAATTGGTGTTTTGGACAAGCAATAGTTGCACTTTTAGCCAACGATATCTAAGAAAAAAAAATGGTAATTACATTTGGGATAAGATCATTATCATAAAAAAGCATGCTAGGCAATTCCAATATAGTTGGAAGTGATCGGTAGTTGTTCACTAGTTTAGTTACTAAGCGTGGATCATAGCCAGAACTATCAGGAAAACCATTAGGATCTCTTGTGTATGGAAATCTGCAATGAAAATCAAATAAAACATTTAAGTGAACAGATAACAAAAACAGATATAATTTGGATAATTAATGTAAAAACATTAATTAATAATATAATAGAAAAATAGTTTTTAACCGGTTAAGAAATCTAGCCAGAAGAGAATCCTGCAGCCCACACCTTGAAGCTAGGCGTGAAGTGACAACTGGCCCGAGCTGTAGAGGGTCACCAGCTAGAACAACCTGCCCATATTCCATATGCAAAAAAACTGAAAAGAATGTTGGGATCAAATTAAAATTTGAATGAAAAGCTGTATTACTGATACAATTGTACATGCATAGTATACCAACAATTCATACTATATATATTGTAACATCCTTCTTATATTTTAAAATAATAATAATAATATAACCTCAGAAGATCACTTTATACCTTTAGGATACTTCCAAAAGAAATAAGAGGTTGTCAAATATAAAACAAAATTATAAGAGTATTAATATATTTATTTATATCAGGTGTGGGTTACTGACAATCAGATTAACTCAGACAAACTATTATTATTTACACTATTTATACTAAAATTAAACACTGATTTTATAATAACGTCAAGTATGGATTGGCAAGCTAACCTTTTTCTATATTATATGTTTCTTCCTTTGTGACACTGAACTCATTTGTCTTCAAACACTTTCCAAAGTTTTGCCAAACAAATCTTCCAAATTGGTAACACTATTACTGGGTTTTACCCACTGGAGCCAGGATCACTTCTCCCATCCTCTCTTCACTGCAGCCACATAACAACTGTTTGCCAAAACCAAAAGCTTTTTCCCTCTCCTCTTTGGGATTTTCCATCTTGGGAAACTACAGAGCAGCCATTTTTTTTTTCCTGCACTAGTAGAACTAGATTAGCTTGCCTTTTAATTGTTCAACATTAATTTACTAATCCCTTTTTACTCGCAGGGGGCGGGGTGGCCAAATGGGCTAAAGCGTGTGCACTGCACCATTAGTTGCCTGGCAACCGGATAAGAGATTTGAGAAGATTAAAAAAGTATGAGTTCGCATCCCGGTACCGGAGGGGATTTTAAATTCCCCGCCCTCATCCTCCGGCCCAAGAAAATCCCGCATAGCCTAAAAGGCGAGGTAGGGAAGAACAAAAAAAAAAAACCTTTTTTTTTTTACTCACTTTCAATAAAATATATATACATATATATATATATATATATATATATATATATATATATATATATATATATATATATATATATATATATATATATAGTGTATATACACAATATATATATATATAGTGTATATACACAATATATATATATATATATATATATATATATTGTAATGTACACCTTTATTGGAAGTGAATAAAAACGTTTTAATAAATTAATGTTGAACAATTAAAAGGAAAGCTAATCTAGTTCTACTAGTGCAGGGAAAAAAATGGCTGCTCTATAGTTTCCCAAGAAGGAAAATCTCAAAGAGGAGAGGGACAAAGGTTTTTGTTTTCGCAAGCAGTTGTTGTGTGACAGCAGTGAAGAGATCCTGGCTCCAGTGGAAAAAAAAAGTAATAATATTACCACCTTGGAAGTTGTTATTTGGCAAAGAGACTAGTTGTTTGGAATTACAAGAGAGAGGATTTCCTGGTGAGTTTGAGTTGAGGAGAAGAAAATATCACCAATTTGGAAGTTGTATTTAGCAGAACTTTGGAAAGTGTTGGAAAACAAATGGATTCAGTGCTACAAGGTTAGCTTACCAATCAATACTCGACTTTATTTCAAAATCAGTGTTTAATTTTAGTATAAATAGTGTAAATAATAATAGTTTGTCTGAGTTAATAATAATAGTCAATAACCCATACCTGAGATAAATAATTATATTAATTCTCTTATAATTTTGTTATAATTTAAACTTTATAATTATTCAATCTCAAGGTATTATTATTTAATGGTGCAACAATCCACGAGAAGTCAGGCCTCCTGTAATGATTTCTGCCAGTCCTGTCTTCTTTGTGCCGCTCTCTCCAGTTTCTTGTTCCCACGACAGAGCGGGCGTCCGATGTTACACCATCCTATCAGCGCAGCCTTGAGCATCCGACTCTTCTTTTGGGTTGGGTCCTCAGGGCCCATTCTAGCCACATGACCAGCCCACCTGAGCCGTCCCACCTTTATAAAACAGATGATGTCCCTATCCTTGTACATGGTCATTATTTTTTTGTTTGTTGGCCTTCTCCAGGTGGGTCCCTCTGGATCATAGATTGGTCTCAAAATCCTCCTGAGCACCTTCCTTTTGAAGCGGCGCAAGTCTTCCTCCAATGTCCTGGTCAGCGTCCTCGCCTCAGCACCATAGGTGAGAACAGGCCTAATTAGGGTTTTGTACAGTAGCAGCTTTGTTGTTTGGAAGATTAACCTGCTTTTAAGCTGGTGGACTAGTACAAAGTAAAATCTGTTGGCTGCCTGTATTCTGCGTTACACTTCAGCCCCCACTGTATTGTCGCTTGTAACTACAGATCCAAGGTATATAAATTCGTTCACAGTATCGAATGTGTATCTTTGAACTTGGATGTGTTCGGGTACTCTTCCCTTAGCATTAGTGTTCATGTATTTAGTCTTGGACTGATTAACTTAACTTGCAGTCCAAACTGTGACTGTGTAGCTGCTGTCTCAAAAGCAGAAGGCTTAGCTCATGACTGTAAAAGTCCTACCTATGATGTCGATATTATCAGCATATCTAAGGAGCTGCACTGTGGGATTGAAAATCGTTCCACCAACCTGAATTTTTGACTGCGACATGGCTCCTTCTAGGGCAAAATTGAACAGTATGCAGGCCACCATCTCTCTGCCTTAAGCCCTGGCAGGTGGTCAAAGCATTCGATAACTCGCCCTCCACTTGCACAGTATGCACTCCATTGTTCGACGAATCAAGCATACCAGTCCTTTAGGGACATCCATTTCCAACATCACCCTGGAGAGTTCCTCTCTCAGTACATTGTCATACGCAGACCAGAAATCGATGAAGAGGTGGTGAGTTTGAATATTATATTCACAGGCTTTCTCCAACATTATTCTCAGAGAGAAAATCTAATCCGTAGTTCCTTTACCCCTCATAAAACCTGCTTGATACTTTCCTACTTCTGTCTCAGCAAAAGGGAGGAGCTTAAGGAATAGTATTCATGAGAATATTTCGTAAGCGCATGACAAAAGAGAAATCCCTCAGTAGTTCCCACATTCAAGAACATCGCCCTTTTTGTGTATTGGGCAGATTATGGTTTTACACCAGTCTGATGAGATTCTTTCCCCTTCCCGAATTCCTAGGATTATTTGGTGCAGGACTTTGATGAGTTCTTGGCAACCACACTTGATGATCTCAGCAAGTAAGCCATCTGCGCCGGGAGCCTTGTTTTCATAGGTTTTCAATGACTTCCTCAACCTCCTCAGAGTCGGGGGGCTCAATATCGTCTGTTTGTGTCTCCATGTTTGTAGTGGGCGGATTAGCATATCCTAAGAGATCAGTGGCTCTTTCATCTGTCCAGTATTCTATTTTTCTCGTTTAGGAGGGTACTGAATCCCTGCAGGTGGCAACCTGCTGCTTGAAGGGTTTCTGGAGTCCATTCACCAGGTTATAGAATTTTCGTACTTCATTTTAGTTTCGAAATTCCTCGATTGTCTGGAGCTCTTGAGACTTCTGTATCCTTTTTTTTCTCCGGTGTAAGCGTTTATCTTGTCGTCTCAAGGTGTGTCTTCCGAGCTACATTCTTGAGGGAGGTTATAGCTTTGAATTCCTCATCAAACCATGGTTTCCTAAAGGTGGGAGACTGGAACCCCCAAAACCCTACCAAAAGCCAAAACCCAAAAGCCAGTACCAAAGTGGTGCAACCTTTGATGGCAGCTGTAGTAGATTGTGTGGCCACTCTTCTTTATAATTCCAGTCCCCGTCTACCTTACTTCCTGAATTGCAGCAATGTCTACCCCGAAGTTGTCAAGTTGGATTAAGAGCAGGTGAAGTGTTCCAGGTCGATATAATGGCAAAACGTTCCAAGTCGAAAATCAGTTATACAGGCATTAAATTGTTCCGTGAGATCAGTCCAGCTTTTTTCTTTTTAGGATTCTGTGTTGATTGTTTTTCGTGGATGGGTTACCAGCCCATAAGTCAGGGAAATTCTAGGCCACATCCCTGCAGGGCAAAATCTCAAGGTATGGGTTACTGACAATCAGATCAAAACACTCAGGCAAACTAAAATTAACTACACTAAATACTGTTTGATTTTAAAATAAAGTCAAGTATGGATTGGCAAGCTAACCTTTTTTATATAGATACTGTCTCTTCCTTTGTTGCACTAAATTAATTTGTCTTCTAACATTTTGCTATGTTCTGCCAAACACATATTCCAAAATGGTGACACTTTCTTCTACTCAACTCAAGCTCCCTGGGGGTCCTTTCTCTGTTGATTCCAAACAACTAGTCTCTCTACCAAACAAAAACTTCCAAGATGGTGATACTATTACTGAGTTTTAACCACTGGAGCCAGGACCCCTTCTGTCTTCACTGCAGCCACACAACAATTTCAATGTTGTTCAATTAGTTTTAAGCTATTTTATTTAATTGGTTTATTCTATAATAGTTCTTGATTTCCAGTTTATATAAATAAGTTTTTTATTTCTTTGTTGAAAAATGTTAGTAAATTGCCCATTTTTATTTTTTTTATTTTATACAAGTAAAATATAAGTATTTACTTGTCCAATCTTAGACTTCAATTGAATGTTGATTCAGTTTTCCTTTTTTCAAAAATCAGTAAGATTGGGGCCAAATATATTGATATTGGGATATATTTTAAAACTACTGAGAGTATATGTGTCAATATTACTGTTTGATACTTAGATCACTACTTTTTTCAAATATTAAAATATTGATTTAATATAAAATGGTATAATGTTTTGGCATTTATATCCCAAACTGAAGGAAGAGGTGTATTTAACTGTCTAACGTGGACTTTCAATGACCTGGACAATCCATATTAATGGGACTCTGTTGTAATTAAAAGCTCAAAAAATAAAACATAAATGCCTGAAAAGTGATAGTAGGTGCCATGGAGAAGAAAGACCAATAAAGAACTGCTTACAGAAACTGTTCAATCAATAACCCATGATATGAAGGCATGGAGGTTAAGATGGGTGGGGCATATAGCTCATAATAATCCATCTGGAAGTCTCTACGTAACAATGAATGCCTCAATAGTAGATAAAAGGAAAGAAATAGCCCAAGACAGGCAGAGATGGAGTAGGCTTGTTAAAGCGGTAAAAGAGCTACATGGTCTGTAATAGCAACAGGAAAAAAAAAAGAAAAGAAAGACGTAGTAGGTACTTTCGGATATATATTTTTTGATAAAAACTTATTTTATATATGTTCAGATTTAAATGCTATTGTGGAAATTGACATACTATCAATACAAGTTTAGATTTCAAATTTAAGATAGCATCAAATTCAAGGTAGATTCCATTTGAAAATTCAATTTTTATGATAAATTGTTTCTAAAATAATATGCTATATAATACTATAGTTTTTCTAAACATAATGTCATAATTAAACTGACAAAATGTAAATTCATCACATTCTAATGAATGACAACTTTTTGAAAATAGATAAGCTAACAATTACCCATGGGAATAAGCAACTCTGGTTCGGTGGCCTGACCAGCTTCATCAACAATGACGTGCGTGAAATGGCCTCTCGGAAAGCCCATGTTGTATAGTAGTCCAAGGCAGCCAAGGGTTCCTACAGTAACTCGATGTTGACCAAGAAGTTCTCTGCCACACATCTGCACTCCTTCATCTGTAATAGTGAATATATTTATATTTATTTTAAAGTTTAAAATAAGCAAGGCCTTTTAAGCCTAAATAAAATATAATGTGATCTTAACATTATACAATAGTTACAGCCAAAAATTAAATTCACATCAGTTTATAAATAACATTCCTCGTGCGGGCTCATTACCGCGTATGGAGAGCGTCCCACGGGTGGCGGATGTGGGGATGGTCGGTGGAAATTCCTTGGAAGTTCCTCCCGGCCAAGTCCGATGGACTCGCTGACCAACAATGAGAGGGGCCCTCCAGACTTGCTGGAGGGAGGGGACCTCCAGACTTGCTGGAGGTAGGGGCCCACCAGACTTGCTAGAGGGTGTGACGTAGGATTGAACGCCCTACTCACATATCTTTAGTTCACCAAACACCACAAAAAGTCATGGATCTCCCTAAGGTAAAACGCTCATTATCCGGAGGTAAACTAGTCCCCCGTTCTGGTCTCCGGGTAGGGACTGCTTTAGGGGATTCATGGCGCAAGTTGAAATATAGGGATTTAAATATTGGTACGTGGAACGTAAGGAGTTTAAACACAGCAGGGGGGCTAAAATCGGTCGCGAATGAGGTAAATGGGTACAATTTGGATGTCGTGGCTCTGCAAGAGGTTCGCTGGCCAGGGGAGGGCTCGATGAGGGAAGGGAAGTACACTATTTGGTACGGAGGAAGCGGGAATCATTGTTTAGGTACCGGGTTTCTAATTAGGAGTAGATTACTATCCGCTTTGAGGGACGTACAATTCTTTAGTGATAGAATTTCGGTAGCATCATTTCAGGGACGTTGGTTTAAAATCGCATTAATAAACATACATTGTCCGACCGAAGACAGTGACGATGAAGTCAAAAGTGAATTTTACGATAAACTCGAATGGGTTTATGATAAACTACCGCGAAACTACATGAAAATAATTGTAGGTGACGCGAACGCAAAGGTAGGAAGGGAAGAAGTTTATATTCTGACGATTGGTAAAGAAAGTTTGCACGAATATAGTAACGATAATGGGATCCGTCTGATAAACTTTGCCATCTCGAAAAACCTGATAATTAAAAGTACGATGTTTAAACATAAGGATATTCATAAATATACTTGGACATCACCGGATTCGCAAACACGAAATCAAATCGATCATGTCTTGATACATCACAGCTGGCAAAGCAGTATAATTAATGTACGGTCTTATCGCGGAGCAGAATGTGGGTCGGATCATGAATTAGTAATCGCGAAACTTCGACAAAAACTTAATATAAAAAAGAGAAAAGAAAACCGTTTCGATTTTGAGAATTTTAATTTGGAAAAATTAAAAAATCCATCAATTAGAAACCAATTCGAGCTAGATGTTAAGAATAGGTTTGAAGCTTTAGAGCTTCCTGACGAGGACCACGAGGATATTGACAAGTTATGGATAGAGATCAGAGATAATATTAAAGCGGTTGGTAACTCGTGTCTAGGAAAAAAGGAAAATAAGAATAACAAACCGTGGTTTGATGAAGATTGCTTAAACATGTGTGAAAAAAGAAAAGCCGCTAAATTTAAAGCTCTAAATAATCCTAGCGAAGACAATCTGGAATACTTCCGAATCTCAAAGAACGAAACGACAAAATTGCTCAAAAATAAAAAAAAGGGAGTATCTTAAAAATAAAATAATTGAAATAGAATCCAAAATAACGTAAGAGACATGTACAAAGGTATAAACAGATCACGTAAATATGTAGGGCCTGTAACGTCTGGAATTAGGGATAATAACAATATTCTGACCGATCCGGTTGACATATTGAATAAGTTTAAGGACCACTTTGACAATATATTAAATAGGGGAAATTATGATCTGTGTCCTCCTTCTGAGTACCAGAGTGCTGAACCGTTAATAGAAGGACCAAGTAAAGAGGAAGTTGAAGTAGCTATCGAAAAATTAAAATCATATAAAGCAGCGGGAATCGATAATATTCCTACTGAACTAATTAAGGCATGCGGAGAAGCTGGAGTTTCTAAAATACATCGGTTGGTTAAAAAGATCTGGGTGAACGAGAAATTACCTGAAGAATGGAAAGAATCTATTCTTATTCCGATTCACAAAATGGGTCCGAGGACGGATTGTAATAACTATAGAGGAATTTCACTCCTTCCGGTATGTTATAAAATATTCACTTTAATCTTAACCAGTCGAATCACGGAATACGCCGAGGAAATTATCGGAGACTACCAATTATTTAGACGGAATCGTTCGACTATTGATCAAATATTTTCTTTACGGCAAATATTAGAGAAAAAATTGGAGTATAACGGTATTATTCACCAGCTGTATATAGATTTTAAAAAGGCTTACGATTCTATTGACCGCCAGAAACTGTATAATATTCTAATCGAGCAGGGGATTCCAAAAAAACTAGTAAATCTAGTCAGGATGTGCTTGACGGAGACACTCAATAAAGTTAGAATCGGTAATAATTTGTCCGAAAAATTTGAGGTTCGTTCGGGCTTAAAACAGGGGGATTCTTTTTCGCCTGTCCTGTTCAATTTGGCATTAGAACATGCCATTAGGGAGGTAATGCGAACCGAGAAAGGGTTGGATCTGGGCGGGACAACATCTGTGCTGGGCTATGCTGATGATCTGGTACTGTTAAGCGAAGACGTTGAAACTATAAAACTAAATACGACAACGTTAATGAAAGCCGGTAAAGAACTAGGACTCGAAATAAACGTGGATAAAACAAAATATCCGGTTAGCTGCAAAAATGGCGATACTACTGGTGATATCGATATAAATGGTAATATGTTTGAACAGGTAGATAAATTTAGGTATCTAGGTTCTACGATAACTAGAAAAAACGAAATTGAAGAAGAGATTAAGGTTAGACTGAAGGCGGGGAATGCTTGTTATTTTTCTGTGACAAAACTACTTAGTTCGCGCCTCTTGTCCCGAAACTTAAAAATTAGAATCTATAAAACAATTATCTTGCCTACAGTTCTTTATGGATGCGAAACTTGGCCGCTTACATTAAGGGATGAGCAGCGTCTTAAGGTTTTTGAAAATAAGGTATTGTGTAGAATATTCGGACCGAAGAGAGATGAGTTAACCGGAGAGTTCAGACGGTTACACAACGCCGAATTGCGTGAGCTGTATCCGGGTAATATAATTGAGGTAATTTCATCGCGGCGAATCAAATGGGCTTGTAAAGTTGTTGGGCTTAGTAACGAGAGAATTCCTAAAAGGTTAATATTTGCTGTGCCGAATGGTAAGCGTCCGAGGGGTAGACCGAAGCGAAGGTGGGAAGATTGCATTAAAGCGGATCTGAAGGGACTGGGTTTGGACGGCGAACGGTGGAGGGAGGTGTGTAACAAGCGATTGGTGGTGTCGGCATCGAACCTTCGGGTTCGCTAAGCCTTATTATTATTATTATAAATAACATTAGCAAGAAAAGAAAATTAAATTTTCAAGTTTTGCAATCAATTCCACTGACTTCTTGGCTTTCCAAAACGATTTGAATTCTTCATTCAATACGATTCATATTTATCAATGGTCAAACCCTCATAGATGTAAGTGCACTTTTTAGAGTAAAAAAAAACAATTGAAATTTAATCACATCCAATAATTCTCTACACATTAATTCGTTAGCTATTACGTATATTAAGATACTTTGATGTTATTGTAACATTAGTTGCTTTGTTTTTCTTCCAATTGCTTCCAACTCTTAGAACTGAAATTACCAAATAATAATTATTTTAACTAATGTATCTGGCAAATGTTAAAATAAATATTATTACTTATTTATGTCATTTTTATTTTTGAATGATCATCCCAACTATTGTTCTCTTCATTATTCACTATTCAACCATCAACCCACAATAATAATAATAATATTGGCATGTTCTAAAAGACACAACAGCTACGGATAAATGTTGATTATGCTCACCGATGCTAGAATCAATCCTACATATCACAGATGGGTGTGGAGTGTAAGCTGGCATCAAGAACCTCCAGAGGCATAACAATGTGGCTGAAATTTTTTGCCAGGCTCTGGCGGTGAAGCTCAACTTATTAGATGACAAAATTCCATATTATTAGTACCACCCAAATAAATTCCTCCAAAAAGATAGTCTCAAGCTCTACTGGGATGAATCGATTATAATTGACCATACTGTGCGACACAATAAACCAGATATCCTCTTGATAGATATGAGAGAGAAAAAAGCTGAGCTTATTGATGTGGGGATCCCCAATGATAATAGTATAAGCTCCAATGTTGGAGAAAAACATAAGAAAATACCAGGAACTGGCAATCGAACTGAAAGAATTATATCATTTCGGAAATGTCACCACCACTCTAATTATAATATCCTCCAATGGATTGATACCAAAGCCAACAGTGGCAGGCATGATGGGATTAAAATTACCTCTGGAAGCGCTGAAAGAGGATCAGCACTAAGTTCTCTTAAACACAACACGTATTGTTAGAAATTTTTTAAACGACTAAAAAAATAGTAAATATTAATATGAAAGTGGCTGGACTTCTGGTCTCCCACCTCAAAAACTCACCCCATAAAGCAACAATATAAAATAATAATAGTAAAACTTTGAATCCACCTTCAGCTTTGAATCCGCAAAAGCGAGAATAATAAAGATAATAAAAAATACTATTATTTTCAACTTGTTACCTCTGGCTGACAGGCATTAGCGGGTAAAGAATACCTAGCGAGACCCAATAATGTGGCAAAAATCATGCATCAGGCAATGGCACGAAAATATAAATTTAATAACAGGCCATCAACCTTTTTAAAGATATCAGCCGCAGGCTATATTAGAAAAAGGGAATGTCAAGCTATACTGGGATCAAACTATGATAACTGACCATAGTATTGCCCACGATAGACCAGATATACTGATTGTTGAAAAAGAAACAAAAAAAGCCATGATTATCGAAGTGATGATAATAATGTAGCTAAAACATTAAGTGAAAAAATTTGGAAGTATCAAGAGCTTAGTGAGGAATTAAGGTAGTTATATCGGCTGGTGGAAGTAAAAATACTACCCATTATTGTATCCAGCAATGGCCTGATTCCTGAAGATACTCTAAAATCAATTAAGGTACTTGAATTAAGATGGAAACTTTAGGAAATCCAGAAAGCGGTAATGCTTGGAACCACCAGCATTGTTCGAAAAATTATTAATATTTCAAATTAAATATTTAAGAAACTGTACTCTTGAGCTTTGTCCGAGTCACTGAATTTATCCGGCATAAAGCTTAGAATTGAAAAAATAAAAATTGTAGTAATACTTTACTTATTCTGGGACGAATCCCTTAAGAATAATACAGCAAGACAGAAATGTGGGCTAAAGAGCTCTCAGATATACATAAATAAAAATACAGAGTAACTAAATAGCCTTAGAAAAAAAAAAAAAAAAAAAAAAATATATATATATATATATATATATATATAAGTTGCTTTCTAATTTTGATCAGTTAATAATAAAAAATAAAAATTGATAATAAAACATGAAGTAAAAATAATGAAGAACGAACTAATAATTTATATACACATTTACAGTAGTGTCTATTTACAATTTTATGGGAACTGGATGGATAAGAAATTATTGAACAGACGGGATTTAAAGGTAGGAAGGGTATTGGATTGAGGGATGTGGGAAGGGACGGAGGGAGTTCAGGAGGGATGAAGATCGGATAGTGAACGATCTGTCGAAATCAGCGTTATTAAATTAAATATAACAGTTTTAATTAATAAACATTAATTAAAACTTTATTAAATTAAAATTAATTAAAATTTGCATCTGTAAAATTGAGAGATCAGTCTTTGTTATTATAAATGTAGAGAGTACTAACGTGAAGAGCCAGAAAGACCAGCAACATTTATAGCTTTAACGTCAGGAACAGCTGCATAGGGCACAATAGAAGCTGCTATTCTTCCTTGTTCTAAATAATGATAGCCAACCATCCTCAATAGATCCCCTTGTTCTAAATCGCCAGCATCCAGTAATCGTTCAGTAATCAGGTCTGCAGCAGAATTCGATGGAGTTGCAACTAATAATCTGTAACAGCAAATATAATTACAAAATACAAAAAAAAATGTCTTCTTTTTTTTTGATCTTCGGACACAAAACCCCTATTTATAATTATGACCGAATGTTTGAGAATTATTTTATTAGATTAAGGATTACAGAACTAAATAAATAATGGAGATAGAAACAAATACTCACCTACTTTCGGGAATGAGAGCATGTAACTGCAAAATGGTTTCAACAACTGTGACAGTTTTACCAGTGCCAGGAGGGCCAAATATAACATATGGCAATGGCCTTGCTTCTCCTAGAAGAACATTTTTTACAGCTTCTTTCTGCTGTCTATTTAGACCTTTGTTGAACCTAATGCATAACAGAAAACGTTTTAAAACTATGATTGCTCAAAGAATAACAACAGTAATGTTAAATTAGGATCGTTTGCAAATCCATTAAAAATACAAACATGACATAGATTTATAGATTGGTCACACAGATGATACTTTTCAATGCTTTATAAAAATCTATGAATATCATTCAATGTTATATTTTTAAGAAAAAGGTAAAACCAACATATAAAAATTATAAAACTTCAGAAGAATGTCTATAAATTCTAAGATTAAGATTCCATCAACCAAACTAAATTATAGATTAAAGCTAAAATTATAATTAAAATACTGAACTATGCCTTCAAAATCTTTTAATATTTTTATTATTATTATTAGTTGGGTAGCTCAGTGGTAGGGCACTAAGCTTCCAATGCAAAGATCCCAGGTTCGAATCCCGGCTCATGGCAGAAAATTTATTTATCTGTTTCATTGGCCGTGAGGCGACCCTGGGTCGGGAGACCCTCCTGGGGCACACCCAGCCTCTATAAAGTGGGTACCCTTAATTAAATAATTAATTAAGGGGGAAAACCTGGTGTTTGAGCGTGATCTCGGTTTATTATATATACTTATTTTTTAAAACAATTATTATTTTTGTTATAAAAACTTACCATCTTATTTTTTTTATTCTCTCTAAGCCAATATTTACACGAACCTCATTGTCAATGGTACAGTGCATACCATAACCACTACCTTGTCTGTTCCATTGAATATCTCGGTTGTTGTACCTTCTTCCTCTACCACGGTATCCTGCTTTCAATAATGAAGCCTAAAAGAAATATTTAAAGAGAATACGGTAAGATTCTAAAATGAGATTAAAATAGTACAGATTGTAGAAATTATAACAGAATTAGTTACTTGTGTTAGTTTTACTTAAGACTAAGAGATTACATTAACCATCCAATTGTTGGTAGCAGACATCAACTTAACATTATAACATCATAATCTCCTCAACAAGATACATCATAATCTCCTCAACAAGATACACCATAGTCAACCATGGTTTTTGATCAATGGAACTGTTGCCAGGTTTAATGGACGAAAGTCCATTGCTCTCCTCACCCTCAATAATGCTTTTTAACTATTTTTTAAAATATAATTTAGGCTTAATTTAACATGACTTTAATCTAATTATAATATTTATAACATAATTATTACATACAGTATAATAATGTTACAAGCCAATTTTAATAGTTATAATGCTACAACTGCCGTTATTTTTATAGTTATACAGAGGAATAAAAATACCAATAATCTAACATTCAATATTACTCCATGGTTTGAAAAGAAAGTTATCTGGATTCAGTGTGACATAAAATTATACATCGATCCGATTTTCTTCCCACATAAAAAACTGAAGAGAAATTGTCCAAACGATCAACTTGTGATAGAGCTTTGCCATTGGTTGTGCACAATGTTCATTAAAACTGTGATTAGATGTAAAAAAAAAACCCATATCATGATCTATAAGCCTGAAATTCTTAAAAATTAGTTGTTTTCTAAATTCATATTAAAGGATTTTCCAGATAATTATCCAAGTAATCTATGCCTGATTTCTGGTCACATCAAAACAGATATGATTCTATGTTTTTTCAGTAACTGTTTACTTTACTATGCCAATCCCTTCCAAGGCTGTCAGGGATATTGTCATAATAATTCTGCTTTAAGAGCTGGTGTTAATTTATTGCTGTGGACTGTAAAATTAGAGAAGTTAATGGATTAAAGAAGTGAAGGAGTGCTACCAATGGGTAGTTTCTCAACATGTGTTCCATGTCTTTATACCAATGTGCAAATTTACTAGATGTATTTTTTTGTATACAGTTGTAAATATCATTTAAAATAAATAAATAAAAAAGAAGTGAATATTTAAAATTGATTGCTTTATTTTATTACATGTAATTTTATACGGAGGTAAAATATAGGTGGGTTGGGATACTTGCATTTTCTCTTTTCTTCTTGTTCATCTTCTCTCTCTTCCTTTCTTGGCCCCTTACCGGCCGCTGTAGTTTTTTACTCCATGTTCAGTAAATCAGTGGAATCACAAATTTTTCAACTGGCCAGTCTAGTCAATCTCTCACGGTACGTGAGCGTCTACGCTTCAACAATGGCGGCGTCACAACAACTGAGGTATATATGCAGTATGTTCGAGATAACAGCTGTGTTGTGGTTTCTTGATTAAATTCAAATTAAATTTAAATATGAATTTTGATGTGTTCCCTAAACAAGCCGCCCACCTAAATTAAGCTACGCTAATTTACAATAAAAACAAAAGGCGTAGCATAGTGCTTTGATGTGCTAATACAAATGTGGTAATGTAAAAAAATGTCATCTCTTTTGATGAAATTAAAATAAGCAATCATGATTAATTAAGGAAGTTAATGGTAATTGTAAATAAAATATAAAAAGAAAATAATTGCACTTCGATTGGTCAAAATAACAAAATTGGTTAAACAAAACACGATTGGTTAAACAAAATCAAGAATTTTGGCATTTATATTTATAAAACTAAGATTAACAACGAATATAAAAGGAAATAAATTGCTTAAAGAATATGCAAATAAAATATATACAACTAAGAGGGAGAGTAACCATCACTATTGAAAGGGAAACAATGGATCGAACGACGCAAAGAGACGAACAGGAAATCTACCATATGGACTTGTTTAAGATAGTGATTACTCTACTTGACAAGATCTGGTCGGACATTCTGGTCATGCTGGAACTAGGTGATTGATCATCGGAGTGCGTGATAAAAAGATCTAAGCGTAAAAGCTACCTTTGGAGTTGACCCTTCATGGTGATGTTTCCATTGCTGACGATCAAGGTGGTTCGGGAGTTTCGAACGATAGCTGCTTAGTTCATTGGAGTGTTTTCAAGACTTTTGATGTCGAGGTGACTGATGAGCTCGCATTTCTTGCGACTTCAGAGTGCTGAGACTTTAGAGAGAGTGAATGAGCCTCGAATGATTGTGTTTCTGATGGCACCTGACTAAATTCTGATATTCGTGCTGCTGCACTTAATATTGTCGCGGTAGTTGCCGCATTTAGTGCTGGCCCAAGTGCGTTAGATGCTCTTGGGAACGCTGCTTCGCAGAGTGATGTGGCGATATTTGCTTTGCCAAACGTGGTGGAAACTGCTGTTGCGCCAAGTGTTGTGTCATATGATGTGATGGTTTTTGATTCCGAACGTGCTGTCGAGAATGCTGCTGCGCTGAGTGCTGTGCCATATTCTGTAATGGTTGTTGTTTCCGAATGTGTTGTCGAAATTGCGGTTTCTTTGAGTGCTGGGTTTGGAGTAGAAACTTGTGTTGCTTTTGCAACTGATGATTCTGCCTTTGCTGCTGTGCCTGTTGCTGCTTCTGCTGCGGCGAAATGCTTAATCGATGGTTTGGAGAGGACATGTAATGCTGTATTGGTTGACGGATGGTATTCAGGACTTGCGATCGCTGTTCTCTATGAACCGCTACATCCGAAGTTGTCGTGTACTGTAGGTGAGGTTTGGAATTCAATTTGCCATTTCTGTTTTTACAAAACTGGTTTTATGAAAAGTAGGGTTTGGCATTAGGAATGCGTGATCTCTTTTGTCCACATAACATTGACTTAAGGACAGAAGAACATTGACTGCTGATTCATCTTGCTTCGATAAGGTACTAAAAGATGGTACAGTATTTGCGTGTGCTCTTACTGTTTCACCAACTTCGCCGCCCACCGTTATCTTGTCCTGATTCTCACTTGTATCAATTTTCTGCTCTTTGATAGTTTTCTGGAATCCAGTGAAGAGCAAAGATTTAGCTGGAGTTGAAAGGCATGTTGTCTTCCCCATTACTACTAAGCCAAACACTGTTGGCTGAAGGAATAACTCGTCAATACCACTCCTGAATGGTGCACCGTTGATAATAAGTGGGTACAAATCAACGCCGATCAAAAGATCTATCGTACCGGGTGTATGGAAACATTCATCTGCCAGTTGATATCTTGATAACTGCTGCCTGACATGAGCTTTCAACGGAGTGCTTGGAAGTAGTGGAGTGATTGAGTTCACAACGATGGCTTTTGTAATGAATTGCTCGTTGCCGAAACGTGATTGCAGAGTGCATTCAATTGATCCGTTTGGTGTCACGACTGGATTACCACCAAGACCAGCGATGCTAATGTTTAACGGATTGGTCTTGAATCCAAGCTTGCTTACAATGGCTTGTGAGATGAAGGAGTGCTGGCTTCCGGAGTCTATTACTGCTCGGATTGTGTGCAAACTATGCTCAGGGTCCAAAATGTTGAGTTGAGCCGTTCCTAGTACATAATAGGATTCAGTGTTATGGTGTTGGGAAGTTGAGCCAAATCCTGCATAATGTGTAGAGGGAGGAGTGCTGCGTTCATTTGATTTAACCTCGTGCAGTAAGCTGTGATGCCAAGCCTTGCAGAAGCGACATGTAAACTTTGACTTGCACTCTGTCTTATGATTTTGGCGAAGACAATTCTTGCAACATTTCAGACTGCTAACGAATGCTATGCGATCTTCTACGGAGATGTTGCAAAAATTAAAACGGCCTGGCAGATCATGTTGTTCTTTGCAGAACGGACAACATTGTGGTGGACTTTGGTATCGGGCTGTCCAAGGAGTAGAGAAAGGTGATTTGATGCTGTTAGGAGAATTTTCTGGAATTTCTGTTAGGTGGGGTTTTAGTATGTAGGAAACTCAAAGTTCTGTACTTTGGTGATCCACGACTTGGAAATTATGAGTGCTGGTACTGTGCTTTAACCCGATTGTCTTGAGTAGTGCTTGAAGAGGAGGCAACGTCTCTTGAGATTGTGAGGGCTATCTTCCTTTGTCTGACGAAGGTGATTACGTCGTCTACTATTGGGAATGTGCTTGTTCAGGCCCTTGCTATCTCAAATTGCCTTCGAGTCTGCGAATCGAGAGCCCTTAATGGCAGAAACGCCAACAGAACCTCGGATGAATGTTCCAAGTTGAGAGCCTTATAACCTTGAATGTTGTCTGCTACACCTATAAGGAAGTTCTCATAATTCTGCAGCTCGTTCCTTGTATTTTTGGTTTCAAAATCCAATATCTGCTGAAGAAAATATGTCGCTAGTACCCTGGGATTGTCATAAGTTTGCATCAATTTATCCCAAGCTAGGACATATGACCTATCTTCTATTGGAATATTTGAAACCAAAGCTGCGGCCTCACCTTTTAGTGCCCCAAGTAGGTAGTGAAATTTTTCGGTGTTGGTGAGTGATGTCTGGTGATGGACTAGTGATTCAAAGGTGTCCTTAAAATGGGTCTAATTCTTTATCTCACCAGAGAAAGTTGGTATGGGTATCTGTGGTAAATAGGCCTTAGCACCAATTGTCCTGCTCGTGGTTGGTTCCATAGAACGATTTACATGATCCTGAACTGCTGGATTCAATTCCGCTGCTAGCTTCCGATTTATCTGGAGCATAATAGATTTTGCTTGTATTTCTTCACTCCTACAAGCATCGTAAATCTCCTGCATACGTGCACTCAGGAAATCTTCACCTGCAAGAGCGTGAATGGTGTCACATTTCTCCCATTTTTCCATAAACAGCGCCCAATCGGAATTTGCAGCATCTAGTTGAGCTTCAAATAATGGAGCTTTCTCAAGATCCAAAAGTGCTCACGATGTTCCGGTGTAAACCTCTGAGCTGTCGCTCCAGTGTAGTGATTTGAGTGTTGTAATCAGTGTTAACTGGTGGCATTTTCATAAGAAAAAACGACGAAGCAAGGGGGTACAAGGAAGAGAGAACCGATGAACTCAAACAAGACTGCAATGTAATAAAGAGAATAGAGACAACTATAAACAAAACAAACCAGGCATGAATGTGCTAAAGAGACAATGCAGAAACTGCTGTAAGAAAAAAAATCGCAATTTAAGCAATAAAAATTTAAATGAATGAAAAATGAGGTATCTAATTATAAATCATACACATATATTTATAATCAAATTAATTGCTTTTAATTTGATATAGAATGCTAAGTTATAAAATATATGTGTATATATAAGAATAAACAACAAATGAGTGCGTGATGTTTTTATCGAATGGAAGTTGCTATAAAAAAGAGAAATTAAAAGACTGCTACCTCTTTATTTAGTGAATGAATCACTAATGAATGCTCAACTTCATGGCTGGACCTAAGATAGTAACATTGAACTATTTTGATTACTATTAAAATACTTATTAAAGACAATAAGTGCTAATTAATTTCTGATAATATACAAACTAGTAATGTAATTCAGTAAATAAATCAATAAATAATTGGAATACAAAAAAAAATTATTAAATGCCTGCTAAATAAATGTTTCTCAATTAAGGTAGTGGTTGTTTTAAAGAGGGCTACAAAAATCATAATTCATAACTGATATGGATTCATTATGCATCAAAACCTAATTCAAATATTAGAAAAAGGAATAGGCCAATGAATAGAAATTAATTAATTAATTGCTGAATTTGATGTGATAAATAATATAAGAAGATAATTACAAAACTAAAATGAGAACAAATATAAATATGAGTGCCAACATACTACGTTTAACCTGAATGTCATAAGAAAATTTTGTATGATTTAATCATTAAAGAATTTAATGATATCGGGGATCGGTGGACCATATGGTTGCTTTATTATTAAAGATTTTAATAATATCAGAGCCCGGAGGACCAAATGTTTAATTTATTATTAAAAATTTTAATAATATCAGAGCCCGGAGGACCAAATGTTTACTTTACTATGCCAATCCCTTCCAAGGCTGTCAGGGATATTGCCATAATAATTCTGCTTTAAGAGCTGGTGTTAATTTATTGCTGTGGACTGTAAAATTAGAGAAGTTAATGGATTAAAGAAGTGAATATTTAAAATTGATTGCTTTATTTTATTACATGTAATTTTATACGGAGGTAAAATATAGGTGGGTTGGGATACTTGCATTTTCTCTTTTCTTCTTGTTCATCTTCTCTCTCTTCCTTTCTTGGCCCCTTGCCGGCCGCTGTAGTTTTTTACTCCATGTTCAGTAAATCAGTGGAATCACAAATTTTTCAACTGGCCAGTCTAGTCAATCTCTCACGGTACGTGAGCGTCTACGCTTCAACAATGGCGGCGTCACAACAACTGAGGTATATATGCAGTATGTTCGAGATAACAGCTGTGTTGTGGTTTCTTGATTAAATTCAAATTAAATTTAAATATGAATTTTGATGTGTTCCCTAAACAGTAACTATATATTGTATAAAAAATTTTCCCTTGATTAAAAAAAATATTTTTAATAATGAATGTTACTCAATCAAAAAAAAAAAAAAAAAAAATACCTGGAATTTATGGTCAATACTAAGATTGGCTTGTCCAGCAATAGATATTTTCCTGGGATCAGGACTGTACAGTAAGTCTTTGCTTTCAAGGGCTGGTAAACTATTAACTTTTTTGGAACCTCGCTCTTTCTTTGTAGCTTTCACAGTATCATTTTCTTCAAATTCCTAAATTAAAAGCAAATAAACGTAAGTTTTCATAGAATAATCTATTTCAATTTCCTAATATACAAGCTAAGAATTTAGAAGATAAATTATTGAGAAATATTATACCCTTCTGTTGGATATAAGTAAGAAAGCCATTAATCCCTAAACATTCAGGAGGGTTATGTTTCAGGAAAATTATGCGAATATATCTTTGAAATGAAACGAAAACACCTTTATTATTGTAATAATAAGGGAGTAGGGTAGCTCGGTGGTAGGATACTGAGCTTCCAATGTAAAGGACCCAGATTCGAATCTCGGCTAATGGCTGAAAAATTATTTATTCTGTTTCATTGGCCGTGGGGTGACCCTGGGTAGGTAGAACCTCCTGTAGCACACTCAGCCTTTATAAAGTAGTGGGTACCCTTAATTAAACTAATTAATTAAGGGGAAAACCTGGCAGTTAAGAGTGATCACGGCCAAATCACCTCCTTGCACAACCATAGACCAAGAAAACAGTGCTTTCCCTAAATAATACTGAATCCAACACCCTACATGGGTTGAAGTGGTACAGTTTTTTTTTTTGGTTTATTATTTTTTTTATTGTAATAATAATGTAGTATTGTAAAATACTTTTATATTTAAATGGAGAGGGAGGGGCGATTATAAAGACCACCAATGACAAATACGCATATTTATTATATAGAGGTAATTATGGTCAATAATTCAATTAAATCTTAGCAATAGACAGAAGTCTTAAAGTAAGAAAGCATAAGGATATATTTAGATACAATTCTTGTTTTCATATCAATTGTTATTGAATAAAATCACATTTCAATAAATAAGATCACAAATTTATTAAAGAAAGGAATATTTTACCTATTTTTTTGAACTTTCATTAAATATAATCGCTTATAACTACACTAAAGGAATTCAAGAAAGAAATTAAGGAACTAAACTATTAACCTCTTCAACAACAACTTGAGGTAACCTAGGCGTTACTCCAGTTGGAAAGAGCCAACCGTATCCAAGATGTTTCGCTGCAAGGTTAATAGCTTGATGCATTCGACGTAAAGAAGCCCTTGATGTCACAAATGATACAGAATATTTCACCCCTTCTCCATAAGAGTCATGAAAATCTTTAGCGAACTGAAGCCACAACTCTGTATGAGTTACACGATGAATGACACCCTCATACTTCCTTTCATCTAATAAAACAATGAAATAAAAAAATATATATATATGTATGTGCATAAATTGTATAATTTTATAAATAAAACGTTCACAAGAGACCTGCAGCCCCCGGTAGAGATGCTATCAGCATGTCACCAGCTACTAGTTTACTAGTGTAGGGTGAAAGTGGAGGCACATCTAATACCAGGCAATCTTTTTCCTTTCTAAATGATGCTTTATCCATTTGAAGTTCACCAACCTTTACATAAATGATTAAGTAATATATATTTCATATATAGGTAAGTAAAACTACAAAAGAGGGGGAAATATGTATGAGAGAATTCTGATTCTTAATCTTCATAGAGAGTTACACATTTAGGAAGAGAATGATAAAAATATTTGGACAAACCCAGTTTAGGTTTTTATGAATAAAAATGGGTACAAATAAAATATCAAAAAGAAAAAAATAATTTAAGGGATAGAAAGCAGACCTGGGCAGTATTTCAAATTAAATATTTTAAAATAGTAAATAAAATACATTTCTTGTATTTTGAATTTTAAGAAGTAAATATAATATAGGTAGTTTGCAACTATATTTTCTGTTTAAAATACAGAAAATGTATTTTATTTTGTATTTTAAATGCACAAAGTAAATTAACAAAAGAGTAGGTCCCATGTATTAGAGGCTGCTTAGCTGTCAGCAAGTTTTTTTTTTTAATTATTATTATTGGCTTATAGCACTGTGACTCTTATGGATCTATTGTGCGCAAGTTATGCGGTCCGTTTTATTCCTAAAACATCAGTTTAGTCGCTTCCGTGTATCTTAATAGGCTTATCGGATTAACAGACTCATAGCTACTGGGGTGATCCATTCGTTCCTCCCCAAATAGCTCCAGTCTAAGTCTTGCAAACCTATCACATTGACAAACGATGTGAAAGCCTGTTTCATTCTCCTCCTGACATAATCTGCATAGCAGGTTCATGGTCACTCAAAGATTGAACATGTGATAATTTAACTTACCATTGGCCAATGTAAGCTTTTTGAGAGCTGCTCTGTCCAGACTCAGTAGAGTAGCAGCTTATTTATTTTATCACATGGACATTTAAGGAATAGCTTTGAATTTCGTTGTTTCTTCTCAGTCCAGTGTTGTTTAAATTTTTCACCATATGTCTCAATAATCTTTCTTCTGGCAGTGCTAAGACTGATTCCACAAACAGATTCAGGAGTTATGGGAATAGTGCCTGAGCCTAACCTGGCTAGATTGTCTGACCCTTTGTTTCCTAGAGTGCCGGAATGAGCAGGCACCCACTCAATTGCAACTCTAGTAAGCTCAGTCAAATTGTTAAGTGCTATGCTGCATTCTTTAACAACCTTTGAGTAACATAATTAATTAGGAAACCTATTGTTGCCAGTATAGATTATAATCTTTTTCCCCGTATTTGTATATTGTTTTTTTAATTAAAATACTTTTGATATGTTGTATTTTAAATACATTTTCTGAACACAATTAAAATACATTGTATTTGAAAAACACAAAATACTTGGTATTTTAAAATTTCTCTATTGTGTAAAAAAGTTTTTAGTGACCGTGTAATATTTTATTTTACATATGCAAAGTGGGATGGAGCGTAACAAAGACACCACAATTCTTATTCCCTGAATTATTTCTCCTTTGTTACTGATACAAATTCGCAATAAGAATAATTATAATTATATAATAATATAAATTGACAATAAGGCGTGATGTATAATATAGATTTTAAAAGCAATTAAAAATAATGCGAACTATGGTTTGTTTTTTTATGACGAAGAATAACACAATTTGAACTACAGAATACATGTAAATTAGTTATAAAATTTGAGCAATGAGAAGAATAATTAAATGAACAATTTTAAATTTGTAAAATGGGGTTCGTCCAACATTAGGTGGACAGGGGGTACCCTCTTCTCCTAGTAATAATTAAAATACAATACTTTTTGCCCAGGTTTAATATAGGGGGTCGGGGTCTATTATTATATTTTATTATAAGTTATTGTTCACAATTTTATTGAATAAATATCTTCATCCTTGAATTTGAATAAGAGAAAAAATTAATTTTATTAAAAAGAAACTAGGTCATAATTGAATTATTTATAATTATTATACCTACCTGCTTCAGCATAGCCACTTCCTCGAGATATAGAAGGCCATGCATACGAGCTAAGTATGTTTTAGGAGATAAATCCTCTTTCAAGCAGGGTAAGACCTTCTCAACACGTATCATCAAATCATCCAGGTTCCTAATGTTACAAAATTTTGACAAATTAGAAAAATAAAGAAACTCTGAGACGGACAGATGCATCAAATATCATTTTGAAAAATGAAATCTATCAATCACAGTTATACTACTTGAGTATTAATTAATATTATTCACATAACTTTTGAATAATCTGCAAATGTATTAACACTTTTGAACAAAGTCAGAAATATGGAGTATATTATCACGGGATAAATTAGTATTTTTGTGGACTTGGATAACAATCAAAATTAGTTGTTTATTGAAAAACAAAATTTCTTTTTTGTTACCATTTGAAACTATAAGAAACCACTTGCATATATTTTTATATAAAATATAAAGCAAACCAGCAGAATATGGATTGTACCGTACCAGATGTTTAGTTTCAGTCATTGAACAAAACAAAACAATCAATTAAAAAGCTCTATGGTTATAGAATATGCTTTATAAAATATTTATGTACATAGTTGTTATTTGGGAGGGTTGGAACTATTGTGACACACAGATCTTCGCCCTTTCCCTCCAGGTACCATGCACTGCCAGTCTATTATGATTTTTTTTTTTATTAGCATTTTTAACAGTGTTGATCTCTTAATGTTATCGAATCCCTGCTTTTAGTAGACAAATAATGGGTGCAGATAATATCATATTCATAGAATTTCTCCATTATTTGTGTTACAACAAAAATTTGATCTGTAATACTCCTCTCAGCCCTAAAAACACATTGGTAATCTTCTAAAATATCCTCAGCATATTTTTGCAGCTTTTTTAACACTAAACTAGAAAGAAGATTTTACAAGACTTTCAGTAGAGTTATTCCTCTAAAATTTTTGCACTGGTCTTTACTGCCTTTTTAAAAATAGGGCATATTAATCCAACACTCCTATCATCCAGCATCTTTTCCTCTCTCTAGATGTTTAAAATTATTAATTGCTGTCATTATTTCTGTTACTTCTTTCATTAAAATCCCTTTTGCTGTTTGCATTTTATTTTCTTCAAAGTCATTGACTTGAACATTTAAATTACCGATCTCTGACAAATCCTAAAAAATAGATTCAGTATCTTTTCAGTTTTCTTGAGTTAAAATTTAATTATATAAACAAATTAAATCCAAAATAATTAATCAAAAACACATTCAAAGGAGTTTATGCATTTCTCTTGAAAATATTTCAGCTAAAAATACTTAATTTCAACTAAGTAAAAATATTATAATTTGTTACACTTAAAATTTAAATATAGTTACTTATGGTGTGTGCTTTACTCCAGTTAGCTTTTAAAAATCAAAGGCTTGACAAGGCCTAATTTCAGAAGTCAAAAATTGAATATATAATATTAATTTCAAAATAATATAATTTTTATAAAATAAATTTTCCCTTTGCGTAAAAGTTGTTTAAAGAGGAGTAATACTAACATTTTGACATCAGGTAAAGCAGATATAAGAATTCTTTCAGATAAAGGAAACTGGCCAAGTTTCACAGGGACAAATGCAGCAGGAGAAAAAGATCTTCGTCCAGGCATAATAACACCAGATGCACGGTCCAATAGTTGCCTTCAGAAAAAAAAATTATGTTAAAATTTTTATTTTATTTCTATTATTATTATTTATGAAATTTACAACTGTACAACTTAATATGCATTCTGACAGAGAAATACATGACATGACAAGGCTTTGTAATTATTTTGAAAAGTTTTTTTACTATTATAGGCGTTTTAGGATGACTTTTCAAGGATTTTGCCCATGATAGGTAATAGAGAGATAGGACGGTAAGAGGATGGATCTTCGAGTGGCTTTTTGGGTTGGTATATCATTTTAACAATAGATAATTTCCAGGGGTCAGGAAAATATGTGGATCAGAGTACAGCATTGTATATGTCAGTAAGGAACAGGATTCCTTTACGAGGAAGCAGTTTTAAGATCTGGGATATGATTAAGTCGTGGCCAGGAGCTTTGCGGGAGGGTAATCTGTGAATGATATTGGTCATTTGTGAAACATGAAATTCTTTAGATGGAGGAGTCATTTGGAGAGGAATTTCCAATTCTGCTTCAATACATTGATTTGGATTGAAGATTTTGAAGAGATGGTGGGCAAATATGATAGATTTCTCTTCGTCAGATTTGGTCTAGGTTTGAGCTTCAATAAGAAGTGGATGATTAAAGTTTTTAAACATCAGGAGTTTTTTAATGGTCGTCTACAGTGATTTGTCAGTAGTTGTAAGATTTTCAGTTAGGTTAAGTAATTTTTGACTTTTGAATTTTCTGATTTCTACTCTTAGTTTCTTAGTCAATTTGTTACAGTAAGTTTTATCTGTAGGATATCTGGTCCTGTGCCACTTCGATCTTGCTCTGCGTTTTGATATGTTGCTCTGAGATTTGAATATGTTGGGGCAACTTAATATGTCGTGTGTTTTTGTTTTTATTGGTGAATGTATTATCATTTATACTGATTGCTATTGAAGTGTTAAGTTTTTTTATGACTTTGTCAATGTCTTGTCTGGTCTTAAGCGGAATTTTTAAGTCCAGTTTGTTTTCAAATCATGAGGAAAGTTGTCTCAGTCTACTGATCCTGTAATCAAATTAGGAGGGAAAGATTGTGTAGGAGCGAAGGTTGAGTGTAACAAAAGCAGAACTTTACTATGATCTGAAGAAAGGTCATCCAGAGATTTGATTGTAACATGAGAAGAGAAAAACTGAGGGGTGACAAAGATTTCCAGGATATCAGAGCAATGAGGATATTTGAGGGATGTTGGCCAAAAGGTAGGATTCATGGGCAAGAGGATAGAATAACTATTGAACTATTATAAGAGAGGGAATTGCCAGGACAATATACAGCTGAGAACGTGAGGTGGAAAGGGAAAATTGAAAGGATTACTGAGGTTGGTTGAATGGTGTTAATTGGAGTGAAAAGAATTGGAGAATAGGATAAGGATTTATGGATAAGAATGCAAGAGCCGAAGTGGGAAGTTTTGTCTGGGTTGTCTGTAAGTAATGTTGTCACATCAATGCACAAGGATATGACCATGGCTACACAGAACGTTAGAACTATGTTACAGCCAGGAGAGATGCAGGAGATTGCTAATAACTGCACTCCAAGAAATAAGATGGTCAGTGAAAGGGCGTGCTGATAAAAAAGAAAACGCTCATTCACAGTGGTGCAGAAAACAGAAGAGAGCTCTATTGTACCGGATTTTTAATTAATAAAACAACGAGAAACAAAGGGAAATTTAGAAATGAATCCTTAGTCTTGGTTCACACGCCTATGGCAGATAATGTGACGAAGAAAAGGAAATCTTCTATGATAAGTTAAGCAAAATCTGTGAGCGCCTTCCAAGGTATGATACAGTCGTCCTTCTCGGTGGCTTCAATGCACAAATCGGCAAGGAAGATTATTTGAGTAATGTTGCTGGTAAGTACTTACTGCACAACGAATACAACAACGCTCAGTTTTGCTCTGCAAATAATCTAAAAATTAAAAGCACGAGTTTTCAACACAAACGAATTCATCTGGAAACTTGGAAAATAGCAGGGAGCGGAGTTAATCAAACTGACCATCTGTTAATATCTTCCAGACATACATCAAGTATCGTTGATGTTCAAGCCCGCAGAGAACCAAATTGTGATTCAAATCATTATCTCCTGAAAGCTCTTTTCAGACACAGGTTGGCTAACAGTCAAAAAGGTAATAGAGTACAAAGGAAGCGATGGAATACCGAGAGGCTGAAAGTCAAGCAAGAAAGTCCTATTTGAAAGAGTAACGGATCTTTTTTGAAGACACTGTTAAGTATAAGCTGCAGAACTGTGAAAAGAAAAGTGGTACTGAAGAAGAATGGAAAAATTTAAAGAATATAATGGAGGAGACGGCTGATTTAGTTCTAGGAGAAAATCGGCACCAAAAATAGTGAATGGTTTGGTGAGGAGCGTTTCCAAGCTGTCCAAGCAAAAACAAAAGAACAATGACAGGCATATAATGTTGCAAAGGGACACAAGAGGAAATAGAGAAAAGTATCGCAATAGCAGAAAGAGATCCATAAATTTGTGTAGAAACAAAAAGAGTGTGCTACAGAAGGAAGATAGCTTATGGAAGAGCTCAACGAAAGAAATGAAAGCAGAAGATTTTAACACTCCGTCAAGGAGCTGGGAACTGGATTCCAACCTAAGTAATCAACTGTCGCAGTAAGGAGGGTCTTCTCCTTGGAGCTGGCCATAACGTTGCTGAGACGGTAGTCAGTACAGTTAATGATTTGGACACCAGGATTTTCCCAGATGTAGAACCTCCATCATACTAAGATTTTATGGATGCCACAGACTATTTAAAGTCTAACAGGGCTGCTTCTGGAGAGGACAATTTTCCAGCGGAGCTATTTAAATATGTAGGCAAATACCTATGTCAAAGAATTTACAATATCATATTTGAAATATAGAATGATGAATCTATGCCTGAGGAATGGTGTTCAGGATTGATTTTGCCACTCTTTAAGAAAGGGGACAATATTATTATAATATATACACATAATGTTCGAATAAATTTAAACTAATGTTCAAATCAGTTAATATTCTCTTACGTTGCTGTAACTTCCTTCCTTGGAACTAGTGATTGTGAAGTAGAACATTCCTGTTCAGCTTCGGCTAAAGATAAATCAACTACTTCTAAATCGAAAATTCTTCCAATTGTGAATTCTGAAAATACCCAAACATATTGTTCTGATGATCGCCCCACAAACCTTAAACAAAAATAAATAAATACGCATTAATAAATAATATGTAACTAAAACTAATAAGCTGCAACTATAAAGAACGGAAAATCACTGAAAGAGTAAACGATCAGGATGCAGGTCCACTATATTAATTTGTGAATATTTTTATTTTGTTAGTACTTACTTCTATAACAGCAAAAGTAAAATAATTACAAGCATTGTTAGATTAGAAAAATACTTGACAATAATTTTATATACAGAACTTACTTCCCATCGATCCTGAATGTGAAAGGTACAACTTGGCCGGCTTGTATTGTCATAGTAGGATCTACAGGGTTTATTAAAGTTATCTGGCATAAATCAGCCTTCGACAAAAGACTAACTCTCTCAAGATCTTTTTCAATGCAGCTCTTGTTCACTACCTCAACCTGATGAAATAAAAGTTATATTATTTGATTGGAAAAAATAAACATAGAAGCTAATATGTATTCATAGCCAAATTCATGTTTCATAGTCAAGTTAGATTCCAGTTTTACATTTTATTTTTCTGAAAAGAAATATATCCTCTACATGATAGGCCGAGGTTTTTTTTCATTCTGGCTATACCCACTTAATGATCCAAAGTTATTGTAATTCTGCTCTTGAAAGGTCATATTAATTTATTCATTGGCTAAAATATCATAAAATAGGAAGAAAAATGACATTGGTGGTATTAAACAGGTATTATCTTGTTTAAAAAAAAAAAGTTAAAACAGAAACATGTTATCATTAGAATAAAATCTGCTAATAAATAATAAATTACTAACAACAAATTCTAGAGAAGAATTGAGGTCAACAGTAAACTTGGAACAAACAGATATAAAAACTCCTTGCTTATCAAGTAGTAGCTCCCGACGAGCTTCTTCAGCTTTTTTTGACAAACGAACACCTAATTGGCGAAGTTGAGCAACTACTTGAATAGCTCGCCATTTGTATCCAGCTTCAGAATCACTTCTAATAACACTTGCCAAAACCTGAAAGTATATCTTTATTAAAATATGAAAACAAATGACAAATCGCTTAATAAAAAATTTAAATATAATTTCAACATTAAAATCAATATTTTATAAAATAACATGCTCCATGCTCTAAGAAAAATATTGTATCAGTATCTAAATCATGATGAGGAGCTAAGCATTTCTCCGAAGCACATATGCCTAATCAAGATGACCAAGGACAGCTCGAAATGTAGAATACGCGTCGCTTCTGATGCCTTTAAAGAGTTCGAAGTGAGCAGTGGGGTTCGACAAGGGGATGCCCTCGCCAGCCTATTATTCAACTTGTCAGAGGAGAAAGCTGTAAGAGAGGCCGCCATTCAGACCAATGAAATAATTTTCACTCGCCTGACACAGCTTCTTGGTTTTGCTAATGATATTGATATTATAGGAAGGTCTGAACGGGCTCTCAGAGAAGCGTTAACAGCCCTTGAAGCAGCAGCAAGACGACTTAGTCTAGAAGTCAACGAGAAGAAAACCAAGTATATGAGAGTTGATGGTGATCTGGGATCTGAACTCTCAGTTTGAAGTAGGATCTTTTAAGTTTGAGAGAGTAAAAAGCTTTATATACCTCAGGTCTGAAGCAAATAGCAAGCATGAGATGGCTTAAGAAATACAGAGAAGGATCACGGCTGCTAACAGATGTGTCTTTTGACTTGCCTGACACTTTTAAAGAACTCAAGACACTTTCAAGACACTCTCAAAGAAGATCAATCTTATTATATACAAGACCCTTGTATGGCCACTTTTGACATTTGGCTCAGAGGTTTGTTTTCAATTTTTCTATGACGATAATGTTTCTTAACCAAAATATTCTTTCGAGAGGGTGGTGAAAGAGGAGGGGGTGGCTTTTGAAGAGTTAACAGTGTTTTAGGAGGGGTTTGGGAGTCTTAGCGACAATGACTAATGATAAGATTAGATATTGTGGTATATTATTTAGTAAGAAGATGATCCGCAGTGGCAATCATAAAAAGACTAAAATAGCAAAAAAAATATTTTATATAAAGCCAACATTTCGACCAGACTTCACAGGTCTTCTTCAGGGCTGGAACGAACAAGATCCAAGGCTATAGAACAATGTGGAAGTTGCGTAATGTTTAGATAAAAAATATAAATAATGTGAATAACTTATTAAAATTATGAACAGTGTAAATAGAATAGTTTAATATATTAATATTCTTATAATTTCTTTTTTATTTAACTAAGTCTTATTTCTTTTGGAACTATCGCTGTAGTATAAAGTAATCTTCCGAGATTATGTTAATATGTGTAAAATATAACAGAAATATTACATTTTGAGCGCTCAACTATGTGTGGCCTAATTCTTTACAAATCAGATCACAACTCACATAAACAATTTGTTTTAATTGTATAGTTTTTATTAATAATTTTTGGGTAGTATGGGGAATAACCAGAGAGAGAGAGAGATGATGGAAGGCAGAAATCTTAATAATATAATCTCCTTGGGAAATCTAATGGGGATGTTGTTATTGTAGAAAATAAGGCAGAGTCAGTTGTAGAAGGCCTACTTGATGAAAATAAACAATATGAAAACTCTAACAGTAGTTGCAAGGTAAGTGAAAGTCTGTCAGGATTAAATGTAGTTCATGAGTTTAGTGAAAATAATGTGAAGGGTGAAAAAATAAATATAAGTAGTAGCGAAAATTTGGTACTAATAATATGTTTCAACAAGTAATGGCTATGCTTCATAATTTAGAGAAAAATTTCGATAGTTTAAAAAAAAAAAAATTGAATCTAATAATAAACAGGAAATTTTGAAACAAGATTGTGACAACCTAGGAACCCAAATTATTGCAAATATAACTGAAGTTCAAGAAATTACACTGGCTGAGAAAACTTCCTTTGGTCAATCAGAAAGTGATGAGAAGCAAACTGTTATTGAAGAGCTGAGCAAAATCAAGTATCCAATTTATAATGGATCAGGAAATCTCTTATGAAAAGAGAAAGAAATCCTCGAAGAAAAATGACTGACAGCAGAAGCCCAGGTAGAACCTCTCACAATTAAAAATATTAAGAACAAAGATGAAGGTAAAGTACTTGTAAATAAGGTCCATAGGATCCCAGTCATAACAAAGAAGGGTTAAGCTTTACAAGTCGTCTCAAGCTTCAAACTACACGAAAAACTTCTAAGATCAAGTCTACTAAAACAAATGGACAGAAGAAAAAATTACCGATAAAGTCTAAGAGTCTCTCAAATAGAATAAGTGTAATTCAATTTTATAGAATTGTGGCCACTGACCAAATTACCCTTCGTATTTTGGAATATGAGTTCAATAGGGGATATGAGTTAACATGGTTTTGGACCATGTTAGGATAGGCCACTTAATATATTATGTTAACTCACGGTAGAGTTTATCCTATTCCAGAGGATAAAAAAGGAGTTTTTAAATTAGTGTCCCTTACGTTGACAAGGTAGAGGGTTCTGGCGAAACAATTGTTAGGTTACCCAATTGGGATAACTTGTAAATATATTGTGAAGATATCTTTGTAAATATTGTAATCAGGTTGTTGGTATAGATAAGATTAGGATTTTAATCATAAATTTTATAAACGGAAGGTAATGGACCTCAGAGTAAATTATTGATTTAGAGTAGATTGAATAACTGAAATATGAATATAATTTCTGATAATAATATTTAAAAGTTTAATATAAGTTACGTAATTACTGTATATAGTTTATATATTATGTTAAGTAGTTTAACATTAAGGTATGGTCTTCAATTTAATTTTAGATCCATGTTACTGTAATTTATTATGTATGTATGTGTCAGTATGTCATGTGAATAATTTGTTAAGAAAAGGATAAGAGTTTACAAAAAAAAATAGTTAAGATGTAACTCGGAGGCAATCATTAAATTTTTTTTTTTGTTTTTACTGAGTACATAACATGCAGATGTTTCTGTATTCACTTAAATTTAATTTGAAAAGAAAAAAAAATATTTTACTTAAAATATTATTTTTTCTATCCAGAACTGGAGAAAACTGTAATATACACCTTAATTGGAAGTTGGTAAAAATGGTTCAATAAATTAATGTTGAACAGTTAAAAGGCAGGCAAGCTAATCTAGTTTCACTAGTTCAGAGAAAAGAAAATGGCTACTCTGTAGTTTCCCAGAAAGGAAAATCCCAAAGAGGAGAGGAGACAAAGGATTTTGTTGTGGCAAGCAGCTGGTGTTTGGCTAGGGTGAAGAGAGGATGGGAGAAGGGGGGATCCTGGCTCCAGTGGGTAAAACCCAGTTATAGTGTAACCATCTTGAAAGTTGTTGTTTGGCAGAGAGAGGAGTTGTTTAGAATTACAAGAGAGAAGATTTTCCAGGAAGCTTGAGTTGAATAGAAGAAAGTGTTACCATTTTGAAAGATGTGTTTGGCAGAACATAGGAAAATGTTAGAAGACAAATGAATTTAGTATAACAAAGAAAGAAACAGCATATATAGAAAAAATGTTAGCTTGGTGATCCATAATTAACTTTATTATAAAATCAGTGTTTAATTTTAGTGCGAATAATAATAGTTTGTCTGAGTGTTTTGATCTGATTGTTAGTAATCCATATCTGAGATAAAATAATTATAAATTTCAATTGAATACATTAATACTCTTATAATTTTGTTTATTATTTAATAACCTCTTATTTATTTAGGAAGTATCCCAACAGTATAAAGTGATATTTCATGAGGTTATATTATTATTATTATTTGTAAAATATAAAAGAAATATTACAATAGAGATTTATGGTTGTATACAGCATGGAGTTTCGGTTGAAACTGGAGAATTGGAGAGAGGAATGACGCGAGAGCCAAATATTTGAAGAGGACAACTAGAGCGACAATGAAAAATTATATAATACAAAGAAAAAGAGTCAAGGAAATCTGTCGAAAGAAAAAGAGGGCTTGGGAAAGCAAAATCATAAAAGATATGCAAGAGCAGTATGCGGCAAAAGAAACTAGGAAATTTTACAAAGGAGTAAGAAATGCAAGGACCGGTTTCACACCGCATCTAGACTATTGTAAAGATAAAAAAGGAAACTTGCTGGGATCGAGAAGAGACGTATTGCTATGTATTCTAAAGACCACCTGTGGAATTTAATTAATTATTTCAAATAAATAAAATATTAAATAAATAAAAATCATAAATTATTAAATAAATAAAAATCATACCTGCAAACACCTGGGCGGTTGGTTTACCGGGGAGAGGGTAACGACACAAGTGCAACCTTTCATAAGGAACAATAAAACACTTAAGAACCCCAAAGGACCGACACCCCTCTTACAGGGACAAAGAAACACTTAAGGACAGATACCAGTCTTAATGTTTAAATAGGATTGAAGGGAACATTAACACCTTCGAGAAAGAGGCAACGGAGGGAGATATACTTGCGTGCTGGAAGCTGCCTGGGGGGGGGGGCGTGGTCATCCCTTATGTTAGGAAAATTCAGCCAATCAGAGAAAACTACCAAAAGAGAGGGGGGTGACAGAAAGGTTGGAAAGAAGGACTTGAGGATGGACACTTGAGGCTGGGAGAGCGACCTGGACGGAGACTTGAAGTCCTTTCCATTGCTATTAGTAAGAGTCTAGCATCATGGGGAGAAAGAATTTGTGGAGACTATCAATATGGTTTCAGAAAATATAGGTCAACAGTGGATCACATCTTTGCTGTAAGACAAATGCTAGAGAAAACATATGAGCATAACGTGGATCTGCACCATGCCTTTATAGATTTCAAGCAGGCGTATGATTCTATAGACAGAAAGGAATTACAGAAAGTTATGAGGTTGCTGGGAATTCCTGAAAAATTGATTGCCTTGACAGAGATGGCGCTAAGAGATACCAAATGTAAGGTCAAGATTCAAAACGTCCTCTCAAACAGCATTCAGGTAAAACAAGGCTTGAAGCAAGGAGACCCTATATCACCAGTCCTCTTTAATATAGCCCTGGAGCGGGTTGTTAGAGCAATAAGGACCAATCCTGGAGGGACTATATTCAATAGACTTACTCAATGTCTTGCATACGCGGACGATATTCTTATCAGCGCTCGCACATTGTCGGCCCTTGCAGGATCTGTTGAAGAATTCGATGCTACAGAAATGCAACTTGGCCTGAGGATAAATAAAGGGAAAAGTCTTTACATGAAGTCCTCAAGGAATAATGTAGCTATGCATGAATATGTTCAAATTAATCAGCACCTCTTTCCAATGGGAACATAATTGAAATACCTCGGAGTATTAGTCACTGACCAGAACAAAATGCAGGCCAGAATTACAGCTGGCAATAAATGTTTTTTTGCCCTGGCAAAAATACTAAAATCCAAGGAACTGAGCTGGAATGCAAAAGTAATAAGTTATAAAACCATTATAAGGCCAGTCGTTACCTATGGGTGTGAAACATGGGTTCTGACACAGAAAAGTGAGAGGTTGCTGATAATATGGGAGAGAAAATTCTTAAGGAAAATATACGGTCCGAAGAAAATAAATGATCAGTGGCGAATACGGAAAAATGACGAGCTCTATGAGCTGTTTAAAAATGATGATATTGTAGCCACAGTTAAAAGGAGCCGGCTCAGATGGCGAGGCCATTTAAAGAGAATGGAGGAGAATAGGTTGCCTAGAAAACTTCTCTATAACCCGCCTAGGAGGAGCACGTCTTAGGGAAAGACCCCGGCTGCGGTGGAGGATGACCTCAGCTGCATGGGTATCAGAAAATGGAGAAGAATAGCTGCCGATAGGGAAGCCTGGCGGAAGCTTGTTTCTGACGCCCAGGTCCATTAAGGACTGTAGAGCAAATTAATACTTATAAAGGACACTACAGTTATAAAATGAGCTTATTATAGAAACAACTCATGCAATAAATGTTGTAGTGACATCATGATTAAGTTATTTGCTAAATTTCATATTTTTCAAATAGTTTTTAAAATTTTACCATGTAATCAAAAATACTTTCACAAGCCATATCGGAGATGCATTCAGGGCCATGGCCCATGGGCCGTAATTTGGAGATCCCCGATATAAAATATTAAATTGTATAAATATACAATTCTGTTCAGGACTTCAACAAAAACAAAAAATCGATAAGTCAACAGATAAAAGAAAAATTATTAATGAACCAAGAGTTACGTTTTTCAGGTGATAGATAAATTAAGTAATTCTGTCTTATGTTTCCTGATTCCTTTTTATCCATTTACTGGCAGATTATTGAAATATACCTGAGAATGACTGAATCAGAACAGTTAATGTTACCTTGTCTCCTTTTGTTGGCTGGTAACCTGGCTCACAGGTATTTGATGTAAATTCAGCAAAATTACTAATGACACCACGTGAACCATTCCAATCTGTCACGGTTCCCATCTTCACAGCTGTCTTCTTAGGATTTACTTTTTCTACAATAATTTTCTGACAGTCATCAACAGGTGAGAGACATTCTAACTCAACAATATCACCTGTTACATAAATGTATCATTAAAGTGTCTACACTATATTTGTTTATACTATATGTTTAATAAAGACCAAATGAAATAACATTTTAATTATCAGTAGAAAAACATTTTAAGATTGGATAAAACTATAAAACACAGAACATATAAATTACAAAATTATGGTGAGTGGTTGTATTTATTAATGAAATGAATGGTTGTTGGTAAAGTTGAAGTCTATGAATATTGAAACTTGGTGCAGTAGTCAGATGCCTTCCATTACAAGTTAGTGCTTCTTGCAAGTAGATCCTGTCTCTTGCATCTGTGCTTGGAATCACAGAGAAAGTAAAATGATTTATGGCAGAAGATTCTTGAGCGGCTTCTGACCGCTGCCTAAAGTTTCAATATTCATAGACTTCAAATTTACTTTAAAAAACACCAATATATAGATAGGAAAGTATATTCTGTTCCTGGAGACAGACAGAGTCATTTCTTTGACCATTTCTTTTTTAAAATTAAAATAAAGAATTAATTGGCTTCTTAAAATGAGCCTGATATTGCCAAAATAATAAAAATAAAAAGACTCAGATAGACAATAATAAATATCGCAATGATAAATCAAAATGTAACATTTATAAGAGCATTAAGAATCCCATTCTGACATCGAATAGAATAAGAATACCAATGTGGTAGTGGCTGAACATTGTATATCTGGTGACACAAGAAGTATATAAATCAGACGACAGCCGCACAGGATAAAGTTAAATACATACATATATGTTGTAACGTACACCTTTATAGGAAGTGGGTAAAAAGGATTTAATAAATTAATGTTCAACAGTTAAAAGACAAGCTAATCTAGTTCTACTAGTTCAGAGAAAAGAAAATAACTGCTCTGTAGTTTCCCAAGAAGGAAAATCCCAAAGAGGAGAGGGACAAAGGTTTTTGTTTTGGCAAGCAGTTGATGTTGGCTGGAGTGAAGAGAGGATAGGAGAACGAACCTGGCTCCAGTGGGTAAAACCCAGTAATAGTATTACCATTTTGGAAGTTGTGTTTGGCAGAACATAGAAAAGCATTTGAAGACAAATGAATTTAGTGCAACAAAGGAAGAAACAGTGTATATAGAAAAAAGGTTCCGAGGTTATATTATTATTATTTGTAAAATATAAAAGAGATGTTACAATGTATGTGTTAATTTATATTTACCTCTCAAAGGAATGAACTCTGCACTGACATTATCCAAATTGAAATGTAAAACTTTGGGATCTTCATAATCAACTTCAACTGTCAGTTTTCTGGCTTCTTTTACTATAATCTTTCCAGATATTTTCAATTCAGTCATTCCATCCAATTTCCTGATAATAAATAAATTTTTATTACATAACTACTAGTTATATATGGTTAAGTGTTTTACTAAAATTATAAATATAATATTTCTCCACTTTTTACAGTGTAAATTATAAAAGAAAATGATGGTTTGGGTGCAGATCACAAAATAGTAGAAACTATTAATCAAGCCCACATTTCAACACAAATATACAGGGCTATTGTGATATTAAAGTCTTCCTTGTGTTACTACTACTACTGTCAGATATCAAAAAAAAAAACAAGCTACCCTAGTGGTAGTTTAATATGGTAGCCTTTCCTGACACAACAACCCTGATGTTTAATTGACTATATAGGCTTAATAATAGTTTCCACTATTTTAAGTTATTTAATTATTGCCATCCCATACCATCTTTTCCTTCAGTATTCAAATGGTCGACCATCGAGCATAAATATATTATTACCTTTCAATTTTAGTGACAGGTTCAATGAAGTTTTCTAATTCTTCTTCATTCCCTTCTACCTTCAAAACATTTTTTACTAAAGTGTCCAATTCATTAGTGTATAAAGTACAGGTCACTAAATCATTTAATTTCAAAGCAGGGGCAACAGCATTTTTTAGATGAAAATAGTACTTATTGTCAATGACAGCTACTTGATCATTCATGTGTGTAATTTTTCCAGAATAATCTTCGCTTTCTCTTTTATCGATAACTTTCAATAAATAGTCTTCTGCCCTTTCTTTTGATAACACTGCTTTAATTAATTCATCTTCTTGTTCTTTTGATAAAACATCATCTCTAATTATGCCAAAAGTTGATGCAACTTTCTTTACAACACTCCACATATTTAATAAAAGTGTATAACAATTTTATTTGAATCTTGATTAATCAGTTTTTATTTCACAACACCGGAATAAAACAAACTATACCAAGCCGCAAACAACAATCAAATTAGAGGAAATGGAGCCCTAAATCAGTGATGTCTTATTGCAAACAAAACTATAACAAATATTCGATTACAATTTAATTCATAACTTAATTATAATTGTTACTATAATTTATATTTGTGTTGTTTAATATTTTTATAAGGAGTTTTGAAAAAATCATTTATTTCTAGAAGTTAATAATAAACTATTTTTGAGGGAGGATGCTTTCAAGTTAGTAAAAGTAACTTCTATATCATTACTTTTTTCAATTACTTCTATAAAGATTTGTAATTTCGAATTCTCTAAATTAAAAATAACAAATACAATACATGATATGTCCGTCTCCAATTTCATTCAAACTTATTTTTCCTAACTAATCAATACGTGATCGTCTGTTTCTTCCAATGGGCATTAGGAGCTGAGAAAAGGGAATAAAAATAAGAAATTCGCCTCTATTTAGGGAGTCCATGAACAAGAAAATGAGATAAATTGTTTAAGAAATGTTGAGCTTCAAATCAAAATGTATTTCATGGCTTTATAAATTTTGACCCCTGACAGAACTGAAATTTTTATTTTTGATATTTTAATCATAAATCCTTTTGTACTAGTGGATCCAGATTTTAATTTTGGCTGAAGGGGATTCAGCCCGAAATCTTTTCATGTATATAATGATAATTTGGAAAATACAAGAAAACAATTCTCTATATAAAATGGTGTTTAAGGGATTCTTGAAGTCCTATTAAATACATGAACAATAATATTTAATACATCATTTTTTAATATTTTTTTCCGTGAAACATGGTTATATTTTACCATTATTTGGGGAAGAGGAGCTTCACCCCGAAAGCCTCCCCCGTATATCCGTTTGTGCTTTTTTGTGGGCTAAACAAAATATGTCATGGTTTTTTTTTTCTATAATGCTGGTTTACTTAATAATTAAAAGTTTTTGTTTTTTAATTTATTAACCACCAAGCAATTATTTGTTAATGTTTGTGTATTTCCTTTGATCTAGTTTAAAGCTATTAACAAATCGAACGTAGTGTTCCCTATGTTTTTTGTAGTTCTAAGTATGAGAAATTTTTCAAAACATTTCTTTTAATATTTGCTTAAAATGGTGAAGATATGTTAATAACGTGGGCATGGTTTTAAATCTTAATTCTCCACCATTTTCAGTAAATTATTAAAAGAAAAATATTCCGAATATTCCTCTTGGTTCTTACTACAAAGAACATAAGGAACACTATTTTCGATTTGTGAATAGTTTCAAAGTTATGAGGGGCGACAGAATTATAATTAGTAATATTTCGCTTTTTTTTTACATCAAATAAATCTATATACAGCTTGTTTCTTTTTCAGGTGAACCCAGGGCCGTCACGAGACATGTCTGTGGGGCGCCGAGGCTAGGGAGACGCCACGAATCGGTGCCAAATATTAAAACCAATTAACAAAGAACCCGATGTAAATGAGACTTTACTACGAAATTATTTGTAGTCAGAACGTTTTTAGAACATATATATGCAAATATGCTTTTAATCTATAATAAATAAATAGTTGATGAGAAGGATGGTTGGGGTGATCAGTCAAAATAAAAAATAGCAAAAATAAATAATAAACCAATATCCAAAGTATAAAACAGATCCTTGCAAACAATAATTTTTCTCTCGATGTCATCAACAAACATATAATTGCATACAATAATAATCGCTCTTCCTTAATCTCGGCATCCACTATTTCTCCACAATCCATTTCGACCTCCATATACAGATCTCTATCTAATATTCCTAACCATTCTGACAACATAAACAAAGTTTTACGATCTACTAACCCTAACTTGCGACTTTCCTTCAAATCTCACAACATACTTTCTAATTTGTACACATCCCTAAAAGATCCTGTTCCTCTTTCACACCGCTCTCATATCGTTTACCGCATTCCGTGTTCTACCCCTAATTGCTTTTCATCTTATATTGGTGAAACCAAAAATCTTCAAAAAGATCGCATCACCCAACATAAATATTCTGTATCTTCTCGTAATTTTACCGCCTCCAAATTATCCGAACATTCTCTCTCTCTAAGCCATATATTTGATTTCGACAAAACTTCCATCCTTACCTCCGTTCCTAACCATGTCAAACGACTCATCTCTGAAACCATCCACATCCAGCTCCGATCTAAGACAATGAATATAAAATCAGACAAACAGAACTTATCCTTAGCCTATTTCCAAATCCTGAATTAATTAAAAAATTCATAACAATCTCCTTTTTCCTTTTCGCTGAAAACTTCCTTATTTCTCTTTAATTTAATTCATTTTCGTTTTCTTTAATCTTAATTAATATATTCCTTTTCATTCTTTATCCCACATTTCACATAGATCATTAAATACTACATTATTATTTAATATTTATTATATCTGCATAATGCTATCTCCTTAATTTATTGTATATTATATTATTATACCATTTTTATCTTTATTTTATATTAAATCACATTATACTTCCTCTTTATTTTTAATTATTTTCGTTTGTTTTCATAACGCGTTTCACATACATCATTAAATACTCCATTATTATTTAATGTTTATTAGTGTGGCTCTACAATCCGGTGTCGAATCCTGGTCTCCTCCAGCAGCTTCCGCCAATTGTCTCGGTCCCCTGCAGCTGCCATCCAATTCCGAAGCCCCAGCATATTTTTTGCATCAGCAGCAATATCATCAGCCCATCTCAGCTTTGGTCTTCCTCTTCTCCTGGTACCATGGAGTGGCTCCATTAGTAATTGTCTTGGTGGATCCTCACGACCCATCCTAACGACATGTCCTGCCCATCTCAGTCTTGTAATTTTCATCACTCGAACTATATCGGACTCCTTCAACATGGTGTACATCTCCTGGTTTTCACTCCTTTTCCACTCTCCTCCGATGAGAACATCACCATATATGTGTCTGAGGATTCTTCTTTTAAAGACTAGGAGTTCCTGTTCACAAACTCGGGAAATAGTCTAAGTCTCACAACAATACATCAAGACTGAACGCACGATCGTTTTATAAAGACAAAGCTTCGATTTTCTGGAAAGAGCTCTACTCCGGAACTGCCTTGCCATAGAAAAATAGCACCGATTTGTTGCAATGACCTACGCCGAATCTCTTGTTTAGGTTGTCTTGAGTTACCGATGAGCCAAGATATACAAAAACATTAGTCTTCTCGAATTGGTACTTACCCTAAAGTCACCTCCTCTCCAGGCCTAGGCATCTCTCCTGTATCCATATATTTTGTTTTTTCAGTGTTGGCTTCCAAGCCAAGTCTTCTCGCAGAACCCACCAGAGCAAGGAAAGCGTTCGATACAGCCTGGAAGGAACGTTCTATGATATCTATATCATCCTCGTGCACAAGGAGCTGAATAGATTTATTAAAGATGTTGCCATTGATCTGTATCCCAGAATCTCTCACTGCTTCCTTGAGTGCAAGATCAAAGAGAAGGCAGGCTAAGGCATCTACCTGGCACAATCCCTTTATTGAGGGGAATTCCTCCGATCTCTTCGCACCTATCTGAACCATGCAGCTTACTTTGTTCATTGTAAGCCTCACGAGGCTTATGAGCTTACTGGGGATCTTAAAATACTTTAGAGCATGGTGTCATACAATTTTTCCCTATTCATGCTATCATAAGCTGCTCTAAAATCGATGAAGAGGATGTGAGTTTTAATCTTGAATTCCCCTCCTCGCTCGAGAATCATTTAATATTTATTACCTTTACATTATACCATCTCCCTAAGTGCTTTATAAATAGATTTACTCATTTCCGTAAAACTTTCAGTTTTCTTTTTCTTTAATCTCATTAGAGAAATTCATTTTTGTTTTCTTTAATCTCACGTTTCACACAGATCAGGTATTCCATTATTACTTAACATTTATTATCTCTGTATTATACTATCCACATATTTCCATCCTCTTTCAATTAAACTTTTAATTAATAATTCATAGTATTTATCTATCATATATTTTTCCTCCATTATAAACGTCTCCTGTGCTTAAGTTCAAAAATTTTTCAGTCAACTGTGAAAGATGGAGCAACAATACAGCTCCCCCTACAGTGGCTTAGTAATATTATTATCAATATTAATAATAACATTATTAAGCCACTGTAGCTCTCCCCTCTCTTGCTTCTATGTCTTTCCTAGCTTTTGGTTCGATCAGGTTCGTTTATCTATCTTGTCTTAGGTTCTCCTTGTTTCCTCCTTCCCATCTCTCTATTTTCCATATCTCCTCTCTATTTTGTATATATTGATACATAACTTTTTATTCCGTTACAATATCTCAATTTTCTACTTATATCTATTGTTTCCTTATATAAATTCATATGTTTTTTTGTAGTTCTAAGCCTTCCTTTTCTATGTTTTACATTTTATTCTAAGATTACCATTTTTAGTTCTTATGTTACCACATTTAGATTAGATTTACTTCATTAGTCCTCAATTTGTAGCCGTTATTATTATTTATTTCTTAGTTATCTGTTATTGTTATTATTCTACCTACTTTATTTTACTTTGTTCACTCTATCTACTTCATTTTACTTTAAGTTTTTCTAACTACATTGTTAATGTTTCTCATACCTATTGTTACTGGTTCTTTTTTAGCCCTGATGAAGGCTTCGTGAACTTCGTGCCGAAACGTCGGCAAATGTAAAAATAAATATTATTATTTATTTTTGCTACTTTTTATTTTGAATAATCACTCCAACCATCCTTCTCTTCAATTTTTCACTAAAGTCAACCATCAACCTACAAATAAATAAACTAATGAAAACATACCGATTAAGTATATATCGTTACTGTCAGTGCAAAAGGTCATATGTAAACATTTCCCATTTTGGTTCTATTTGTGCTAAAGGGAAAATTTCGTTGGGTGCAACTGTTATAGGTAATCTGGTGCTATGGAAAATAGCAGAGAAAAAGAAAATATGAAATTACACTAATAAATCATAAGTTTTTTATACTATGTTGTAATAAAACACTCAATTTTTACAAACGATTTTTTGCACCAGCAGTAGTGATATACATGTTCAGGATGTAGTGAAATGTGTAACTCTTCCGGGTTTTATTATTCGCTGATAAACAAAATTCGTGGATATCAAACCCGCTGGATTACTGTTTTTCCGAAAACGGCTTCTCCCGGTAATTTTATTCTCACACGAAAAATTATAGACTTTGAATTATAGAGATTATTTAGCCAACGAATAATATAAATTATAATAATCTTAAGGAAGCTATTCTGGCCTTACTTGGCAGAGGTTGTTTTATCACATGTTCTTTCAATTTATCTGAAACAGATATCTCTCTATAGCGGACAAATTGGGATTCTCTGTAAGTTTCCGTTACTGATAAGTTTTACTATTGTTGGACAGGGAGTGATTGTTGACGATCACATACATTTTGGTGTAATTTATTTATAGCTTACGTTGCAACTATTCGATGGCCACGATCCTGTTCTACTTACGGGTTTCGCCGATGATCAAGCGGCAAACGCTCGCAGTGGTTAAGCTGGGGAGAGGGCAATAATTTGCATTGGAAGGATACTTCGAGGACTGGGACTATACATTAATCCCCAAAATAGTTCTTGAATCATTTTAGAAAAGGAAAGCTTAGTCAAATCAAAATTCTGCTTGGATACCGGAGAGGTAATCAGCTCCATTGAAGAGGGGGGGCCTATTACATACCTTGGTTGTCGGTCCTCTGGGGAACTAGAGTTTGATGATGGTTCAGTGGCTAACAACTAGAAATATGGAAAAATTGGTAAGTTCGAATCTTCTTAAGCCAGGATAGAAGATCAAGATTGTAACAGATATGTTTTCCCTTCTCTGATATACCCACTGCAGACGGCGAAATTGCCCCCATCACTTTTGGAATCTATAGACATTATAGATATTAAGCGGATGATATATGCACCGCGACGATATAGAGACTTAGGTTTTTTGAGGTGTCAATGGAAGGCTCCTCTTCAGCACTGGTTCATTTCCCATAAGTTGACCAATGTAACAGATGTCCTGTTTCGGAGAATTTTTTATTTCGGGCATGAAGTCAGAATGTGTGCTGATCTATTAGGAATCGAAGCGAGCAATATGAAACCATCGCTAACAGTTAGGAAGGTGGGACAGCTCCTGAGAGTAAAGTCCTTTGATGAGTGGAGCAAGTGCAAGTGGCAGGGAATTGGTGTGTCCCTTTTTAAATCTAATCCGTGGACCAATAAATTTATTTACTATAGAGAAGTTCTCGCCGGTTCAGAATGGGTAATGCTATGAAATTAAGCGTTAATTACGCTCCTCTCCGGGGAGTACCAGGGGACGGAAGCCAGGCTGACGGAGATGTTGGACCCCTCTCCCGCAAATGTGGTCGAGTCAAAAACCCTAGCTCATGCGTTGGGCAATTGTCCGCATAACATGCTCCTAGTCATCCGCCGTCACAATAATATAAAGCATCATACAGCCGAGTTCCTTGAAATAAAGAACTATAATAAATGTCTACTGCCTGGATACGGAAGGCTCAACAAGGTGCACTGACACCTTGGCGTTCAATGCGACGGAACTGACGACTTCAGTTTTATATAGATATTGCCGGAACTTGTAAAATTATTTTTACCTAAAAATGCGAGGCATTATTTATTCTTTGAAAGAAACCAAATTTACCAAATCAGTCACATGAGATTTCTTAAAGTAAAGTGGGATAAATATATTTATACCGGACACTCTGGTAGTTAAGGAGGACTTAACACGCGGAAATTTTGAATTTAGAGTGACTTCCATTAGTTTTTATTTATTAATTTTTTTTTACTACCGTATTCGAGTTATTATCAACCCAGTTTTTGACTAAATAACACCTAATTATTTATATTGGCCAAATTTTAGAGGGTGAGAAATGATAGTAAATGAAATGAGTAGAAGACTACATAAATGAAAATGCAAATGGTAAGTAATGATGTGTAAGTAGACTTCTTAGTACAGGACTTCAAGAAAAGTCTAGGGACGATGAGTCTACTTGCCTCATTCAACTTGTGAAACTCCTATTCGGTTTCTCAAACCATCGTAGTTTATAATTTGTTGCAATAATTACTATTTAAATTGAAATAACTATGTAAAACTATTCAAATATATCGTTTTAGTTTTATGTCGATAGAACATTGAGTATTTAGTACTTCTATGGGCTCAGCACTGAGTTTAGAAACATACCCATAACCTTCTCTACTAACGATAACAGTGCAGTAACATTCGGATATACAACGTGCTTTTCAGGGATAAACAATGAAGAAAGTAAATAATTCTGAAAACAACACCAGTGTCGGTAAATTGAATATTAAATGTTCGCGTAAAGAATTGCGGAAGGAAAAAAGACTACTTAAGAAACGTAATAAATCTCTTTTTCACGAAAAGTTGAAACAGAAGAAACTTAAGTTGAAGTCCATTTTGAATGAACCAACGGGCCAATTGTCTAAATTAGGTAAAAGTAGTGTAATTAAACTCTCAGTTCCAAATGACAAACGTAGTATTAGTTCCAAGGACTGTCTATCAGGTAAAGGACAACCTAATTTTACAAGTAAGTGTTCCAAAAAGGTCACATTTGTTGATACAAAAATTAAACAGGATGAGAAAGAATTTTCTAATGAACACCAAATCAATCATCAACAAAAAACGACAGAATTCGGCAAATTTCAAAAGCAGATGCAAAATCAGCGGAAGAGACAGTTGTTAGATGCAGTGAAAGAAGATGAAAAGGAGATAAACATTCTCGAAAAGAGATTAAAATTAAAGAAGCGAAAGAACAAATCCACATCTAGAGGATTTGTTGAATGTGGTCTTGATTATATTTTAGATGCATGTAATCCAGATAGGTTAAAATCTGCTGGCAATGCTGAATTTAATTTTGAGGATTCAGATTCAGATTTTTTTGAAGATGTTTCCTTTATTGAAAGTAAAAACATAAACAATAGTAACAAACCTAATGGAAGAAATAAGCAGAATTTATCTGATTCTAGTCTAAAAACTCAAAATGTAGATAATGAAGTATTAAAGAATACAAACCACTTACCACAAGAAAACCAAGATAATTCAGGATCTGAGGAAAATACAGATTCTGATGAATCAGAAGTAATTACAGAATCCCCCAAGCCTGTATTAATTGATGATCTGGAAAAAAATCCTGTTGAAAATAAGATCTGGGAGGATATATATGGCAGATTACGTGATAGTAAGGGAAACATTATTAAAGTTAACCAAGAAAAGTATATTCCTCCACATTTGAGATTATCTGAAAATTCTGAAGTCGTGAAAGCCAAAAAGCAACTTAAAGGTTTGTTGAATAGACTAGCACAAAGTAATATAAATAGCATTGGAAATGAAGTCGAAAGTATTTATTCTAAGCATAGTAGAAATGCAGTCAATGAAATTATTATTGAGTTGACTCTAAGTAATGTGGTAAAAAATACATTATCTCCACAACGCCTTATTATTGATCATGCAATGCTCATTGGACTTCTTCATGCAAATATTGGTCTTGAAGTTGGAGCTTATATGCTACAAAAGCTCGTGGAACGCTTCGATGTTATGTTTTTGGAAGAGCAGGAAGTGGAAAACAAGGAATTGGATAACATTTTATATTTAATTTCTTATATGTACAACTTTAAATTATTTGAATCATGCCTAATGTATGATTTATTGAATAAACTAAGTAATAATTTTACAGAAAAGAATGTTGACCTTATATTAGTTATTTTAAAAAGTGGTGGATTCTCACTCCGAAAAGATGATCCAAATGCAATGAAACAATTCCTCTTAGCTACACAAAAACAATTCAATCTATTACCAGCAGAAGAAAATTCTCGAATGAAGTACATGTTGAGCATTTTAATTAATATAAAAAATAACAATATTACAAAACTCTCTGATTTCAATCCAACTCAGCATGAAGAACTAAGGAAAATTTTAAAATCTTTAATAAGAAAAGGAAATAGTGTAGTAACATTACAAATAAAACTTGATGACCTGCTTAATGCTGAAAAAAATGGTAAATGGTGGCTTGTTGGTTCTGCATGGAAGAATGAAGGAGTTACCAAGAAAGTTGAAGAAAAACCTTTACAAGAAAAGTATTCTGCCAAGTTGTTGGAATTAGCCAAGAAACAACGAATGAATACTGACAATAGAAGAAATTTATTTTGTATATTAATGACTGCTGAAGACTATCATGATGCTTTTGAGAAACTTTTAAGATTAGGTTTAAAGGGCCAACAGGAAAGAGAAATCCCTCTTGTTATTGTGCATTGCTTACTTCAAGAGAAAAATTTCAACCCGTATTATGCTCTTGTTTGTGACCAGTTATGCCTATCTGATAGAAGACATCAGATGACTCTTCAGTGTGCTTTATGGGACAGGTTTAGAGATCTTCAATCGTTATCTTCGTACCAAATTCACATATTAGCTAGGTTCTTAGCTCAGTTACTGATTGCTGGTTCTTTGCCTATTTCAGTACTTAAGGTTGTTGAATTTGCTGAACTTGATAAATATCATATCAGACTACTACGACAGACAATACTATCAATAGCCAATGAGGAGAATATAGATAGAGTCAAAGAGATATTCCTGAAGGTATCTAAGGCAAAGAAATTATCATTGTTTAGGGAAGCTTTGAAATTATTTATTCACCATTTTATTATCAGAAATATGACTGAGGGAGATCTTTACAAAAAGTTGAGTATGATTAGTTCAATATTAGTGGAAGATGTAAGCTAATTCAATTTTGTTATACATATACCATGGTATCCATATCTCTAGTAGATGTTCTATTTAAATCAATGAATAACATATATTGTTGCTAGCATTCTGAAAATATTTTTATAATTTTTATGTGGCAGCTCTTATTTATGATTATGCTTCAAAAGTGACTAATTTATGTAAAATTTTACAAATTAATTATATTATATTCAGGAAATCTATAACTATATTTAGAATATTAATGAATGGCCTGCTAAACCTGGAGATACTTTAAAATTAAAAGTGATTGTGAAAATAATATATAAATATTTAATGTATATATGTATTATATTTTTAAAATTTTATATTTTGTTAATAATAAATTTCAAAACTATCATGTTATTTATTTATCAATTTAAGACTGGACCTTGTTAAAGGGCTATGTGAAAAAAAAGTAGAGTTAGTCCCAAAAAAGCAAGTTAATTGCGATTGCCTACAACCTAAAATATGTTAAAGAGTTTGAAATATTTTAACTAAATGCAAGGTTTTTTTCTAAATTGATGTGAGTATTGTTATAATTAATTGAACATTAATTAATCATCATAGAAAAATATTATTAAAAAAAACAAAGGTTGATATTAATAAAATTCTACATAACACTAGTTTGGCAATATGTATAGTTTAAGATACAATAAGATTTGAGGTTTGTTATCAAATAAGTTGAGATTTACTGCTATTTGTGTTAAAAAAATAAATACTATAAATTATCACAAAAATATTTTTTAAATAATAATTAATGCTTTATTGTATTTAATTTTAATTAATTGAATATACCTTCCTAGAAAACTAAATTATTAAAAACAAACTTTTTTAAGAGATGTAATTAATAAAATCCAAATTAATAAAATATGGGCTGTAGTTCCATTAAGTTAGTAAAAATTAGTTGTAAGCTTTTTCTTCCATGCCAAATCCGACAGGGTTTTAATTGGAATTTCTTCAGTCAGATACTAAATGGATATTCTATTCATAATCATGAAGTAATTAAATATCATTCTCGATATTAAAACTTTGTAATATATTTATGAGTTAATTTTAAACAACTTAAAAAGTTCCCCAGCGGGCCAGCTGCGCGGAAGTGTCTGAATCCATATAGTTTGTGATGGGCCAATCCCTACATAAGTTGAGACAAGGTTTCTAAATTTGTTAAGGATTTGTAATTACACTGTCAGGACAAGTTTCTAGTATTTTTCGATGTAGTATCACCAAAAAAAATTTTGATTGAAATCTGTGACCCAAGCGACTATATAAAGCAAAATACATTATAATAAACAGAAAATTCCACCCCAACAACAGGATTTCTATAGAACATAAATCATTCCAGAGAGTAAACAGATTTAAATACCTTAATTAATGTCTAACCCTTTGACTGTGGGAGCTTATTCATGCGTTTATACCAGATGGCGCACCCTGAAAGCCAAAAAGATGTCCAGAAAAACAAAATTTTTCCATAAATTTTTTTAAAATGCTATTTTTAGTCGCCCTACAAGGTCTTAGTTTTCAAAAATACATTTTGACCTTTTTATTCAACTTTTAGTAAACTGGACATATGTCTTTCCGGCTACACATAGCTAAGCAATATTAGAGGAGTGACCACACTGAGTCAGCTACAGGGGACTAATGATTGCACCGACCAATCCACAAATCAAATGGTGAAGGCAGGACTTGTCCCTACCTGTTTAAGTGGCAACCGCACAGGCGGTAAGGCATGCATCTCGGCCGCACCAGTGACCCAACTCGCTACTGGGAAGGCATATATTCCGTCAGCACCAGTGACCCAACTCTTAATGAGAAGGCATGTATTCTGTTTGCAGTCAGAGATCCAACAGAAATAGACTAGCGTATTACAAGCACAAAGAAAACTTTCTTCATGCTTTGAAATGCCTAGAAATCTATAAATAAGCATGTACAATGCTATAATGAAGTCAGTTCTGGTATATGGATGGCTATGAAGCCTAGACACTAACCAGCACCCTAGAATGTAGTATTAAATGATTTGAGAAGATAATAAAATTGATCTGAGTACTAAATCATTGAAAAGAGGGTAATAAAGAACTGCTTACAGAAACTGATCAATCATTATTCTAAGACATGGACAAGGAGGTGAAGATGGGTAGAACATATAACCCAGAACAATCCATCAGGAAGCTTCTATACAAGAATAAATGTCTCTGTAGTTGGCAAGGGCCAGGCAGAATGCCTAAAACTAATGATATGTATGGACCAGTGGATGAAGTGCCAGACTCTAACTGTAAAGGTTCTCGGTTGGAAACTGCTTTTTTTTTTTTATTTTTTTTTTAAGGGTGGGATGGCCGAGCAGGCTAACGCGTGTGTATAGCACTGTGCCTTGCCCGACCACTTAATAAAGGAAATTTTGAGATAAACAAATTATAACGAGTTCAAATACCGGTAGGGTGTATTTAAGTTAAGTTTGAGTGCAGGGGAAGGAAGTTCATGCAGCTTTCCCCCACCCAAGTTCCACCTCTCCAAGACCTCTCTCCAGCTCCACTTCCTATCTTCACCATAGCAACCACCTTATACCAGGAAATGTTATTCCATTTTCTTCAAATTTGGCACAAATGTTTATTAAAGATAGGGATTTTAATTAAAAAATAAAATAAAACAGTAAAAAGGATCGTTAAATAATAACAATGAGAAAAAAATATAAATGAATTCGCAAAGTCTACTGTTCACAGAACTTTATATTTTTACGAAGGATATGTAGATCTAAATTTACCAAGAAATAGATCATAAAAAAATCAAGAAGTAGATGGAAAACATAGAACAGAAAAGAATCCGATACTAAGTTATTGGATATTCAATAATGGAGAAGAGCCTTTTTCATTTACTTCCGAATGTAAACAAAGAGACTTTCCCACATTATGTATTATTTTAGACTGTATTAACTAGAATCAAATGGATCACAGTATGTAAACAGCCAATCTTCCTGTGAATCAAGGCTGGAAATAGGAAAAGAAAATAATAAAAGAAATTTCTACTTAAATAGAAAAATTTATAAGTACATTTGAATAAGTAGAGAAGACAAAAGAGTGAGAGATAGGCAGGGAAATGTTTTCCCACTGCACATCTCTCTCCACCCACAAACTTATCTTAGTTAGAGTCTATCCCGTGGGATTTTTAACTCAAAATAATGCCCCGGCCCGGGAAAAAAACCGTATAGCCTAAAAGGTAAGGAATGAGAGATGGAGAAAAGATAGGGCTAAAAGCTATATAGATAAAATCAAATTAAGGATTTTATACCTTACACAGGATTTCATATCTCTTTCCTTTTTCCTGATCCCTTGTTTTATGATTCGCTTTAATTTCTTGCCTGGTTTGATTCTAATCAGAGTATGATCTGAATCAACAAATATGCATACAGAAAACTGGAAAGCACTAGTCAAAAACAGTAATAAGATGGAAAATGAGGCTGTGATGATCAAGGATCTTGGAGCACAACCTGCTGTAAAATTCTCAACAAAATTTATTTTAAACAATATAAAATAAATTTCATTGAGAATTTTACAGCAGATCAACAGAATGAATCTTGACCTTCACACTCTTGTAAGTATCTATAGAACAACCCTCTTCTTCCATATACCATAAATCGCAAGGAAGGAGGTAAATAAATAAAAAAGTGATGAGGTGGAAAAGATCAGTTCAGGTGGCCAAAATTCTTAAGTCTATAAAGCCACATGAAAAAATAATAATTTATAATTTGTTTAAAGGAATGTACAAAATTCAAATTTACACCGTAAAATAAGTTTTTATTTTTATAAAATTTTACAAGAAAATCACTAAAATAAACAATCATACCACAAGGAATGTATAATTGATGGTAATCGATAACTTTAATCTCCAATATCTTTATTGAATGGGAACAGGAGGCACACTTCTATAGTGCTAACAGAAAAGGTGCCGACACTCAGGGATAATAGTTGTGGATTCCATTTCAAATGATCAAGAGGTAACAAGTAGACAATTTTATGTGCAATATTCTCTGTTTTGTGTGAGACATTTTAGTAAATGAAGAGTATGAAGCTTTTAATGCACATGTAATTGAAATCTTTAACTGAGGAATGATAAACTACTATAATATAGGAACTACAAACTACTAATGAACCTCTTAATTCATTATCCTTAGTCTTCTATAAGAACCTGTACCTGTATATTACTTGATAAGGAAGTTCCATTTAGGTCTAGTTTTAAAGGGGATCTGGCAAATATGCTCAATCATCAGGTTTTTTTTCCAAGCTAAGGGTACCCACTTTGAAGAGGATGGGTATGCCCCAAGAGGATCTTTTAAATCAAACAACACCAGACAAGATTCAAAGCTGGGTCTCTGAGAACAGGATCACAGTGCCTAACCCACTGAGCTATTCTGCTTTCCTGTTATATACATATATATATATATATATATATATTGTAAATTATATCAGTCAAATACTAAAATTCTCATAATGAAACCTATAGAAAGTACCTCATTATTAAAATGTTTGTATGTGATTGGTATTGAAAATATATTTATTATAATGAATTTTGAAGATAATTAATTAATAGTAAACTTCGGAAAGTAAAAAAAAAATAGTATAATAAAACAATGAATAAATTAGGAAAACTCAAGTGACATTATCATATAAATTGAAAATTCAAATTTGTAAAAACTGGGCCAAACTAAAGTAATTACTACCAAAACATTTTTGAAATATTTTAATGTAAATAACGAATTTCATTAATGCCATGTAGAACAATCCCGAATTGATGTTTAATATATTAACATAAAATGGTGTGTGAAACGATTCCTCTTGCTGGCCCTCAGCAGACACTAATACGGATAAGTTTGATTTTAATAGCCACTTGCTGTTGCTATTGTCCCCATGAGCAAGCACCTTGATATAAATATAAAAATTTGTTTATTGTA